GGTATATCTGATAACGACGAGTCGATTATTCTAGGGATAAATATCACTTTATACAGCATTACTACAGGTCTCACGACGTTGGAAAAAAGAGGTCTTGGCTATTCTTGGCTATTCTTAGCATGTATCCGGATACTACTCGAGAGTATCCGGATACGCCGGATACTCCTAAAATATCGCCGGGTAGGTAATTACTCGAGGATATACCCGGATACCACGGGTATTTTGGTATCCGTGCCGAACACTGGAAAATGTTCATTCCGACGATAACGATTATACTCGTGATGCGCTTTAAATGTTATCCAAGTTAGATGTAAAAGAAGCCTAAACGTAACTAGATCCTAATCTCTACTCAAGCCCCATCCACTATATCTTCAAACGAAGTAACGAAACTTGAGCGAATTCTCGCCATCAGAAAGCTCGCTAGTACTGACATCTTGAGCCCTCAAATTAGTACCTATGGCCTCATTTCGTCTCCTATTCTCGGCTCTCATCCAAAGGCCTAAGATCAACACTGAAGCAATAGCAATGACGTTGCAAATGCAGGTAGTAATCAAAGTCGGAATATATTTGGGAGCATACTCGACACGAAAAGTGGCTGCTGAAAGGATACCAGCAAAGTTGCCGAGGCCAACAAGGAGTCCGGTGGTTGCAGCACGGCTATTCTCGTCGAGGTTGTTGTTGTTGTGCCATGTTTGGACGAGACATGACGGGATGTATGCCCCTGCAGCCATTAAAAAACAAGCAAAGTATGCAACACCCTTATGGTCCAGAACATCGATAGTAATGAGTATAATCATACCAATAAGGCTGGTAATTAAGGAACCGATAATGTGGAATGTGCGCTCGCGGAAGTAATCCGACGATTTGGCAACGAGAAGCAGTACGATGAATCCAACGGCGTTCGGGGCTACTGTCCATAGATTTGTCTTCACGGTTGAGTATCCAAGGCGCTGGACGATTTGTGGAAGAAAATTCGAAGTGGTGGCAAAGGCGACTGGATAGACAAAGGCTATTACGCACCACAAAGCAAATTTCCAATCTTTCCAGATCTGGAAACAATCCTTCAGATTAAATTTGGTGCTGACCTTATTGGAAGAGTCGCGCAGGGATCGGGCTGTTGCTGCAGCTTTCTCATCTTGGTTCAAGAACCATGCAGTTTGAGGAGAGGCAGGAAGCCAGAAGAAGGCGATGACGCCGAAAACCAAGGTCAGGCTACCCTCAATGATCATGAGATATTTCCAACCTGGGATGGTAGTATTTATATGGAACACTCCGAAGGCTATAAGGCCGCTGAAGGCCGCTGCAAGAAGAGCGCTGCCGAAAACAATGGCGATGCGGAAGCCGAGTTCCCCGCGCGAGTAGAACAGTGTTAAGTAAAAAACCACACCAGCGAAGAAGCCCGCTTCACAGGCACCCATGACTAGACGGCAGACAAGCAAACCGCCAAAGTTAAAGGCAGCACACTGGAGGAGAGACACGGATCCCCAGGTGATCATCAAGATGGGCAACACCAATGCAGCTGTGAATCTCTTGGTGAGGATGTTGAGAGGCAAGTCCAAAGTGCCAAAGGGGATGTAAAAGAGAAGAATGAGTAAAGAGTATTCGTTCCCAACAAAGTGGAGATCCTTTGAGAGGCCATCCGTCTCCGCATTTCCAAGGTTGCTGCGGTCGACAGCGTTAAAGAAATACATCAAGGCCAAATAGGGGAGGAGATATATATCCAACTTTCGCACGTAAGATCTCTCTGAGGCCTTGTCGATATGGTCTGTGGTGGCCTTGTCGACATGCACCGAGGCCCCTGATTCGATGTCGGTAGTGGTGGCTGGACCCTCTTCCAATCTCTTGTCCAAAGAAGGAAAGACTTTTAGAGATAGAGACATGGTGATGGGATAAGATTAAGCTCTCACAGTCCGTTAAGAAAGAGCCTTGGAGTATAGATATGATACTCTATGGTATGGACTGAATGAAGATCAAAGAGTGAGAAATTTAATTGATGTTTTGATAGAGCAAAAGAAGATGGGTGTTAGCTATACTTTTATTTACTTCTATCTAAACTTATCTACTGTTACTCAACTCCGTTATCATGTCAAGAGACGTCTTGCAAGGTTCTGCGACGATCTGGGGACAGGGTGGATGAAGCAATCTAGCGGAGTATCCCGGAGAATGCCGGGCGAGGCGTTTTCCACTAAATACCACCCACGTTATCTGTAAGTAATGGGACTCCCCACTAAATACTACCCCGCTTTATCTTTAAGTAATGGTGGATGATCTTCGTCAAAGGAGAAATCATTTAGATGGAAAGTGACCCCGAGTAGAGGGAAATCCAGGATTATATTCTTTCTGTGGGGGCTGTTATCCTGTCGAACGTCGATAGTCATGCCACCGGGCATATCCAACAGTGTCCAGAGCCAAACTCCCTCAACGAGGACCCGATCGTTTGGAGGCTGTTTGACTTGCCGCGCCCGGAAGGTGAAGTGTGATGAGGTCCGGCCATTTTGCGGCCAATGCATACGAGCTGTTGTCTCGTGTGAAGGGTACCTGGCCAGGCTAAGATGGCTCCCATACTCGCTCAGTGCATGTTCCACAGTAACACACAAGGACGACGAAGATGGGGGCCATAGTAGACGAATGCTGTTCACAGGTATGTGATATCAATCCTGTTCTTTCAAGCGTAATACTGACAGTTGATGCAGAAGAAGAACGCATGCTTATGTCAAATCATTTGACACAGAGTGTCGGTTACTATCATCTAGACAAGGCACTCGAAGAAGTTGAATCATCATCTAGGGTACAGTCTGCTGTGACCGCCATCGTTGGGCCATTTGGGTCCTTCCATGTGTCGGTGTTGAGCAGTTGTCCAAATTCAGACCAATCTGCCCGTCCTCGTGTAGTAAGTTCAAGCTCGCAGCAAGACTCCGAAGATGAGAGGGCCATCACCTCTGCCAGCCCTCTGATCGCCCCCGACGGTTGGGCCCAGGCTACCTCTAATAACGACCCATTCGAAGATTCTTCACTTACCTGGGGTCTGACGGATAACGGTACAGCTTCCTTCACCTCTCCAGTGTTAACCTCGCTCCTCGAGATGGATGGATTAGGATCTGGCAACTGGGGCGTGGGATTCCCCACAGATTTCTTACAAGACGTGACTATATCTCAGTCACCCAGATCTCTGCAAGTTCGAGGAAGCATAATGGACTGTGGCCCAATACCGGAAAATATGCACTTTCTCTTGGATCATTACAAGAACCAAGCGGAAACCTCTTTCTCTCCTCTACGAGTGAGAAAACCGCCATGGAGTGTCCTGCATCTCCCCAGTGCTTTATCAGCCTTCTCTGAACTCACATTATTCAAGGAGACTAACAATGCCAAGGCTGCTCTGCTCTACGCAGTACTTGCGGTAAGTGCGTTCCATCTAGACAAGGTTGTGGCTTCTGCTGGCAGTTCCAATTACTGGTGGACGGTGGGGGAGGACTTGCGTCATAGGGCAAAAGCCCAGTTACAGTCCTGCAGCTATAATGAGTTAGTCGGTCCAGGTCGCTCGAAGTACAAAGAGATACTGATGGCTATTCTGACGATGGTCACCATATGTGTCGTCAATGGCCAACAAAATGAAGCCAGGTCATACCTGCTCAACGCAGAGCTGCTCATCTGCACGAGAGGAGTAACAAAACAGTTTAAATCTCGCAAAGTTAGAATGCTGCATTACATCTATCTCTTCCTCCGAGTAATGGAAGAGAGTACATACATCTACCCACGAACCTGGCGGCCACTTGTCACTCCCGACTACAGCCCCTTAATGCGCTTCCCATCTATTCGAACATACAGCGTCGGACAAGGAACAGATATCGACACCATCAGCGGCGGCAATTTCGAAATCGGTCTCTTCGGCGAATCTTGCGAAGCCCCCACCTCCGAGACACTCTTCGAGAAAATATACGGAATACCTGAAGCTATTCTCTCCCTAATATCGCAAACAACTAGCCTGGCAAATGAAATCTTGGCTCTAGGCGGAGATGAAGCCTGCCTGCCACCGGACCTCGCCCATCGGAGCAAAGTCCTCGAGAACGAAATCTGTTCCTGGGCGCCGCCCGCCAGCGTGTCCGACTACGAACCCAACAACGATGCAATTCCCGAAAACCGCACCATAATGCCGCATCTAATCCTCGGCATCCACTGCTCACTGGTCATATATTTCTACCGCCGAATACGCAACATAGCTCCCCTTCTTCTCCAAAGTTATGTCCAAAAGACGATTGAACATTTGGAGAGTAACGAGCAGGCTAAGCTGGACAGCTCAGTGATTAATACAGGGATTGTATGGCCGGGATTCATTGCTGCGACGGAGGCTATAAGTCAGGAACTGCAAGAAAGGTGTGAGAGGTGGTTGAGGGAGTGCGCTAGACAAAGCGGGATGCGCAATTTTGATACAGCAGCAGATGTTGCTAGGGAGGTGTGGAAGGCTAGGAAGGAGAGCAGGGATATGGGTGTTAGTTGGGTTACGTTGATTAGAGATCGTAGAGTAGCTTTAATTTTGACTTGACTTGATGGATATTTAGATTTATTGGGATCAAATTGGTTCGATAGATAATAATGTAAGAACACTTGCTGAGCGTCGCTCGACAGGAATTTATCTCTAAGTGTCGACTTTACCTCTCAACCGTCTCTCGCGGTTCCCAACTGAACACTCCAGTTCCCACTGCAGATCTGGTTGAAACTCGCAATAAAGTGTCTCCGAGTCGCTAGTCATGCGGTGTGTATACTCTGCCACCTCATCATCGACGTACACCTTAGTAATGCCATTCGCAGCCGCGGCCTCTACTAGAAGTTGTACCTCACAGCTCTTCTCCATGAGCATAAACAAGTAAGCCGCTTCATCGACCGTCTTCCCAACAGTAAATAGCCCATGGTTCCTCAGTATCATACCCTTCCCCTTCTGACCCAAGGCCGTTGCCAACCGTTGTGCCTCAGCTTCATCGAATACTACCCCACCAAATTCGGAGTAGACAGCCTGCGCATCCCCGTAGAAATGGGTGACGTCTTGATTTAACATCTCCAAACGGCGGGAGAATGTGCTCCATGCCTTGCCCGCTTTGGAATGCGTGTGGCATGCTGCGATCACGTCGGGTCGTGCTTTGTGTACCGCAGAATGGATTTGGAATCCAGCTGCATTGGCAGGCAAGCTAGTATTGCCGCCGATGGGTGAGCCGCTGTAGTCAACCAAGATCATGTCGGATGGTTGGAGTAGACCGAAAAACTTTCCCAATGGATTGGTCCAAAATGTATGTGGGTTTTCAGGGTCGCGGACGGAGATGTGACCCGACATGCCTTCAGTGAACCCTGTGTTGAGGGAGAGTTAGATCAGCTAATGAACGCCAATACGAGGGGAATGGGGAAGAATGAAGAGGGGTGGGGAAGAATGAAGAGGGGTGGGAAAGGATGCGGATGGGATGTAATTACCTTTCCGAGCGAAGACCTGAAAGGCTAGAGCCATATGCTCCAGCATCCAGTGTCGCTGCTTTTCGAAGTCATTGAAGATGGGAATCCCTGGTAGGCAGACTCCTTTTGAGATAGCTTGAAGAGCCGTTTTATCTGTAGTTTCACACTCCTGCTTCTCGTTGCTGTCGGTCAAAATATGGTTCTGATGAAGCGCTGATGGAGCCATTTTCGTTAGCTAAGAGATATGAAACCTTCCTTAATATTGTTAATTTCAAAGAAAGATGGACTATGCAAAGCAAAAGGGCTCAGTCAAAGGAGCGGCGGCGAATGTCGACATATATCGTTCTATGGGAAAAGCGATCCATTTCTCCATATTTACGCCATTTACGGCGGTAACATCATCTTGCATCATGGCGGAGAAGGCCCTAGGGCAATGCATCACAAGAATCTCCAGAAAAATGATTCCTCAGTCGGTGTTTGGCAAGTAAAGCCAGGGAGAGCTTGGGCGGGTGAGCAGATGCCAGAGGCAGGTCGGAACGGGAAGGTCATCCCGAGTGACGACGGCGATTCGTCAACAATATTACATAATATAGATTCGGAAGGAAGGCCTCCCCGAGTTTTGCGCAACTGATGGATGGTGGGGTAATCGCATTATACATCAAACGTAACAGTTGGGGGGGAAGTTCTACTCCACTTCAGATTTCTGAGATGGGATTTGAGCCTTCGTCTTCATACATAGGGACCTTGGGTTCCGAGATATTGTAAAAAATCAAAAGCAAGATCATATCCGTGCCAAGTCCCAAAACACAGCATTCAAACATCAGCGTTCTTTACTGCAGCCTTTGGCCGAGCATCAACTGTATCTCGATAGACATGGTATGTAGAATGTAAATTTCCCTTTTATGTCTTACGTTCTCAGTTTGAGTGAATGGACGCGTGCAGTAAATGTAGCGAGGTCTTTTTAGTTGTCGGATCTGAAGACAGAGGCTATTCATAGGCGTTCAAATAGCATACCACGTAGAGGACGTTAAATCTAACTTCTAGCAGGGTTTTAATATCGTTGAATTATCCATTGCAGACCTTCAGCAGGCCCTCACCTCAGACCTAATTACCAGTGTTGAGCTGGTTGACAAGTATCTACAACGTATCAACACATATGATTCCAGCGGCCCATGCCTCAATTCCATTACCAAAATTAATCCCAACGTTTTCGAAGAAGCAGCCGCATCCGACGACAGACGATCAGCTGGGCTCCCACCTCGCCCCCTCGAAGGGATCCCGTACACGCTCAAGGATGGTTTCAAATACAAAGGCATGACTGTTGCTGCTGGTTCCCCAGCATTCAGGAACCTAGTACCAAATGAAGATGCTTTCATTGTGAAAAAGCTAAAAGAAGCTGGCGCCGTACTTATTGGAAAGACGAATATGCCGCCCATGGCTGCAGGAGGTATGCAGCGTGGCTTGTACGGCAGGGCCGAAAGTCCTTACAACCCCGAATACCTTACAGCTGCGTTCTCCTCTGGCTCTTCAAACGGCTGTGCTACATCCACAGCTGCTAGCTTTGCAGCGTTTGGTATCGGATCTGAGACTGTATCATCAGGAAGGTCACCGGCGTCTAATAATGGATTAGTTGCATACACACCTTCTCGCGGAGTTATCTCGTGTCGTGGACTATGGCCTCTCTATCCGACTTGCGATGTTGTGACGCCGCACACGAGAACAGTTGAGGATATGCTCACAATTATGGATGTTCTAACAGCGGAGGACAAGGCTAAGAAAGGCGATTTTTGGAGAGAACAGCCCTTTGTTACACTACAGCAGGTGAAGCACCCGGCCACTTATAAGAGTATAATGGCGACTTCATCTCTCTCAGGCAAGAGAGTTGGTGTACCAAAAATGTTCATTGGTGGTCTTGATCTAAAGGGAAAGCCTACACATGTCAGTCAACCTGTTATTGACCTTTGGCGGAGAGCAAAAGCCGACCTTGAAACCCTCGGAGCAACAGTCATCGAGACAGACTTTCCTGTTATTTCAAATTACGAAGACGACTCAGTATCTGGCCAGAACAACAACGTCGAAGGATGCCCACCAAGCTGGCACAGCCGTGAGCGTAGTGAAATCTTATCTTATGCGTGGGATGATTTCCTTATTGCAAATAGGGATCCGAATTATCCATCTCTGGGCAGCGCGGATCCAGCACAGATCTTCCCCAAGCCTGAAGGATATATACCTGACATGTTTGGGGAGGTCAAAAACATAATCCCGTACCCAGATATAGTCGCTTTCATCAAAGACGGCAGACGAGAAGGACGCACTCTATTCGACATAGCTGATATGCCTCAAGCTCTTCGAGCCCTCGAAGATCAACGTAAACGCGACTTTGAGGACTGGATGGACAGCCTAGGCCTCGATATGGTTGTCTTTCCAGCGAATGGCGACGTTGGAAAAGCGGACGTCGAGACGAACTTGGCCAGCGCTGAGCATGCATTGAAGAATGGTGTTAAATATTCAAACGGAAACCGAGCACTGAGACACTTGGGCATTCCAACAGTTAGTGTCACAATGGGTATGATGGCTGATACAGGCATGCCTGTCAACCTCACTTTTGCTGGAAAGGCCATGGATGACATCAATTTACTAAGATATGCCTACGCATTTGAGCAAAAGAGTAGGAGGAGGGTACCACCGCCCATCACACCACCGCTTTCTTCCGACGAAATTCCTAGACTAGGTTGAAACTCGGATTTCTTGATATTAAACGGACAATTGTTAGACTGTTGTTCCTATAAACTATACATTAATCGATAGCTCTACAAAATAGGTGTCCTATTGCAATATCCTTGGTTTTTCTTACATAACTAACACTACATTATGCCTCCTACTTGCCATCGCATAGTTTTTACTACGTAATAGTTAAAAGGATCTAATATTTGCTACTACCAACTGCTCGCTATATGTTGTATCCAGCCTTGCAGGCTCGTTTATGTGCCTGCTATGAGGGTGTAGTCACATCATGCAGAACAGCAACCACTTATAATCATCCACGTAATAGGATTCTAACATTAAGCGCCACTTAGGCAACAAAGTATCATCTAGAATTTCAAGGCTATGGTTCGCCATTAAGTAGTCCCATAAATAAGCTGCTGCCTCATACTGGATTTGAACGAGCCGACTACATCGAGGATCTAAATGAACTATGTATCGAAGCATGGCAGGATAAGGGAGCGTATTCCACCAGAGATCAATATCGCATGAGATTCAAGATATAATTCGAGAAAAACTTTCAAATGTAGCGCCTGGAAATTCTTTGGAAGATTTGAAGGCCGTGATAGAGAGGCTCTCCGCAGTAACCACAACTTTCGAGTCTGTTCTAGCAGATGTCATTGCACAGGATCAGGAGCCTCCTCTCAAAAACAATGCTTCTCCGATAGTGAAAGAGATGAAGAATGTGCTCGAATGGACCGAACGTTCGTTTTTTATATCCTTGTTTCGTGTATTCTAAGACTGAGCTAATATGTGGTGTTGTAGTTCTTAACACCAAGGCCGACACCACTTCCTCCGAGCCTGAATACCTCTTCCGCGCATACAAGTATACAGGCACAGAAACAGGGCGACCTACGTTTACCCCGGAGATAGACGTACCTTTTAGCCTTGGGCATAGGAGTACTATTCCTGTCGATGAATTTATAAGGGACTTGGCCGGGCATCTTAGCAAGACCCGCATGGAGACGGAAACATATTTTGTTTCAATGAGTCCAATGCTCGAGTGGACACTCCATAAGGCAGGACAAATAAGGGGAAAAAACAAAAATACAAAAGTTGGCCTTGCTATATTTGATGTTACGAAGCTATGCAATAACTCGGATACAACTATCTTCCGTGTTTGGGATGTTCTAGAATTTCTCATACAAAAGAGCAAAGAATACATGATCCCACAAGACGTCTCACGATGGGCAAAAAATTGCAACGAGTATGTGTCTGTTGGTAAAATCCCCGACAACGGCTTAGTAAGATGGGTGAAGTGGGAAGAACTGTATCCGTCTCCTGTTACTGTTATTTCTTCTACGTTCGTCTGGTCCTATACTATTAAGGTGTTCCGTGACAAAGTAGTCCAACAAACGCTTGAGATAGACGACATCTGTGGCAGAATTATAAATCTTGGGAAGGTTCTAGCTGGTCCGCATGACAATCTCATCTTACCGTTAGTGTTGCTGATTCTTAAGCCAACAATCCGATTTTGGGGCTTCAGTACTGAGATGTCTGACGATGTTATTGAGGCGAGGATACATGATCTCCTCGATGACACAGCTGCAGAGAAGATAGTTAAGCTCAACATCAAGGATTAGACTAAGGAATTAGTATCTTCTCGTTTCTGTTCCTTCTATAATAATCCACGCACATGGCAACTCATATACCAAGTAATATCTTACTCTATAACTCTCATCCACTCGCCGCTCCAACCTCCTCCGCCACTCCTTACCCACTTCATCGTTTGTTGTGCCACTTCTCTAGATGGCAAAGGATGAGTTATAGCTTGATCATAGGACTCATTAACTGAGTTTCCCATTTTGTTACCGGTGTAGCTAGACTTTGACGTTAACACGCGGTGTGATACATCTTCCGTACCTGCGGCAAACCTCATTTCGGCGCTATTGATACCATGACTTTCAACATCATTTATCGGTATATGATTACCCAAAGACCTCACTGGGCCGACAACAGAAGGCTCGCGAGACGCTGGGAGAGGGACTAGGTGGGCATCGAGGCCGTTACGTTCAAACGCCGGTGATGAAACCGGAGATTGTTCAACAATCACATCGCGGACACTTGGTGCCCTCGACGAAGCACGTGAACTAGCTTCATAAAGGAAGAAAGAAGGAGTAGGAAGATCAATATGAGGGGATGGCGTGTTCCGCTGGCCAAATTCCGCGGAAACTGGAGATAGGATTGGGAGACTAGGATGTGGCGTTTCCGAGGCCTCAGAGGGCGTTATAAGACCGAGTTGAGGTGGTGGCGAGGAATGGATAGCTTGAAACATTTCATCAGGGCGCTCCCAGGAACGCGGGTGCTGCGGTGTTGGCGCGAATGGATCGTTTCCGTCATGTGGGTATGGGATATTAGTGACCTCCCAGGGGGGTGGAAGATGCGGAGTTGGTGAGAACGGATCCCTCACATCGTGCTGGATTTGAACGTCGAGGTCCGCGTCGTGTGGCGTAAGGACGACTGGAAGATTTGTCGGTATCTCCAGTGGGAGATTATGAGAACCGTTAGCGTTGTCATCAGCATCTAGCGTCGGGACTATGATGGGAGCCTGGATGTCATCGGGGTTGATACTGCTCTCTAACTCAGCCGGCTCATCTTTGGGAACGTCCCCCTCGGCACTGTCATCAGGATCAGGGGCTGGAACTAACATATGAGATTTGATATCATCAGAGTTTAAATCGCCCTCTGATTCCAATGGCGCATGATTCGAAGGGATTGGATCGGAACTGTCACCGGGGTCAGGCTCTGGGACGATGATAGGGGGTCTGATATTGCCGGGCTTGATGTCGCTCTCGGATCCTGGCAGCGTATTCTTGAGAAGAGCAGGCAACGGGGCCGATCTATCGTTATGGTTGCAGTCTAAATTGTCGCCAGCGTCTGGAGCGGGAACGATAGTGGGCTGGCGGATGTCATCGGGGTTTATATCGATTTCTAATTCAGGCTGCGTATCCTTCGGAGGGACTTGCAATAAATTTGGCCCAGGATCACAGCCGCCTTTGGCATCGTTGTCAGGGCTAGGAGCTGGAACAATGATCGGAGGCTGGATATCTTCGGGGTTGTTGTCGCCATCAAACTTCAACCCCGCGGCTATAACCTCTTCTGCGTCGAAGAGCATTTCCACTTCCTCATGTTGTCTATGAGGGATTTCGCCAATATTAATATGCCCATCGTCGCCGGCGCCGTCGAGATTTAAACCTGGCATTCCCTGGTGAGCACCAGCACAGGTCTCACCATGAGAAAGGATACCACCATCATAACCAGCAGACTGAACAGTATCATTCTCAACTGTCCCTTTCTCTGGTTCCATAATAGCAGGAGTATCCTTTGGCAACTCCCCCTTTGATATCCCACCACCATCTTTCCCCGCATCACCACCACCACCACTTGAAGCATCCCCGCCTTTCTCCACCTGTCCCCCCTCAACACCCCTCCCCTTCCGAACCCCCTTCCCCCCCAATCCCCTCAGCCCAAGCAACCGCATAACCCGCGCCCCCAAACCAGGGACATCTCTCAACGCCTTATCCCTCTGCACCTTCTCCTCCCTCATTTTCTCTTTCCTCATCTCGCGTTCCCTTCTGATCTCTTGCGTCTTTGCAGTCCGTTGTGCGGCGGCTGCGAAGAAAGCTGCTTGTGTTGGGCGCGGACCGGTGCCGCCGGTTAGGAAGAAGAGGGTTTCGTGGGGGGGAGGCATGGTGGATGTGTGGGGATAGGAAGGAGGCTTGGTGGGATGATGGTGGGTGTGTAGTGCTGGATTTGTAGTAAAATTGTTTTGCCATGGAAGGTTTGGAGATAATTGGAGATGTGGGTGGAAAAGCTTGAAATATATAGATACTTCAACGTGTAATCAGGTGTGAATGAGGCAGTTGGCGGTAAATATATGGTTGACAAGGAATCATACACTTGCTGCCTGGTGGCATAGGGATTCAAACAAACAGCGTTAAAGAATACGCTGTGAAAGAGACCACTCGGTGATTCACCACGGAAGCATTAACAGTATGGAACGTGAAGTTTACTTAATACTGAAGATTCAGAGTATATCGCTGTTGTAGTCCGGGCTAATCGTGCAGATAAGAGGAATGAAGCTTTGTGCATCCTGCAGGGTCAATTGATAATGGGACACCGAGGCCGTAAATATCATCAACTAGAGTACCTATAATTTCCCTTGTGCAAAATCCAAATTTGAATACATCCTGCTCTGCTTCCAAATAAGCCGCTTCGCAATCCAACTTGCTTAACACCAACCAAATATAAACCATATATCCCAAACAGTATACAAATAAAAATAACACCAGTCAGGACTCAAGAGTCAGCTCCCCACCCAGTCCTCGCCTGCCGTCCAGTCGCGATACTAACAGCAGCGCCCACCACACCTTGCAAAAACGCCGCCCCAGTGCTCTGCACCCGCGCGTTATCATTCCCCGAAATCGCCATCTGCGACGTCTGTGCCCTGTACACCTCGTCCACCCAGCCCTGATGCTGTCCCAACACGGCACGTCTGAGGGCATCGCGCCAGCTGGCTACGAAGGCCGGTTCAGCCATGACGAGGGGCTTGGCGGTGCAGTTATTAAGGTTCTTGGCGTTGATCTTGTCGGCTTCCTCGCGGCGGTAGGGGAAGGCGGCTGTGATGCCCGTGTAGCGCTTAGTCATAAAGAAGAGGGCGGGCCAGGTGAAGAGCCAGAGGAAGGTGAGATAGGTGAACCAGCAGAGATACTTGTTCTGGCGGAGGGTATTGATGCGGTGGGGAGAGTAGATGATGATTTTTGAGTTTGTGGCGACGGCGTGGACCTTGGTGTGGCCGCGGTAGGAGGTGCTGTCAACGATACGGCGGACAAGGCCTTCGACGACGGAGGTGTCATGTAGGAGGACGGTGCGAGTGATTTCGAGAGACTTGATGGACGACTTGTCCTCGACGTAGGCTTGGCACCATGAGTGAATCATGCTCTCTCCGTCTTCGGGCTGCCAGTTGATGTCCTTGCTGTTGGCGAGGACCGTGCCGCGGTGTGCTTTCTCGCCGGCCTGTGGGGTGAGGAGGTAGCGGCATTGCGTACCGCGCTGGTCGGTGCAGTGAGAGGCGTTGGTCTTGTGAATGGGGTTCGGGCAGATGAGCAGGTGCGTCATTGGCAACTTGATGTCGAAGTCAACGACTGTCTCTTTCTTGTTGCCTTTGTCACCACGGCCCCGGAAGGTCTCGGTGTGCGTGCCCTTGAGATATAGGGTATAAGTTGGCGGGTATGCGGCCTGTTCGGTGATAAATGTCGACAGAGTCTCGACTGAAGTAGAGAATGGGGAATATGTCGTGGAAATAGTCTTGAGGTCGCTGGAGACAGTGGATTCCGGGACGGCGGGGATAACATGGTACCTGGGTAGTTAGCATTGTGTGAGACATTGGGGTGGGGGCACGAACGAGATCTCATGCTGCGTCTGAGGGACGATATCAGGGACGTCGTGATACGAAGGGAGATGTTCTTCCTCGGGGTATTCATCCATGGTCACGGCCGAGGCCATTGAGGCCGTTTCGGCGCGGTCCGGATCATCGCGGTATGACAGCTGCGGTCCCCTGGAGGATTTTCCCGTAGGAAGCTGGATCTTGCCTCCCATACTGACTGACTGAGGGTGATTGGGCAATGGAGTCGACTGGATGCTGGTTGTGTCTAAGCGATCAACGGTACTGGGTACGGCCGAAAGATAGCACGTCTAGAGCATACAAGACCATGCAGAGGATGAAGACGTTGGAGAGAGTCACGGCTATGAGGATATAGGGATTGAGGGAGAGGGTAGAGAGGGAATACATGAAGAGAAGAGAACGGAGAGGAGGGAGAGAAGAGTAGGGGAAGTGAAGAAAAGTAGAGATAACCAGGATAACGAGCGTAGCGGCTGGTGCCTATGGGAATGGGGAAAAGAGGGGGGATGTGCGGGATCAATGGGGATGGTACATGGGTGGTAAGCACGAAATGCTGCGCCGCAGAAGTAGATCCCCAGTGCTTTCCGAATGGTCAAAATTGCCAAAAATGGCCAAACAAGGAAGTCGTCGCGTGGGTGTGGAGAGTTGCTATTTCTGGTCTTTCTGCCCACTGGGCTCCACGCGGCCTAGGCGGTCTAGGCTATTTTGGGTCGCCGGGTGGCGGTGAGTGGCGCTTGTCGTTTTGAGCGTTTAGCGTTTAGCGACTATTGGTTTTTAGAGGGTTTTAGGGATATTTAGGGTGGAGATAGCTTCGGGATCAAGGCAAAACAAGCTCCTCAGCAGCTCCCTTGACCCCAGCTCCCTTAATGATCCTCGTTCGTACCGTCTAAGCTCGACTAGCTTCTTTTTCCTTTCAACATATCAATTTCTCAACTTCTCCTTGTGAAACCGTCGATAACCGTTGAACCCTTAACCCTCATTCCTTTTCACCAACAGCCCTTCTCTTTCCTTCATATTGATACATATGCTACTGTGCTTCGGACATCTATTACTATATTTTCCACTTATTTACCGTGCATACCTTCCTTCCTTCGAGACAGGGGTCCCATCATACGCCAAGCGTATCCCCCCATAGCTAATGCGGGGTGGTCAGGGCACTACTGTTGGCCGTGAGAGTCACCGGAAACTCTATTTCTAAATCTAAACTATAAGTTCGGGCCCACCCTCGATGCTTTATAGACTCGTTAATTCGTGAGCTATTCATCTCCCTACACTCGAGGTTCTAGGAGAAGCTCTGTTTTCCCGTCCAAATATTGAATTTCGCGTTGACGCGGAGCTCTAAAACATGGCACCGGCCAACATTGAAGCCTCCCTTCAGCCAGGGCTCATCCTCCGCATGAGCCCGGCTGACTTTGCCTCCCACCTTTGCGGCCTTGTTGCGAGTGCTCCCGCTGATCAAGGTGACGCAACTGTCGCTGCGATCACGAGCCAATTGCAATCCCATGTGCACAGCAACGCCATCCCGCCCATACTCTTTTCCATATGGCTTCCCATGGCCCTGGCCCATCTGCCTCAACTACTTGGGGATGTACTCGGCGACAAGGAGTCAAGCGGCATGCGGAAAGCTGGTACGAGACAGTTGCGTCGAATACGCAGGGGCCGGAACTGGTCCGAGAACGAGTGGAAGGCCCTTGGAGGGATTGAAGGCGTCCGGAGCCTCTTCAATAATTTATCTGTGTCAGATGTCCGTCCGCTGGTTATGGCCATTTCTGTGGGTGCGAGAACCAGAGGGGCCGCCGGAGACGAGGCAGTGGACCATATTCTGGAGGCTCTTACAGGTGGGAGTAGCGAGGTGCAGCGACTTGAGTTGAACGACATTGCGAGTCTACTTGTGTCATGCAGCACTCCCTTTGTTACTAAGTGGCTGTCGAAGGAGCCCCTGCCATCGTTCCCTCTACGTGCCCTGTTTAAATGGCTTGTGGGAAGCCGACCAGATCTAGCACGGAACATCGCGACAGGCGCCGCGAAGGTTCATCCTGAGGTCAGATCTTCCTTGGTGACGAACCCCCCAGCCGGACTTATTTGGTCGCCTGCGCCATATAAACCAAAATACACCACTGTCGAATTATCACCAAAATCACCCCCAGGGATGCGTTTCTGTTTCGACTTGTTACATTCGTTGCGAACAGAACCGATGTCTAAAACGGGCCCTTCTGCGGAAGATATCCTCAAGTTTGTACAAATTGCCGAAAATCAGGCTATACGGCATAAGACGCCATTTGACGATATACTGTCGTTAGTCCAAGTCGGCTTGGACGTGGCTGAGCTCCAGGTTGAAAAACTAAAACTTAAACTGACTGATCCACGCCTGGTGGCATTAATATACTATTGGTCTATGGCGAAATACCCCGATTACATCCCGGATTGCTCCATCAATCACAAGAAGGGCCCTCTGTCAGCGGCATCGCATCCATCGCGGCCAAACGCCAAGCACCAGGCGGACCTAGAAACGCTCATTGTGCATATCATAAAGTCAGCTATCCCATATAGCAACGTGTATTACATGATATATGAACTCTTTGAACTACTGCCAAAGAAGTCGTTTGCGCCCTCTGCAGGACTGCCATTGCTAAAGCTTTTATATTGCCATATACCGACTGTACGGGTTGACTTGGACAGCCCGCACTTGATTGATGAAGAATGGCGACGCATTGACTTAGATGCCGCTATTTTGACCAAGCTTCCCTCCAGCGACTCCAAATGGCTTTTTGGCCGACGACCCAATTTGCTAGACGCGGGGAGTTTGATCACATTCTACCAGAGAGGTTCGCCTTGGACAAGTGTAGATACCGATACACCCTGGTGGTTCAAGCACGGCCTGCTAAAGATTATGTGGGAAGTCGAAGACGCCCAGCCGAGAAGTGGCTTCTACGAGACTCTCAAATTTCTTGAAAAGGTTAAGACAGAAGCCGAAAAAAGCCGAGATCCAGATATCAGAGCGAGTTGGGCCCTCAGAGCCGCTGAGGTGGCTGTAAGTAGCAATAGTGTTGCCATCATGAGGGACGTGACAGTCTGGTCTAGACGTTATCAACGCGACCATAACGTCTACCCTGTTATCACTGAGAAACTACAACACTGGTCGGCTGGCGATGTCCTATCATGTGTAACGCTTCCTCCGAACCGACGACCAGCATCTCTTTCAGAGCTCAAGGCTCTTGTTGACGAAGCAAACTCGATTCTCTCACTTCATATTGAAGCAGCCGTTCAATACCTCAGGGAGCCTAGTTTCATACCCAGCATGTTTATCAGCTTGGACAGATTGTTACGCGAAGTTTTAGACACGCGAATAGATGGGGTGCAGACCCTCCGGAAACTAGGCTTGGGAAGCAAAAGCGAGCTTGTGTCGATTCTGATCGAATCAATGATGCCAGTATTATTGCTCTACGAAGAAACGTCCTTGGTCGATGGGAACGGACCATTGCGTTGGGATACTCCGAATGGCCCTCTACGAACGGAACCAATTTTTAGCCCTCGCCGCTTATTTGCTCTGCCGTTTCTTGACAACTTAGCCAAACGCAGAGACGAGTTATGGGCCCAGGCACGCCTAAAGCGGAACGATCTTGTTGCAACTCTCGACAAAGGCTGGCCCAGAGGGTTGCCAATCCAATATCTGTTTCCTGAGGACCAGTGGATGGTACAGGCCCTTGCAAATCCTGAAGCAGCACCATTCGTAGCGGAGAGAGTGAGAAACGTCATATTCTGCGATGCTGAAACTGCTCTGGTACCAATCCCCCACAACACGGAAGCCATTGGTTTGTTTGTCGACAAGCTGGATGTTGCAATACGGTCGTATGTTGGCAGCGGGTCGTCGGCTGGGGCGTTAGGACGGATTGAACGCGTCTGGGAGCACTACTCTCACGTCGTTCCTGCGGCTGCTGGGCACATTCAGTTTGTAAAATCGGTCTTAAAGGATATTGCTTCATCAGGTGGAATAGAGTGGTTGAAGGACGACGTCGTGTCTCCCCTGCCACCGTCCTTGCCTGTCTCCGAAAACAACTTCGAGGTTGACCTGGAGCCGACGGAGTGGGACCCTCGGCCCAATGGTGGCGGCCGTGACGACAAGATTACCAAAAATAACAAAGTAGACGAAAAACCCCAAAACCTACTCCTATCTCGAGTTTCGGCTACCAAAAGTGTGCACTACCGGTGTTCATGGTACCAGCAAGAATTCAGTAAACCAGTACACTCAACTCTGACAAAGTCAGTTGACTCAGAGCCAGGTTTCTGGAGGACATGGATCAAGGAGATCCATAAACTACCAATGTCGAGCAGAGATGCCCTCGTGGCATCAGCTATGTTGTATCTTGATGCATTCGTGGCTGGAAATAGTCGTCTTCTTTCCAACCAATTTCCTGCTGGTGCATTCCATCCTCGATATCCACCAATGTACCTAGACTACGAATTTCTCTCCAGTGCTGGAAAATCAAGCAACACCGAAGTGTACGTCAAGGATGCTATTATTGCTCTTCGGAAACTGAAATCGATTGTTCCACCACTGTTATTAAGAGACTTGGCAAATTCGATGCTCAACAAGCTTGTCGATATGGGGAATGATGAACATAATCATCAGCTCGAATCCGCTACGTTTAAAATTATCTCACTTCTTTCGCACTCGGATCAACCTCACCTTGCCTCTGATCTAGGCCTTAAGGTAATTGAGAAGATGCCGGATTCTTCATCATGGCACCGGAGGGTTATTTCCGTAGGACTGTGCAAGAGATTAACTTCTACGCAAGTCGAAGACATGCTGCATAAGTTTTCCCACTACATCGTCGATTCACTCAAGGGGCAGCATGCAGGCCATGAAACCGAGAACGTGGAATATAGCCAAGACCATCCTAAGCGCAAATACGCAAAAGTAACAACCATAAAATTACTGGCGGAGTTGCTTGAAAACGGAGATTTAGTCTCGAACAAGATCTCTCTGGATATCCTTCGGTCTCTATTTGTTACAAGCAATCACATCGACGTGAAGGTCGCAGCCCTCAGTGCAATTAGAGAACTACTTGGAAAAAGTGTTCGTTTGGGCCTTGAGCCAGACCTCAGGGCCTACAAAACTTTCACTTCGTTTGCTTACGCGGCAACTGGCCCCGACGAGAGATCAGTTGTTTCAGAAGCCGAATGGCTAGCTGCGGAAAATGGAGGCCCTCTTCCCAACTGCGACAAGAAACGGCCCCTCCTCGAGCTTTTTCTTTGGGCAAAGAGTAGAATACCCGACAAGTTCCATGAAGATTACGTGAGCAGTGTCTTGTTGAAGATTCTTGATGAATCTACGAGGCAGCATACTCGTTGGATGCGGATATTTCTTGGAAGGTTTAATCTGTCAGCTAAAGAGGCATCTTTCGCTTCCTTCGGCCCCTTCGAACAAATTTTTCATTCCCACCCCCCCGGCGTTGAGAACTATGCGGACAAATTGCTGTTAGAGTGGCCGGAGTACATTTCAAAAGATTATCTCCTTCTAAACCGGGAATTGTCATTGTCACTGGGGTACCGCGACTGCGAAAAACATGCACATATTAATAAAAAGATAACTGCCGAAGACCCGACATTATGGGAGACGAATGCTGGTGATCATTGGAGACACTACCTCGAGACTCATACGGAGTACAGAAGTGCATTTGAACCTCTTGGCCGGCTCATGCGACAAAATATACAACCTCGTGTCCCAGACGGGATAACCCTCGAAGATGTGGAAGAAGAATACTTTCAACGCGTTGCAATCGCAGCTAGGGACCCCCGTTGTTACAAAGACAGAGATTCCATTGTGTCCCTGGAGCCATTTGAATACGCGATTAGCCTATTGGTATCCCCTGGTGACTCGAGGCACAATTTAATTAGCATATTAGTATCTTATGGTGACACGGGGAACATGGTAGAAAGCAAACGCCGACTTTTGGAAAGAATCGTTACTGACGTTCGGGATCTGCATACCAAAATCAGGCCGGACGAATCATCGGAGAGGCCTCCGCTTCTCCCTTCCCTGTGGAATCTCCGCTGTAAGCTCGCTATGACCTCTCCATTGATAGAGTTGGTAGAGCGCGTCAACTCTCTGTGCGAAGAATGTGCTCAATCATCATTTGCTATGGGCCAGTACCAGCAACTTGTCAACGCTGTTAGCACCATTCCGTCCGACAGCAAGACCTTCCTCTTAGTCAAGCTAGGAGTGGCGGCACAGAATCAGCACGATACTTTTGCGGGGTGTATCAAGGCGCAATTGGTGCATCACCTTCTTCAGGGGACCAAAACTATAACTGCACCGGATATGCGTATGGAGGTTCAAGCGCTGTTGGCGTCGTGGTTGGATAGCACGAATGATAATATCCGCAGGCTTGCTTTTGGCCAGGCGGAAAGGTTTTCTAAAGTCAAAGCAAAAATCACTTTGGCGTGAAACTTGTCATCACTATCCTGATTCTGAAGACGCAGAGGAAGACTTGGAAAATTAGAAGATGAATTCGAAGAGGGCGACAATGGCGAAAACAAGAACGAAAACGGGGAATTGTAATTTGCTGTTGTGCAAGGCGTGAAATGCACCTTTACCAACAACACGATGGGTTGGTGAACATAATATATTTGAATGAGTATCCCAAATTAAATATACTTACAACTACATTTTATTTGAATGAGCTGCCTTGGAAATTAAGTATGGGTTTAATCTAATGTGGAAATTTACGGTGAAATCAAGAGCAAGGTGAAGCATACAAGACAGCTTCACATGAGTGCAAAGTAGGATGTATCATTTTATTCGCTATTCCACTATATAAGAGATAAACATCTCAAAGCCATATAATCTCAAAATAACGTGTTATTAATATTTTACAAGATAAAAGGGGTCGCCCGTGTGGCTGGTTGTAGTATTTCTATTCATCCTGTCAAAATCGCTTGAGATCGACACAATGCTTCCACACCGCGGACGGCTGTGGGGAAGCTGAATATTGTGCTTTGGTGCCACTGGGGCTTTGAAGAAATAAGCCCAACGCGAGACATATATTTTAGATCGATTCGAAGAGGACGATAGCCGAGAATTCAATATAAAGGGGGGGTAGGTATGAAGCACATATTCAACCGAAAGAGAGCTGCTATTCCCAGGCAATGTCAATTGCTGCACAATTACATGACAAGAACATATAGATGGCGATTTAGTACCGTTTTTCATTATATGTACTTGTAAGCACATACTGACATTAGACTTTGTCGCCTGTATGTGGGGCCGGGTATGCACAGGGACCGCCATTCGGGCGGGTCATGCGTCCCAGAGATTTAGTTTAGTAATCTAGCCATAATACGAGGTCCAACTAAAGACGAGAGAAAGAAATTTGATCCATGGCCCTAAAGCTCGGGTATTAGATGGGCGGGGAATAGCCTTTAGGCCGGGCATTGCCAGAGCATTGCCGACGATCTTATAACATACTTACCATTGATACTTGAAGGCAAAGAGTTGGCGGATGGAAAGGCAAGTGGCCCAGATTTATAATACATCGCCAGATCAAAATATGAATTATCCATATAATAGAAGATATATAGAAGATAAACAGGGGTCGTACTAGATATTAAATAGACCCCAAGTAACTAACTGCACCCAACCATATCACAACTACCGCAATCCCTACCACATGCCCCACAGACTACTATAACCATGAGCTTCCCCTCTTGGACACATATAACCCATCATGATGTCTACACACCTATCGACTCTTCCAGCCTTGAGCTATGAGGTAATGGAAATGTGGTCATTGTCTCCGGCGGCGGGCGCGGCATAGGGCAAGAAACCGTGCTCGCATTTGCCAAATCAGGTGCGAGAGCCGTCACCATCACCAGCCTCAGCGAGAGCGCAATTGGCGCCGTTACAGGCGAGAACATTAACCTCGGATGCGAGGCGTGCTACTATTCCGCTGGCGCGGCTGACCAGACGCGGATTTAGGAGGTGTTCACATCGACCAAGGCGAAGAGCAAGATCCCACAGCAGGACATAGGTAAAGATGTTTTGTTATGCTTTCGTTATGGTATTTTGTGTTCCAACGCTGACTTATATCCTTAACACAGTTGATGTCCTGGCGGGTTTCTCCGTGTGGCCAGCCAGTGCCGAATCCAACTCTGTCCGTGGGAGAATGCTGTGGGAAAGCTGGGATGTGGATGAGTTGAATACCAAAACCGACGACATACTGAATGAAAATTTATTAAAGATAGTACTCAGCGGTTTGTCGTGAACTTCTTGTGATTGGGTCGTTGTCGTCGTCGCTCGTTGGTCCGATTTCCGGAAAAATATATCACATCGCGTTGAGCGGCAGCAAAAGTGCAGTTTACTGTGCGCCAAGGAAGTGTGAATCATTAGATAAATTTGTGGTAAGATATGAGAAGCAAAACTTCGTACAGTGTCGTTGGAACGTCCCCCTTGAGTATTACGAGGTCGCGTACCCTTGCACCTCGCCATCGCACGCTGGGAGGTTTGAGTTCATCGCCGCACATTGGCTTTAAGTCATGACAACTTCAAGGCTGCCATCTGAGCCAGTCGAGCCATTCGAATTGTTAGCTATCGTTCCATCGTCGCCTGGCCTCTGCAAGGACAGTACGTCGCGAGCGATAGTTTGTATTTCTCCCACCGTTACATGACCAATGGGCCATACCTTTCCTAATACTTTGATGGCACCTAGACCCAACCTGACGCGATCTCTTGCCGCTTTATATTCGGCGCCCTTCAATTTGAAGCGGCAAGCCGACATTTGAGCTAGTATCAATAATGTCAAACCGCATATAGCCAGAGGCGAGTGCGTAGTAAATGAGCTTGGTAAGGTAAATAGTCCAGTGCCTGCTTCTGCGGCTTCGAGCACTTTCGTGGTGTGGAAGTCAAAGGCTCGTTGCTCCTCTTCTACCAGTTTCTCCGATGGTGGATGTGCACATCGAGAGTTACGTTCGACAGAGCCATAAGCCAGCTGGGACCGCGGCCGATGAAGATAGACCTTAAGCCTATATAAAGTCAGGATCTAATTCCTGGGTTGAATCGTGATCGCCATGAAGAGGAATATAACTCACGTGTTATAAAGCATAATGGCATGAAACATAACCTCATCAACCTTCCCAGGATCTTCGACAACGAGCTGCTTCTCTTTTGGGAGGTACATGAACCAATTCATCAGTTTCGCATCAGCACTGATGACAGCAGGCTCGAAGGTACCCTGAGGTTCCGTCCCCAATGCCAGGATCGAGCCAGCGATGTAGCCCAGATCGACTAAGTAGGCGCAAGAAGAAAATTTGAGTTCCTCTCCGGCAAATTCACGGGAATTGTACTCTTCCAAAGTGTAGGGTCGTGGTATGTTCTATAACCGGTTAGCAAACCCGTAGCACCACCCAAAAAACAATCATGCTTACCCCTGCGTTATAATCGGCATCCTCACAGGGCAGATTGACATCTGATTTGATGTCCTGCAATGCGAACGATGGGCAGTTCCGAATACCAGCAAAGATGCTATCAGTCAGAAATAAAAACCACCATGTCCTCCTCCAACTTTCAGCCAGTACAGCACTACCCTCTCCATTCGAAGTTGCAAAGGCCTCCGAGTTCATATTGATGCTAAGAGCTATGCGGATTGCACGATCGAGTATAACACGTGCATTTGTGAATTCATCACAGGAGTGCACCGCAATCGCAAAGGTTAAAAGAGCCTGAACGGAAAAGCCATTGGCAGGCAGAGAATCTATTAGTAATGGACTCTCCGCCCGTTCCTGCATGGAGCTCCTATCGGAGCCTTGGTCGAAGAGCGACCCGATAAACTCCAGTACTGGCAGAACATGCTGCAGGGAGTCGCTGTCGGTCTGTAACCGCTGATTCAAAAACTTTTGAGGAAGGACATAGGGATGAGCATCATGGAAGAAGGCGTAATACAAATCCAAGAGTTTGGATGAGTTTTCTGGCTCTGATATGCACCCCGCTGTGGTTTCATTGGCAGTACCAACAGGAGAGAGATCGATCGGACTCGTCCTCAAATAGAAGCTGCTGCTCGTGGAATCCATAGAATGCGTAGTCGAGTTCGCGCCACTCGCGGACCTAGACTGCCGCTCCTCGCTCTCCACCTGCGTTCCTCCATTCGATGAAATCTGGCGTTGCTCCAAGATGGCCAGCTTGCCGCGCCCTCGCCTCGACTCGGCGTAGACGCACGTTTTGCCACTTCCGATGCACTGTGTGCACGCCGGAGAAATTGCATCACATTTAGTATGACGGCTACGGCATGGAATGCATGCCAGAGAGACACGAGTCTTGGGTCGTGGCCGAGAGTCCGTTGAAGACGTTGCGGGGGCTGGAAAGTCTATCGGCGGGAACTGAGAGCCTGAAGCGTTGAATTCAAAGGGATCATTAAAGTCTGCGGCAGAGAAGTCGTAATCCAGCCCTAATTGGAACAAGGCTACCCTGTTAGCAACCGCGCCGTATTGATCCATGCCGTCTGGATGGGACCAGGTAGTTAAATCCGGGGTATTCATTTGCCGCCACACTTGATCTACACCGTTGCATACGTTGGAGTTGCAGGCTAGTCTTCGCAATTGAACAGCTGTTGTGGCCTATATGTCTATATAACCGGAAATTTACAACATATATGCCTGGTAGTGGCGAAGGGACAGAAGGGGGATGTATACGGGATAAGGGATGCAGTCAGCTTCGTCGTTACGATATTTGGATGACTCTTGGTGCTAATCCTGTTTAGTACTAAATTAATATTCGCACCCCTTAGTGTGGATAGACCCACAATTGGGTGGTGTAAAAGCTTAGTCATTTTTGTCAATCACAGCCATATTCAGTCGGGTAATTCTTCACTCAGGGTGTGTATAAGACTCTTGGAGTTGTCATATCTGCAGGCTAGCTGGATTCATAACTCGTAAAAACCTAAAGTTGTGGACTTGAAAATTCTCCAGGGTTCTAATATCCAATATCAGGACATAATAGATACAATAGATATCAGTTTCACCATTGAATATTCGATCTCTGGACGCCACCAAAATATGACACTCGAATCATCTCCCGCTGGTGCCTGGGCCGCCTCGGCCGAGGGTCCAAATGAAAATAAGAGACACATTATTTCAGACCACAGGTTACTAGGAACGTATCACACACGTGCTGGTTTTGAGTTCAATGATTTTATATCCCTACTTTATCCCGCCAACTCATTCATCCACATGACAATGAGAATCTCTCGCCCAGTATTTCATTTATAGAGCTATATAAATCAACGAAAGCTGCAAGATTTTCTATTACACTTGCGAAATCGCTTCAGATTACATCAGACTTCCTTATATGGACTCCCATGGCCATCCTTATGCATAATAACCAATCCATTAGCGCCGGGTTCAAGTATCGCCATCTCCATCGTCTTCTTGTAAAACTTTATGCAAGGTTCACCCTTCGTGAACAGCATTGCGCGGCGGAGATCAGGCCACGAATCTAGGGTCTCGTTGATACATTCCAGCAGCCATCGACCTAGGCCATTCGCCTGATGTTCGGGGATGATGAAGACGTCCGTGAGGTAGGCAAAGCTGGATTCGTCCGTGACGAGACGGCCGAGACCGATCTGGGTGAGGGAACCACGGCCTAGAGAGGGGTCAGGATGAGAACCGACCGAGTTATGGGGTATAATAAGTTGAAAGAGTAATATTATTCTACTTACCTGCGATATCGGAAGAGGATTCGGGTAGGATATAGACGCCGAAACAAAGAGACTTGGACAGCATCTTCTTCATTCTGTCTTCGGGCATACCCTTCGTCCAGTACATGTAGTCCGCATTGAACGCCTTAGTTATAACATCGATCTGGAGCAAATCCTGAGATGTGGAGATGAGGAATTGGTCCTTGTACCATTCTGTCTTGGTTGCGGACATTCTCGATTGAAAAAAAGGCAAAAATTTGTTCGTATGTAATTGACAGCTGGTATTTTATTATCCTCTGTAAATATTGACGATATTGTTCGCCAGCGATATTTATTATATTCCTCGTTGACTCACAGCCTGTGAATCTAGAACAAACTGATACTAGAGTACGAGTACGAGCAGCGTGGATGACTCGACCAAAATCGGCACCGGCTGTCACGTGGAAGGTGCGACCAACAAGCCAAAAGCTCCTCGTCGTTCCTTCCCTCCATCGCAACTCTGATCCAGTCGCACCTTCCTCTTGGCTTACTTTATCTTTATCTTTATTTTTCACAAAAAAGGAAGGACCGGGAAATCGTGATGTTTCTTGCCCCAGTCCCATTCAACGTCCTCTCTGGCAGCCGTCGCGCCGCGCAATTGAGAGGAGGATTGCTGGTCTCTGCGAGTTTAAAAGCAGATATATAGGCACCCTATCAAGTAGAATATGTGAAAACAATTCTTCATGTTTTCGTGTAACTACTGGAGGAGAAGCCCTGGCACACTGGGAAGTATTAATGGATATTCGAGTCTCGTTTCTCGACCCCGTTTGGCTTCTTGCGCTCTCCCACTTCGCTTTTCCACAGAGTCTCTGTTGTTTCCTGCACCTTGTCGACAGTTCCAGCATCGCCGTTGCTATTCGGTTGGCAAGGGGCATATCTGATTTCTCATCTTCCATCTGTGGCAGTCTTACAGAGAAGAGGCAGAAACAACCCCCTCAAACATCGGCGATTCACCATCCCGTGCAGGCATATCGTCAGCCAGTTTGATACTATCTCCAAGATACATGATTCGCCGAGACGCCAAGGTGGGCTTAATTCATCATGCTCAGGATCACGATATCGCGGCCTTTCCCCATGCGATGGCCGTCACCGCGGGGTATCGCGGGTAGCACGCCATTTGTAGTCTATCATATCGCGTTCTGGCATGGGAGGTCGGCGATTCAATCCCAAAACCTCCGATGGTATGTCGAAATATTATTTCTATAACTTGACTGCTTTTCCAAGTCTTTGCCCCATTCCAGTTCTCAGTTGTTTTATGCGTTATACCCCCAGATTTCAATCTCAAACTTACCAACCTTCACTGTTCATCAACAAATAAACATTATAATGGCAACAACGACCACCACCATACAGGAGTCGACAGGTGAGAGTATCGGGAAGATAGCCGTAGCTTTTGATGAGAAGGTACATGAAGGAGTAAGTGGCCTTACATAAGATTCCTCAATTCACCGTCGGCTGACATATCATCCCACTACACAGTCGAGGTACACAGCATACCTCCCTGTCTATGACAACGAGACCAAGTTTCCGCCTACCCAGCCGTTTGAATTCCGCGATCGCGGGTTGGATGCTGACCCTGCCAAACCAAATCTGTTGAAAACAGGTGATCCAAACATCGAGGTCACTAGGCTCACACCTCGAATCGGCACTGAGATTAAGGGGCTACAGCTGTCGCGATTGAATGACGCCCAAAAGGACGAACTCGCCCTCTTGATTGCAGAACGTGGCGTGGTTGTATTCCGTGACCAAGATTTTAAGGATATTGGTCCAGAGAAGCAAAAGGAATTTGGCCAGTCATTCGGACCTCTACATGTCCATGTTAGTTTTCCCATATCTAGTCTAATATTGGCTTGCTAATCGGATTAACGCAGCCCGTTGGTGCACATGTTGAGAATCATATTGAATTTCACAGCATTTATCTCGGGTCTGATAACCTCTATCGTGCTCAACAACGCTCGAGCAAGTTAACAACTACGGGATATCACTCTGATGTTTCATATGAGCACCAGACCCCAGCAATTACAATCCTGACACTCCTCGAGGTTCCATCCACTGGGGGGGACACGGGATGGGCTTCACAGGTGGTGGCATATGAGAGACTATCAGAGCCCATTAAAGTATTGCTAGAGGGCTTGCGTGCTGAGCATAGTGGCCATGAGCAAGCTGCAGGAGCCATACGTGACGGGAAAACCGTGCGGAGAGAGCCCGTAAAATCTCAACATCCGATCGTCAGAGTTCACCCCGTAAGTTCCATTAATATTCCAAATGTATCCAGTTGGAAACTAACTCGTATTCAGGTCACCAGACAAAAGGCGCTCTTCGTCAACCCAGGCTTTACCAGGCGCATCGTAGGCTTGAAGGATGAGGAATCGGACGCCTTGCTGAAGCTTTTATTCAAGGTATTTTGTGCAGCACCAGCAAATCATTAATACTGACACTACTGTAGCATATCTCGCAAGGTCAAGATTTCCAAGTCCGTGTGAGATGGGATGACAGGACGGTTTCTCTCTGGGACAATCGAGTGACCGCTCACACTGCGATCTCAGATTACGACGTTCATAACCCCGAGGAAGGCTTGCGCCATGGGTTTCGAATTACAACCCTTGGAGAGAAGCCAGTGGGCGTCAATGGATTGGAGTCTACGTGGTAGATTTATATTTTAATGATTTCTATTTTGATGGGGCATATACTGATCTGTGGTTTCGTCCATTTTTTAACCGCAACTACACAGGCATGCGATTTGTCATACATTTAGACACTGTCAATATGATAGGATATTATCATTCTTCGCTATTTTTATAATGAACATTACTGCAGGTATTCGGCGTGACACAACTCACAGTTTCCCCTGATATAATTGCCAAGAATCACGTGAAATAGAAGTGGGCGCAGCAAGTTTACGGATTCCGTGACTCACGCCGAACAATTCTGTTGTCTTGAATATAAGCGCAAATAAGAACCCAGAGAAAAACTCACACTGGAATCTATTTACTATTATATATATGCTTATTTGTTGCCATAGACTAAGGTTGTGCGCGAATATCTCCACCACGGCCAAGGCACAAGAGGCCAATCTTGCCGATAAACGAAACAACCCAAGAATTTGTACAGCAACAACTTACATATGGCGACGATTCAAGAAGCCCGAGGCTCTGTAAGCCTTATCGGTGAGGCTATTGATATTTTGGCTACTAGCGCAATCCCGGACTTGAAGCGTAAAGTACGGGACTTTCAAATCCAAACAACCCCGTTTCATATCACACTCGTCACGAAAGATGAGAAACGCAATCTTTCGCCCGCTGCTCTTGCATCTCTAGTTAAGTTTACTGCAGCTAGCGCCTCAGAAATTGGAATCTTTCACCACCTGGGCACTGCTTGTATAAAAAGGGGCGGCAGCGATGTTGCATTTATCGTCGTTATCTGGGTGTCCGGACAGCAGATTCGGAAACGTTTGGGTCTACCACACAAGGATTTCCACATTACCCTATCCGCTAATGATAATCACAATATTGATAAAAGTATCGCCTGTCTACGTGTGGGGGAATTTGATGTTCAAAATGCGTCATTGGAATGCCTGGACCATCTTACATTTACTCTCCATAATGCGGGGCGATATCTCGACGCAAAAGCGTACTCGCAAGAGATTCTATTAAGGGACCCTGAATCATCAAAGGGATGGCTTCGATTAGCAGATGCGGCTCTCCAACTGGGAGAATTTAAAGTTTCCATGTTGGCATACGCGCAAGCTTGGAAAGCAAGTGAGAACGACAAAATGAGTGCGTATACCGTGAAAATGTTACATAAATGCTCTACGGATACCGAATGGGGACACTTGCTGCAAGAAGAAGAATTGACCCAGCTTGAGAGCGTCTCAAAACAAATAAGACAGCGTTTGTTGACGCCTTGGCCGAATAATCTGCGTGAGTCCATCGCAGATATGGGGGTTCCTCCTTCGCTGTGTCTCGAGCCGCGTCGGCATCTTTCCATACCAGACAGCATTGGAGTGTTTTCTCTCCCTCGTTTTTTTCGATGGCTTGTGCCTTTCAAAATCGCAGTTATGTCAACGCCACGCAACGGACGAGACATCCGGGCATTAAGCTCTGACGGCATTGGAATTAAAACTGTTCTTACTCTTACGGAGGAAGAACCACTGGATCAATCATGGTTTAATACGAGGATTAAGAATGTATTCCTTCCGATTCGAAATTACTATCCTCCTTCGATTGAGCAGATGGATATCGCCATGCGTATTTTGACAGACGAAGAGAGCCTTCCAGTTCTGATCCACTGCGGTGGGGGGAAAGGCCGTGCAGGTTCAATCGCCGCCTGCTACATGGCAGCCTGTGGCTTTACTAAGCCAAATCTACAATCCGACGACTGGCAACCAGCAATGTCAGCGCAAGATTCGATTTCAAAGCTCCGTGCTATCCGACCTGGGAGCATAGAAACCGAACAGCAAGAGGTCTTCATATCGAAATGGGTGAGCGTGCTCTGGAAACGACAATCCCTCTTCCCCACCGCAGTCCCTGAGCCACCAGCCTGTCCACTCGATATCACGGGGCAGCTCGACGGCTCCGTTGATTTCCTCATGCTCGTCGGTATTCCCGGCTCAGGAAAATCATGGGTGGCGAAGTCACTGCTTGCCCGTGACCCACGCTGGACCTACGTCTCACAAGATGAGTCGAGTCGCTCCGCCTGCGAAACAGCTGTCAGTCGCACAAAAGGGAAACTCATACTCGACCGGTGCAACACGAGTGCCGCGGACCGGAAATTCTGGCTTCAGCTTGCAGATGCCAAAAACGCGGTGTGCGTACTCTTCGACTACGATACTGAGTTATGCGTGTCGCGCGCCCAACAGCGGGCTGACCACCCCACTCTTCCTCCAGGGTCAAGGGTGCTAAATGCGGTGAAGCAGATGACGGAACAGTTTTCTGCGCCAGAGTTTAAAGAGGGGTTTAAGGCAGTGCTCACCGTGAAGTCCTTTGCGGCGTCTGATGATTTAATCTCTCAACTCTCGCCTACTATTGGACTCCTGAAATTCCCTCGCACAGCCCATCTTATCGACCTTGGTGCCATTGGTTCAGATGATATTCTACTCCCCTCTGCGCCTGCACTCTCACCTGGATGCACTGTGGTGATCACAGAAAAAGTCGACGGCGCGAATATGGGATTTAGCTTGTCTTCAGATCGGCAATTGTTGGTACAGAACAGATCTCATTTTGTGAACTCCAGCTCGCATAGCCAGTTCAAGAAACTCGATTCATGGATGGCAAGACATAGGGAGGAATTATTTGGATTATTGAACCAAGACAAGTACTTCCCGCAGCGGTATATTTTATATGGGGAGTGGATGCATGCTGTGCACTCAGTCTCGTATAATTCTCTGCCTGACAGATTTTTGGCATTCGATCTGTTTGATCGCGGGGAAGGCAAGTTTGTAAACAGAGAGACTTTGGAAACTCTGTTGAGCGGAACTGAAATTCATATCACGAGAGTTATGGAAAAGAGGGATACAATACCGACAGATATTGAATTGAGAGCATTGGTACAGAGGCAGTCAGCATTCGCAGAAGGTAGGGTAGAAGGCGTGGTAGTAAAGATTGAAGATAAGAACTGGGTAAAGTGGAGAGGAAAGGTTGTGCGGGGCGATTTTCTGGCAGGTAACCAGCACTGGAGCAAGAACATCATGCAAGAAAACGGGATTTTGGTCACCAATATGGAGGAATTAGACATTGCGTCCTGAGACTGATCTTTACAACTTTCTCCCATCTCTAGCGATAAACCTGGTTCACTTCGCTCCCTGTTGCGCCTGAAGCTTTTTCATCTGCGCGCCGACTGCCTCGCGATACTCTTCATCAATGACGACCAGTCCGGCTGCTCCTTCCTTGTTGACAATCTCGTCCATCTTCTCGGTACTCAGCATAAGCGTGGCGATGATGACGGCCTCCTCCGTCTCCGAGGCGTTATCGCTGATGCGGTGTCTGCAGCCAGGAGCCTCGTAGAAGCTATCGCCAGCATTCTTAATTGTCATGGGATCATCGTTCATCTTGTTTAGGACAGATCCGGTCAACACGTGAACTGCAACGAATGCGCCTGCATGGGTATGAGGTGGCGTGGACCCTCCTGGGGGGAAAGTGACTTTGAGTGCCAGCACGGAATTGCCTGGGGCGCTGAGGACTTTATAGTGGTATAGGACTTCGAGAGCTGGGAATGGGCGTCTGTCATGTGTCAGTAGCTTGTTTGTCGAACCCCAAGGGACTTGTGAGATAGAGGTATCTCACGTTGCATCATATACTGGCTCCTCCCTGTTTGCGACCTTGGAGAACACCATTTTTGCTGTATTAGAGTAGAATCTGTTGTTTTTTGTATGAGGTTCTGATGTGTATAATTTGCTATTTCGCTTTGAGGTTGTGGTGTATAACTTGAGAAAATTAGAAGTTATATAAATATCACCTTATATTACAATATAGCACTCACGTGATGGACCCATTCCAGGTCTAGAACAACGCGGCTTCCGTTTAGGGTATTCGGGGACTGATAGGCTATGCGGGTAGACGCCACACCCGTCGTTAGTTGGCCACTAAACGACACCGCGCCCCGCTAATTCCGCCTTTAAGAAAGGGCTGGGATTCTCCATTGTAAGCATTCCGGAGTATGGACTTCCAATTGCTCCGTGGTTACCTAATACCCTAATGCGTAATATAATACCGTCACCACGTAATCATCCCACTTCTTCGATGAGACACTCAAATGCCTATTTGGGTACCTCTGTTTTCTTCCAATAATCCGACAAGAAGAAGGGTATAATTACTGGTAAGTCAACGCACCTCTGGAATGTTTCACTCAAGCTGAATCTCGATGCTGTTCTCGCATCATCTGCGCCCATTTACATCTCTTGCTGCCCAAATCCAAGCATCAGCACCTCAAACCACTTTACGGCGAACTTTCGTATCAACAGCAGCCATGGCAACCCCAAAGCTCCAGAAGGCTATCCTCCAGCCAGACGTGCAGTCCACAGACGTGATCCTGATCACCGACCACCCCGTTCCAGTCGCCAAGCCGTCCTCTACCGAGCATCTCATCCGCGTCCACACAACTGCCATAACCAACGGCGAGTTGCTCTGGGGGAAGAACTTCCCCATCCCCGCCGAGTACAGCGCCACGAAGATCATGGTCCCCTGCAACGACGTCGCTGGTACTGTCCTAACGGCCCCTGAGTCCTCCCCATTCCAGCCTGGCACAGAAGTCTACGCACGCTCCAACTACTACCGCACAGGCTGTGCGCGCGAGTACTCCATCTTGTTGACGGAAGAGATGGCAAAGAGGCCACAGAGATTGACATGGGCAGAGTCGGCTACGGTTCCTATGTCCGCTGAGACGGCGTGGCAGGCTCTGTTTGTCCAGGCCGGGCTTGAGCCCAAGGCTGGAAGCGCCAAGGGGAAGCGTATCTTTATCACCGCTGCGTCTGGAGCTGTGGGAACTTGGCTTGTTCAACTCTCGAAGTGGATCGGGGCAGAGGTGATCGGGACATGTGGGTCGAGTAGCGTAGAGTGGGTGAAGTCGCTGAAGGCAGATACTGTGCTCGACTACACCAATACAAATGTCAAGGAATGGGCCAGCGTCGAGGGTAATAAGGTTGATCTCGCAATCGACTGTTTCGGTGGAAAGTCTCTCGAGGATGCTTGGTGGGTAGTGAAGGATGGCGCGACCTTGATCAGCATCTACCAGCCTCCGGAGCAGAAGAAACCTGCTGGCGTAAAAGGCAACATCAAAAACTTCTTCTTTATTATGGAGTCGAAGGGAGATCAACTCCAGAAGGTCACAGAGCTGATCGACTGCGGGTTCGGAAAGACAGCGTTAGACAGCTCCTTTCCACTCGACCACTTTCAGGAGGCGTTTGCGAAGCTGAAGAGCGGCAAGGCTAAGGGGAAGGTTGTCATTGACCTTGGTGTGGTTTAGAGGGGTGTGTGCAGAGTGCAGCTTTCGTATTAATAGGTGTTTGGGTTATGATTGTGAGGGAGTCTTTATACATAAAATTGAACATAAAATTGAACTTCAGTTTGCAAATTCCTAGATTCCTGAGTTCCATCTCGCGTATATTCCAATTCATGTCTAATCAATGTATACGAGCGTGCTGTACTAATTCGAGTTTCAATTACACCATGTACGTAACATAATCTGCCAGTGGATTACGAGAAAACTCACTAACTTCCGATTGGAACTATAGCACTCTTCTTCCCATAGCCTACGACGGTAATTGAAGATTACCCCCCAAGAAAGGCTTTACGCAAGGTGTTACTGCCCTACTGTGGCACTTTTCTTCCATAGCCTACTAATTGAAGATTAACCCACCTAACGAGACTTGATGAAGGGCTTGATGAATCGAAACCACATGCTGAATTGATTACTACTGCACGCGTTAGTTAGGACCATGTTATCCTAGAGGCCGTACAGTCTCTCGCTATGAAATGAAGCCAGTTGTCATGCACATTAAAATAAAGCCGGAGTATAGACATTCGATATAAAATAAAACATGTGAGTGCGTATGATATAGTGCTTTACATGCATAAATTGTCAGAAACCATTTTAATTTTTAACTGTAAAAAATGATTTACTGGTGATTTATTTAAGCCAACAAAATATAATTTCTTTCGGATCCAAGAAAACGATGTTTATTTTTGCACTTTATAGTAAACATTATAATTAGAACTACTGTAATCTAATATAATAACATCTACCATTTAGTAACATAACCTTTATGGAAAGTAGAATTCCCGTTTCATAAGTTGTCGCGTTGAGGAGACGCATCTCGCCATAGAGACGATCGAAGCTATGGCGGCGTTGCATTACATAGACAAGTATGACTATTATGCACAACCGCTTCCCTCGCCTTTGTGACAATGCAAGCACTAGTATTGTGATAGGATATTGAAGAAAAGGGCGAAGGACGAAAATTTTCATAAAGTAGTCTCTGACTAATGAGACTGACAAGGCTGAATCGCCATGTCCATCCCCAGAATGAAGTATGGAAATAACATAAAACACCGAAACCCATCGTATCAATCATGTCCTGTCCCATCCAACCATCATAAACCCCCTCCAACCCAATAGTCCCAAACGCCACTGCAATCCCCTCCAAAATCGCACAACTGAACAGAGAACCCTATCCATATACCCATATCATCCTTCCCCAGAAACCGATCCCTTCTTAAAACCCCATTCTCTCCTCAAGCCCCTGCCAAAACACCACTGGCCTCGGCTCCAAAACCCCAATCTCCCTCCCGAAATCGCGCTCCTCCTCCTCCATATCCACTAGACTCGATTGCCTAGACAAGATGCTCCTCACCGTCGCAACAGGCGACTGTTGGCGGCGCGCCGCACGCAGAGGGTGGCGACTGAGAGGGTTGTAAGACAGAGAGCTGAACTCATCCGCGGGGCTTGAGCTTGCGCTTGAGCCAGCAGAGGGGGCGAAGGTGTCATGATGGTTCCAGGACGCAGAAGCGGTGGAGGGGGCGCGCGAACGCGTGCTGGATGCGGTGGAGGAGGAGCGGGAGGAGCGGAAAGAAGAGCGGATGGATGCGAGGGAAAAGGTTGAGCGAAGGGGTGGAAGAGCAGAGTGGCGCATTTTGGCGGCGGTGATAGTAATGTTGCAGGGTGTTTGTGGAGAGTTGTAGGTATGTTCTTATCGAGCGTGTGGTTGAAGTGGTATATGTGTGTTTACCGTATTATTCTCAGTCGATTGCCGTGAGATTGAAAGATTGGCAGAAGCCTGGTATCCGTGTAGTGTGTGTCAAATAAAGAGGTCCAGCCGAAGAATCTTAGTTGTGGTGGGTGTGTAATATAAAAACTCTCAATGTCGAACTCGAAAAGCACCTGGCTTGTGATAAAATATGAACGAATGTCTTGCGTTTCTGTTTTCAACAACGCACTATCTCAAAGAATCTTCGAATTCGTCGAAAAACAAAATTACCACCGTTTACCTTTCTCTCTCTCTTTTCTTCCAGAACTCGGAAAAGCAATCGCATTATAAGATGAACTGACCCCCAGCCCCCGGCCCTCTCTGAGACACCGCCCAGCCTGGCACCACACCCGCATATCGACGCCTGCCGCGCCTGCTACGCCGCTGACACACGCGCACTGGCCATCTTTCGTCATATTTTCATGGGCGAGGCCGCTGAAGAGGCGGCCCCTTAAACGCCCCTGGCGCACGGCTGCGTCGCATGACATTCGCTTAGGGAGCCACACTGCGCCGGGTAATGCGCCCCGGTTTCGAAGTTGGGGACGAAACATTTGAGTATATTTTTGAATTCTTTTACAGTTTTTGGAACATGTGGCAAGAAGATGGGGCATTACAATGGATGAATATAGATCGCGAAAAACTACTTTGATAATGCGATTGTTCGTGGTGGATTTGGCAGTTTGGTTAGTGAGGATGTTTATCATGATGTGAGATGTTGTGCGCAGTCAGGGGCTTCAAGAGTTTCAGAGACTCTCGGCTGCCACTCAACACCACCTCAGCACCTTGGCAGTGCAAACCGTACCTGATAGAGTGGGGAAAATCAAGGGGCGACAAGAAACATTTTCTTATCACGATACTACTCTACCTGTACGAGCTCACCAAAAAAGCATCTGCCGCCACCGCGATCCCAGCCAGAAAAACTCAGCCGGGGATATCTCGTCCCTCCTCCAAACCGCCGTGAAACACCGTTTGCAGTCTATCGTTACTCTGGGCTCCGCATCACCAATACAACAGGCATGATTCACCTTCCCGTCCCGACGCCACAAACATCGCCTACAAAAAAAACAGTCTGATCATTTCATCTAAGGTATCATGCTTTCCATCGGTACTATACAGCCCCCTCCCTGCCTAGACTCTCTATCACACCCCCTCCATCCATCACCATCCCCGCTCTCACGCTCAATGCACACCCCGACCCACCCTTCTCCCAAAAAAAACACCATCATGCGCCAAAAACTCCACGCCATGCACCATCAGGGCCCTCTCCCCTTCTGGCGAAATCCAAAAGCAGCCTCGCTGCGCCTCCCAGAACGGGAACGCAGCAGCAGAGGCATGAACGAAGAGTGTAAAAAAGGAACTCGTAAGCCATTAGCCAGGCCACACCCCCCCTCCACCACAAATACACCCCGCTCATCAAACGTCTCTCATGCCTTGCATGCACCCCACCCAGCGACTTATCTTCATAGCATCACATGACACCGCCCATTACGCCGCTGCTCTTACGTCCTCCTATCCCCCGACTTCCTTGTCGTGTAGCTGCGTCTCATACTCGCACCCCACGCACTGTCATTAAACGCCTCCACGGCCATCTCCCCCGCCGTACTGCCACTGCGACTGTGCATCCCCTCCCTCCTTGCGGGAACCACATCGCTCAGATCCATCGTTGCGCCACTAACCGAGCTATTCGTCCGATGCGGCCGCAATCTGGGGCTGCGACTCGGACTGCTCGCCCCGCTGCCCAGTCCGCTGATGGCCCCACGACTGCCACGACTATCAACGCTACCGTCGCGTGAATGCAGCCCGCCCATCCCCATGCCACCGATCATATCGCGCAGGCTGGCGTGTCTGTCTGAGAAATCCACTGTCGCGCGCATCGAGCGGCGGGTGTCGTCGGGGTCGGCGGATAGGGCCACGGAGCGAGCGTCGGCGTCGTCGCCCTCAACGAAGATCTCGGGTACTGGGAAGGTTGAGATCTCGGTGATGCGCGAGAGTGAGTGGCGATTGAGGTGACGCCGGAAGCGGCGAGCCCAATACATCGTATCGAAGAAGCCGATGACGACGCGGCGGTGGACTTCCTCTTCGACGCGCTGGAGGCGGGCGCGACGGCGGAGGAACTCGTCAAGTCTGTAGTTCTGTTAGCTATTTGTAGAAAGAACAAGTGGGGTTAGGGTATGACTTACTTCAAGCTCTTGTTGTCGCTGATGATGTTGTAATGCGCGAGGATCATGAGCACACTCGTGAACGAAATACCCAGCTCCGGATCTGCGGAGACCATCACCTCCTCGTAGAAGATATTGTACAAGTGCCTCCGCTCCCTCACCTTCTGCCCATCAATCCGTGCGATCCGATCGTTGAGCTTCTTGAGATCAATTCCCATGGCACCACTCACAGTCGCCACGGACGTCGTCCTCGACCCCATCGGCTGGGCCCGCACATCCTCTAGGATACGAAGTACAGAGTCTTCCTCATCATAAATACGCATGGCAAAGATTCCCGACAGCTCGCCGAGCAAGCGTGGAAATTCTTCTTTGGTGATATACCCTGTTCCATCCGGATCGAACGTTGCCCACGCCTGCTTGAAGCGGCGCGTCTCCTCGCGGTTGACAATCTCGTGCCCGCTCGACCGTTGGTACACGTACGAGAAACTCTCGTAGATGAGCGACACGAACAGCGACACGAAGATGTACATGCTTAGGATGTTCCACGAAATGAACAGTGCGTACGCCCATGACGAGCTGCCGCAGTCGCTATCGAAAAAGGTCGACTCCTCCACGCACAGCGGCGGCCGCGTGTTCGCGTAGTCCATCATGATCTGATTCCAGCCCTCGCCGACGGACATGCGGAAGAGCACGATAAGCGCACGCGGCACGTCGCGAAAGTTTAGGTTGTTGGTGCCTTGACTGCCGAAGCGCGTGAGCCCGAAGGTCTGGGTCATGGCAATGGCGTATACGAGGAAAAGGATAAGCCAGGTCGCGAGGAGATTGCCAATGGTGGTCAGCGACGCGGCGGCGGTTTTGAACAGCTGGTCCAACGCGTTGTTGCGTGGAATCAGGAGTAACGCGATGGAGACGAGGAAGATGTTGTGTAACTGATACAGCGTAACAGAATCTTGCTTCCCAAATAGCAAAATAGTCGTGGTCATTGTCCCCGTCACCGAGACTAAGGAATACAGATCCCACGAACTGCGCCTGAAACGCGGCCACGTGAGACCGACAATCCGAATAACGATGTTTGACATGTATATGACAGTGAAGAAGAGGAAGAGGGCGTCTCTCGTACGCGTCCACCAGAATGGCTCGGGGTAGAACTCAAGCATCAACAATATCAGATGAAGTACCAGTGTAATAGTGACCGTCCGGCTCCAGAACCCATGCTTCTGCACAGCCTTCTTATAGCACCAATCCTTCCACTTCGGCTTGCTTTTAGTCGACGGCCTCTTCGATGGGGCCACCTGCCGCAGCAGCTTCCGCAGTTCCATCCAGGACCGTTGCTCGGCCGTCAGGAACGCCACACCCGTCTGCTCCGTATACGTGCGCATGAAGACGGAGATGAACAGCGTCAGGACGAACACAGTTGCCATCAGGTTGAACACCACGAAGAACACCGCGTTGCCCTGCGATGCAAAGTCCCGCGGCTGCAGCCCACGGCCCACGATCGACTGCGCGCTCCACATCACGTCGGTCCAGCCTTCTTGCGAGACGATCTGGAAGAGGATGAAAAGCGAGCTGCCGAAGTTGTCAAAATCGTAGTAGGGGTTTGCCGGCACCCGCGGGGCGGGGAACGTCCACTCGCTGCTGAAGGGTGAGCTGTTGAATTCACCGGAGCAGTCCGAGAGATTGATGATGCCGCTCCCGCCGTCATTGCAGACTTGCATTTGGCCGTTGAAGAGATTGACACCGTAGATGGCGAAGGGGATCAGCAGCGATAAGGAGACGAATATCGCAGAAAGAACCCGCCACCCTGCGACGAAGATGACGGAGTGAAACGTATCTCTGGCGCTGTCACTGATATGTAGTAAGCGCAGAGCTCTGAGCGCCTTGAACGCCCCAACTGCTCTCGATATAGCACCGTCATTCAAGAACGATGTAATCACATTGATCCACAGCGTAATCAGCACCCATCCATCAATGAAACCCCACAAACTGCGGAAATAAGCATTCGGCGTCCAGAAACAGCCATCGGCAATCATCTTAATGATAGCCTCGACGCTAAAAACTGCCGCGAACGCCATATCTGTCCACACGAACCAGTTCCGCAGCGCAAAATTATGTGTCTCAAAGTACTCTTTCTGGTACAATGGCGTTGTCACACACGCTAAAACCACCATCGTCAAGATCGCCGCATAGATGAATGCCGAGAATGTGTACCACACGATCTTGTTTGGCTCCACGCCGTCGATGCGCTCTGCACCGCGCCCCGGACCCACAATTTTCTGGCAGAACCGCCGTATCGGGTTGTCCGGCTTGAACAGGAACATCGCCGTGTTGTAGCTTGGGTGGCGGTTGAGATAGTCGCGCTGGGCGCGCTTGCGTAGCGCAGTTGCTGACACGGCTTCGCGCGCCATAGTACGCGGGTCAAGGCCTTCGGCGGCATTGGTGAAGCGGATGCTCGAGTAGAATGGGTTGGGCTCGCGGTGCCAGACTTGCGCGACAAACTTGCCCCATAGCCCTGAGAGGGAGCCTGGGGCAATTTCAGGCGCGTTGTCAAAGGTGTGAGAGGTGTTTAGGCCTGGTTGGGGCTCGCCGCTCTCGTCGTCGAGGAAGTCGCGCACGACGGAAGCTTTGAGCAGCATTTCCATTGTGGACTGGCCATAGTCGAGCGGGTCTTTGGTCTTCTTGGTTTTGCCGAAGCGGAAGATGGTTGAGAGGGAGAGGTTGCTCGAGGAGCTGCTGACATCTTTCTTCTGTAGGAAGGCCTTGACCTGCTCGAGGCGCTTTTCGTCCTCGGACACGTCAAAATTCTCTTGAATGACAGCAATAAACATATTTATCAGAATGAAGTACGCCAGGATGAACCAGCCAATAATGAAACTTGCGCCCATCCACGCCGTATTGTGGTGATCGTTATACGTCTGCACATTGTACAGGATGCTCGTCCAGTTCTCACTCGACAGGATCTGGTACAGTCCCAGGAACGCATTCCAGATCGAGAAAAAAGTCGTCCGCACCGTGTTTCCATCCGAATCGTACGCCGGTATATCGCCCCTGAACATCTGCACCGCCAAGATTGAAATCAGAAACGTAATCAGGAATACGAACAGCACCAGGTTCAGAATACCCGTCGCGTTACCCAACATCTTCTCGATAAGTTTTCGCGTGATGGGCACCGCCCAAACAACACGGTAAACACGAAGGATCTGGAACACGGTGAGCCAAGCATATGGCTGCCCTGAGTTGCGGATCGGCGGTAAGAGGATGACGGTCGTGATAATGGCGAGAAGTGTGTCGAAGCCGTTTTTCCAACTGCGTGGGAACTTGCGGAAGTCACTAGCGAGGCGGAAGAAGATCTCGATGTCGAGCGCGAAGGTCACCATGATCTCAGCCACGAAGATAAAGTTCGCGCGCCTTGCGGACATGGTCGCACTGCGGCAGGCTTGGCTCACTATGCCGAACATGATGACGAGGATCCAGAACCAGAAGGATCGGGTGTAGATCTTCTTGAGAACGGTGGTGCGGCTGCGGGGCTTGACCTCCTCGACAACGGCGACGGGGGTGTTGATCATTGTGAAGGCGCTGCGCTTGCTCTCCTCTCTGATGACTTGGAAGGAGGACGTGATGACGGCGATGAGCAAATTAGTGAGCCACAGCAACATGATAACGATTCCGGCTGCGAAGAATAGCGCCGCGGCCAGGTAATCAGAATCCGTGGTGTAATACATCAAATCCGTGAACGTATTTGCGCTCATGATAACGAAGACAAGCTCCAACGAGTTTACAATGTTGTCGAAGCTGACTGTTCCATTATAAAGCGATTCGCCTTCAATACAGAGGGAGCCTCGAGGACAAAGATAACCCTTGCTCGCGCGCGCACCACTCGTCCCATTCTCGTAGGTCCAAGGAAGTGCGACCCCCGATATATTATCAAGGTGCCCACCACAGAGCTGGAAATCGCTTGTGTAATTCGACTGCCCCTCCGGATCAACCCATGTACACGTTCGACTGAAACTTGACTTGAACGCCTGGACGCCCACGATGGCAAAGAGCAGCCAGAAGAAGCCGATAAGAAAGGACACGTTGACCAGCAACGGAGCAGCTTTCTTCAAGCTCTTGAGGATGATGGCCGTACCATTTGTCAGCCACAGCAGTCGGAGGATTCGCAGGCAGCTAATCATCTTGAAGAGGTAGAGATGCTTACGCGTCTCCACCCCCGTGATTCCGATCGCGAAGGATATCCAAAACGCGACAACCGCAACGATATCGATTCTGTTCAGCGAGTGGCGGAAAAACGCTCGCCGCGCGAGCTGGTACCGCTGCTGCTCCTCAATTGTAGTGGGATATGCCACTGGGGTTTTCATCGCTGTTGTAAACGTCCGACTGATGGCTTCCGAGATAGGGGGCGCATCAAGGTGCCTCGGCACTCTGACGGACTGCTGCCGCCGCGGCCCAAAGAACGTCATATACTTGGACATGAATGTAGTCTTAAGCCCCTGGTTGACATCCTTGCGCGTACTGTACTCCTCGGCGTTGAAGAAGAATCCCGAGACGATGATCTTGGCGGTAATCTCCAGCGTGTAAATTCCAAACAATGCCAGCATTGCGTAGTCCATAGGCGAGCCGCTCCAAGTGTTCGGCATCGGGTTCGTGAACGAGTCCTTGCTCGATTCCACCGCCAGCAGAACCGTCTGCAGGATGATCAGTATTAGTATTATTGGCTCCGTCCACGGGTGCACTAGGAATTCGCAGAGGCGCATCCGTATGTAGTTGTCTGGCGCGAAGATACGCAAGCTGTTCCCCCGTAGAGGATTCGTAATCGGCCATGGCGGCGCTGCCGGCTCCTCGGGCAGTTCTGCTGTTGGCGTGGATGGGACCTTCTCGATGGGCAATTGTTGCATCTCAGGGCCGTAATCCATATTCTCCTCGTCCGTGACAAGTATAGGCGGAAGCCCGGAATTAGGCAGCGTTTCATCTGCTGAATCCTTCCTTCGATATGCCGGCTCAGGCAGCTCGGCATCATTACTGAAATTAACCACTCGCTGTGACATAGCGCGCATCATGGATCCTGCCCTTGTCAACGGCCCTGCGCCCGACGGCGACGGCGACGGCGACAGGCGCCGCGAATCTGGACTCAGACTCTTCCCAAAGCTGCGTGACCGCTCCCGCCCTCCACTCCGCCCGTTCGGTGACGACCCCAGGTTATCACCCAGCCGCGACTGGCGCGATGTCTGTGGGGAGTCGAAGCGCACGCTCTGGAAACTGGTGCGGTCCCGGTCCGATGACTGTCGCGGCGTCGAGGGGTTCGGCGCACCGCTGATGGGCGCAAGGTAATTCGAGTCCGTCAGCCCGACCTGATCCGAGTCGGTCGTTGTATTAAAATACCCATCCCCCATATCCCCGTATGGCTGCTGCGTACCATAAGGCGAGTTGCCCACATCTCCCCGTCCATAACTCGGGCCATATGGGTCCGGACTCCGCGGCGACAACGGTTGGCTACTCGGCGGCATGCTCAGCCCGACGACAGCCATCTGGAAGGCATGCGAGTTCTCCACCGGCGAGCCGCCCGACAGCTCGTCCTCCACGCTCGGTTGCATGTGCTGCCCGGTTGGGAGCAGCACTCGCAGTGTCGGGCTCGGCGAGCTGTCGTCTAAGCGCGAGTACCGTACTGCTGGGCCTCGCATCGCTGCATTGCCAGTCATGAGGCTGCGGCCACGGGTGTGTCCCCTGTGCTCACCCTCGCTGGGGCCAGCGTCAGTGTCGGGGGGGCGGGAGAGGTTCTGGAGGGGTATCGATTGCGGCGGGGACTGGGAGTGCCGCGGGGAGGGGTTGTTGGATGCCATTGCGTTGGCGCGCTGGCGGTTGAGGTTGAGGAGAGGAGGTGAGTGAGGTTCGGAAGTTGGTGGTTCCTGGGGAGACGTATGCGCGACGAGGGCATACGAGGTGTTGGTCTCCTTATCGATTGGAGCTCATGATGGCGACGCGACAGAGGGAGAGGGGAGTATTCGCCGTGTCCAGAGAGTTGGTACGGTAATCAACCGTTTAAATCGCAGATTGGATGTTCGTGAGGGTCGTTGAAAGTGTCGTGGTCGTTGATGGCAATGGCAGCTCTGGGGGCGTGTTTGAGGTTTTGCTGAAGGGATGGGTTTTGGGAGTTTTGGGGTTATGCGGTTCAGCTTTCGCGACACGCTTACTCTACGCTTACGCTAAATCGATTTCTGGAACAAGAGCGGCGCAGCGCAACAGCCAACGAGCCACGGGGAAAACGGCCAGGGGGGGGGGAGGATGGGGGTCTGACGTACACCTGGTCCTGCGCTAAAAATATAAAAATAGAAAACAGATTTTGGGTATTTATTGTTGTTATTGTTGCAAATGGGGATGAAAGGTCAACAGAGGGTATAAATAATTCAATTAATTGCTACAATTTAATACAGTGATTGTATACGACTAGAATTAAATGTATAATTAAATACAAATGATTATTGATTATTATTATCGAAAAAACATCATTTTTCATGTGCGCGCGCGTCTTTAATTAGTCCTTTTAATTACTGGCTATTTCCGGCTTGGCCGGAAGAAGCTATACGAGAACGTGCATAGGGAGGGTAAAGGCGATAGTGTCGACAACTTCATTTCCAGATTTCAGTATCCTACATTCTGAACTTCTAGAGAGAGTATTAAGATAATTATAACAGCCTAGAATGATTGATGAGCAAGTCACTGTGAACACTTCCCACCTCTCCAGACCCGGGTAGCCCGGGCCCCCTTAAAACCCCAGACTTCAAGATAATACACGTTATTCATTACTTTTCGGCGTCTATCGAATCTCTGATCATCTACGTATATCGTACATCCTCATTCCATCGCTTCCGTTCCCCATCATAAACTTCCAACACCCTTCCTCCATATCAAATTCATATCATCGACGTCTGACCCCTTACGTCCTCTCCCCCCCTGTCCACCTTCCCGGCTCACTCGCTTTAACGGGAGGACTCAAATCCTGCACCATCGGACTGGGACTCAACGGCGCGATGGCCGGAATATATGTCGGCGTTCCCATTGCCACACTCCCCGAAAAACTCCCCGCACCATTCGCCGTCATTGGCCGCGGTGGCGACTGTTTTGTCGGCGACATCCCTGCGCTCGTCGGTGGAAGCACCGCGTTGGACGCGTAAGGCGTGCGAACCTGCGCCGGCGTGGAGGTGGGCAGCCCGTATGGCGGTGGAGGACCAGCGACGCTGGAAAAAGAGGAGCCGGGTGTGGAGGGCGGGTTGAGCACGGGTGCGCTTGCGAGGGGAGAGGGGAACGAGAGCGACGAGCGGCGCCCACTCTGGTCGTAGGGCGCGTAACGAGCACCATTGGGGGCGGGGGTGGATGTTACACTTGCTGGTGCTGGCGGCGCATGGCCGCCGTTGATGAGGGCGTAATTGTGCGGTGGAGCGGGAGGAGGGAAGCTGTTTGGGCTGTGTGGGAGGGGCGAGGTGAATGGGCTTTGCCCGTTGAGTTGTGCGCCAAAGACAGGACGGGCGGGCGTGCTTCCGTTCATAGGTGGTGGCCAGTTTGGTGCGGCTGGCACGGAGCCCTGGCTCACTGGTCTGTTGTCAAAGGTTGGGAATGGCGCAGCCGATAGGTTTGCGCTGCCATTGGAATAGGCAATGGGCTGTCTGGCTGGCTGGCCGTTCGAGTAAGGAGAGTCATAGGGTGACCGTGAAGGCGAGGAGTGGACGAGTCTGTGCTTGAGAGGCGAAGAAGGAGGGCTGCGGACTGTCTCGTCTTTCTGCTGGGGCGGCACCATCGCCGCGACGGGAGGAAGGGTCGGTGGCGCATTAGCCGTGACAGGAGGAAGTGTCGGTGGCGCATTTGAAGCTGATGAGGTTGGCCTGTTGAATTTGATGGTTATCGGCGGCCGTTTCTTAGCCTCTTCTGCCTCCTTAGCACGACGGATGCACGGCTTGCAGACGAACTGGAAGTTGTCCCGGTTGGCATCAGCATCGCTAACGCCAACACACTTGGTGTGTTGCCACACATTACACTTCTCGCAGGCAATGCTGAGAGTGCCATCATCAACATGTCCGTACGCGCCGCAGATGCAATCGAACACCCAGTCACCATCCTCCTCTTGGAGCTCATCAAGCGCCGCCTTCTTCCGTTCAATTTCCGCCTTGAGGTGGCGTTCGGAAAGGCGACCTTGGCCAGATTCGAGTTTTTTGTTGTCCTCTGAGAGATTGGCAAGCTCCTCTTCGTGCAAGATCCGGCGTGCCTCGCGTTCTTTGAGGCGCTGTTCACGGGTCTGCATGCGCGACTCTCTTTCCTTCTCCAGCTTTCTCCACTTCTCCTGTTCCTTCTTCGCCATAGCAAGCTCCTCCTGGCGCTTCCTTTCCTCTTCGCGCGCCTCTTCTTCTTGGCGCTGATGCTCGAGTTTGCCAGCGATTCTGCTGGACCTTTTGGCGGTGGCTAATTTCTCTAGATTGAGTAATTCGCGCTCCTTCTGGATCTGTTTTCGCTTGCGCGACTCCTCTTGCTTCTCCAGCAAGGGCAGGAGATCATCAACTAGTCGCTGCCTCAGAGACTTTTCGTTCGGGTCGCGCGACTTTGCAAAGGAGGCAATGGCGTTGTTCAATTCGTCCAGGGTTATGGCCAGACACTCCCACTTGATGCCACCAAATCCATCGTCCTCGGCCGCTTTGTCTTCCTTGACCTCTTCAGTTTCCTCGGTCTCCTCCTCGCTGTCGCTTGCAGGTACTCGGGACAGCTTTCTACGCTTGCTCGCTCTTGCTGCGGCTCTGGCTTTCTTGGAGTTCTTCTTGGGGGTAGCTTTGGGTGCAGGCGGTGGCGGGGGTTCTGTCTGGCGATACAGCCTATTGTCGTCTAGAACGATGTATGTTCGGTCCTCAGAGTCCCATCCGAAGGGTTCAACGCGCTAGGTTTGATATTAGTACCAATGGTAGCAAGTGCTAAGGAGTAGGCGTACCCAATATGTTTGTTCTGAATCCTTCTGCTCCTCCATTCGTTCCCTGATTCGGTCGGGGTTTGTGAACGTCCATTGCGTAAGCTGTTGTAGGACTTTGATCTAGAGGCCATCGTTAGTACGTAGGTGCGAGGATTTTATAGACATGAGTCTGACCTTTGTGAAGATATCGAACTCGGCGAACTTGGCAGGCTCGTCTTCGGTGCCAAAGGGGTTGCGCTCTGGCGCTTTCGCAACATACTGTCGGCGCGTATATTCATCAAAAATCTCTGGGCTGCGCATCGTCAGTGGTTGTACGCGATATCATACATATAGTGCATGGATAGAACCTACATTAGGCCCCTATGAGAAGAGACAAACTTCAAGAGCGCGAGCCCTATTTCTGCCAGTTTTGTCGAGTGATGCTTCAGGCATTCCATCTCGAGATCCTATGATAAGTATCAGTATTGGCCTGTAGATTGATTCATCGTTATTGCGACGAGCCGTACCTCGATATCCAGATCCTCCTCGAGCTTTACAACCTTTCCGAAGAGGAATACCCATTGCGCAAGATTCGCGAATTGCCACATGTTCCGTATCCGTTCAAGCAGTCCAGGCTCTTTCGGCGCAGGAGTAGGAGCCTCAACAGCCTCCACCTCCTGTCGTCCTCGCTTCCTAGAGGAAACCATCTTGGCAAGTCGTTGAGTTGGCGAGACAAGGATTCCAGAACGCCGATGGCGAGACTTTTTAAGAGGACAAAGGATGCGGTGACGGCAGTATAGTTGTTCTCATCCGTTGATTATGAAGTGTTTAACTCTGATATAGCACTGCTGAAAAACACTATTCGAGGGCCTCCTAAGTTCGTAGAAGTGTGGCCTTTTAGGATTCTGTGGTAGTAATTCCCCGTCGTTGACGCGATGAAGCCGACGCGAAAAGGTACGGTACAACGTAATGGACTGGGTCTCGCTAAAATAAAATTCCGGTCACGTGGGATCAGCACCAGTTGTGTTCCAGCCTTGCCCGGAAATAGGTTTAAAGTGGTTTAAAGTTGGACCAATCAGATATTCTAATTTAAGCCGAATAGTTGGAATTATGGCGAGGCTGAAGCACGGTCTATTTCTGGGGTAATCGCGAAGATGGGCGTATGTACAGTGAAGTGTACGAACGCGACGGAGATGCCAATTTGACACGACGGCGACTTCTGGCGGCAACGCAGCAACGCGATCATTATCCTAGAACATCATTTGAATGCGTGGATCTGTCGGAAGCCACTGGTAGCTATAAACGCCCAAGAGACTGGAAGAGAGCGACGGAATCGCGCCATATATGCACCAGAGACAGTCATTCGACCCCGGATTAAGATGCGCACGTAGTCGAAGTCGAGTTTTAATTGACGCTACGAAGACAACAAGATGTCTGCATTCACGGCATTGAATGTTGAACCCGACGAGAATCCCGAAGATGACTTCGATCATACGCGCGAAATCCAGCTGGAGGAGGCCCTGAAGCTCTACCAAAATGCCCTGAAGCTTCACGCGCAGGGTCCAACATACTATGAACAGGCCGCCGAGGCCTATGATAAGCTCTTCAAATCCGATGTTTTTAAATACCCCGAGAGTCTATTAGACTTCACCCAGGATATACCTAGCGTCAACCTCGAGCCCGAACCTGAGACTGAATCACCACTCGAAGTTGCGTTTGCGCCGACCTACGACGATGGACCCAGCACCCTACCGCAAATTCTCTATCTCGCATATAAGAACCATGGACAGTTTATTATGGACTGCCTCAAACACCAGATGAAGATTGCACCGGCTATGCCACGAAGTGGCCTGGCACCCCAGGCACAGCATGCCCTTGAACAGTTCACCCAAGCCCTGGCACGGGACGAATCAGATACTGAGCTTTGGCGGAGAGCTGCTCGTGTAGGCGAGCTGTTGGGAAGCAACACAATTTCGAGATATTGCCTGGAAGCTGCCGTCGAAGTTGACGATGATCCTACGCTCGGCGAAGTTGACCCAGGGAACCTTGAAGAGGGGTTTGCGGGCATACAACTGAAAGAGCTGCTGGTCGTTCTGTCCGATAATATGGCGCTGTCTCATCCGATTATGGCTCCATACGAAAAGAAACATATGCCGGTGAAGTTAAAGAAGTACCTGGACCCCTATCCATTTCTCAGCAAACTCTCAGCTAGGGATGATGACGACGCGGCCAGTGCTGCGACGCTGGAAGGACCCGGTCTAGGAGAAGTTAAGACATTCACTTGGAACTCGGTCGCAGAGGCTATCGGCAGGATATTCGGCGCATATAACGGCGAGAGCGGCTCAGCGTTGAAGCTTACGGGAGGCGAATCCATCACTCTGCAACTGCCGGAAGGGGATATAGAGATGATCGACCCCGAGGTGGAGACCCAGCAACCACCTGATATTGCAGTGACTTCCAGCGAGATAACGCCCCCGGCTACGGATGCCCCTCTAGGAGGACAAGAACCGCAAGAAACTACGCAAGACGGAAACGAGGTTAAAGCAGAGGAAGAAGAATCACCGCCACTCACTCGAAAGCGCTCACAATCGACGGCAGGCCTCCCCGAAACCCCAGAAGAAGAGGCTGGCACTCAGAAGAGGAGCAAGAGGATCCGCAACAGGGATACTCTCGGCGGCGAGAGCGCTCTTCCAACAGACCCTAATATCGGCCTCAAATGCGCATACGACGCAATGTGTAGTGGAGACCAAGACATGTTCTCGTACATTGACGGCCTACTAGACAAACTTAATGTCAAGGAACTTGGCAAGGCATCCGATATACAGGCTCTCGTGGATTCCGACAGGCCACAGGTTGAAAGTTCTGTTCAGAATATTGCAATGCGTGACTTGCGAGATCTTATTCACAAGTGGGACTCTGCCCTCGCTGCAAAATTTCAGTCGGGTAATGGCTTGGACATTATGGGGACCTCTGCTGGCCTCCAAAAGAATGGCCTCACCGCGTTTCTTGAACATTCAAAGACCGAATCATTAAAATCACAAACTCAGGCTGAGCCTACCAGTGCTGCTGGGATCTCAACTTTCGTCAAGTTGATAAATGGGAATTCGCTCACTATCCAGGAGGTAGCGTACCGATACTTCAAAGCGATTTGCTCGAGTTATAGGACCACGTTGTGGCCAAGTACGCTGAAGGACGAAAATATAAAGCTTATGCATATCATGGATTCTGTGTTATATTCGCAGCTGGAAACAGAATACCAGGAACTACAATATAAAGATGCCGAGCTTGTAGAATGGGAACAGCTCAAAGAGTTCTCACAGATGATGTTGGAGCTTCACCTGGACCATTATATCAGCATTGGCAAACCCCAGAAAGCGGAAGATGATAACGCGTACCTGACAGCTAAGGGAAGGCTTGATAAATGGGCGATGCTCACTTCGGACATCATGCAAGGCCAACCAAACGAACCTGCAAGTGAAATCGTGATGAGATACCTTTGGGCTTCGGTTTTACTAGCTAATGCCACCGAGCATGTTAGCCGGGAGCACATGGTTCTTTGCTGGACTGATCTACAGAGTCTCTTGCAAAAATCCGAAACTGCAAAAATCGAACTATATAACAACGTCGCCATGCCGGAGGTGTCTGCCGCAGCGGCAGATCGTGAAATCTCGAGGCTTACAACCATGGACTTTTTTCTCAACCTCTTCAAAGACAACTCCGACCCCACGGCGATCATTGAGACACTCGAACCTGTGATCGATGACCAAACCAATGTCAGTGAAGACAAGGAAGGTGATGGGGAGAAGGAACCCGCGCCAGAAGTTGTTATGTCGCCAGCCACGCGGGATATGCGGAAATTCCTCGAGAACGGCACCCCCTCTCTCCGCCTGTATTTATGGCAACGGTTGAGGGAAGCCTACCAAGAAATAGAATACCCCACGAGAGTCTTTTCTTGCCATCTCAAATGCATCGAAATCATCGTCGAGTACCTTCAATCTCCAACGTTCAGCCAAATCCCTCAAGAAGCTCGGCACGCTGAGCTACTAGGCTATATCAAAACTATAGACGAGTTGTTGGTTAAGGCTTTGACGCTGGCGCTCAACGATCAGACTGCTTTTGAGATTGTGGATGAGTCGCACCTGGCGGCCTCAACCACTGCTATTGCGAACCTGTGCCGCATTTTGCACACTGGCACTTTGATGGAAGACCAAGTCACTGCCGGGCTTGTGCCCGATAATACTACAGTCGTGTCGAAAGAAAAAGGAAAACCCAATCAGACCTTGTTGAAGGCTTTCCTACTGCGATTATCCGAAATGGCAATCCGAAGTTGGGCGCTTCTCTACACACTGGTGAGAGAGGGCGTTTCACAAAACAAGGACCGCTTTACAGCACCAGACAATGATTTGTCTACATACTTGGCGACTGTGCATCACACCTTGGGTCTTCGGGTGCGCTGCGAGCGCTCAAACAAGATTTTCCTCAAAATGATGAAGGTCGAGTTGATCCGCATGAAGTATGTTGACAAGTGGGAAGATTATCTTGGCCAGGTATTATGGGATCTTTATGGACTACGACTTGGAGAAAAGATTGGCGTTTTTGAGATTATGGACCACGGCTGTGATCGCGAAAAGTTGGACAGGCGGACTGCCATGTCCTTGGTTGAACACGTTGTCCTGCTCGCTAACAGAAAGAGCATGAAGGATCTTCTACGCGATGAGTTACGGAGCACTATTGAATCTATGCAGCAAGTACTCGGGGCCGCGAAGACAAACGCACAAACGAGCCACAACCTGCGTAATATAACTGAGTATTTGAAGTTATCAGTGAGCCCCTTACGCCTGAACAAGGCCTTGAAGGGAATGGAATATATAGACACTCTTCCGGTCAACACTACGGAGTCAGGACTGGCCGAGAAGGGCTGGTTCTTCCTCCTGGGAATGGTATCTCTTTCTAAGTTCCGTGCGCAGAAACGTACCCATGCTGGAGCTACCGATGATCTAAGGGTGGCAGCAAGCTTCTTCCGCCTACAACTTCAATTTACAGCTGAGCACTGGGAGACCTGGTATCGTTTAGCCCAATGCTTTGATTCAGAACTAGAGGAAGATGTGATGTGGTCGACGGAAAAGTTGAATAATGACCAAGCGCCATTGATTTCTGAGCAACGTTCAGCTATACACTGTTACACAATGGCAGTATCAACGGCGATGCGCACAGCCAACCCGTCGTTTGAGACAGCGGAAAAGATGTCCGCTGTATTCCACGACTTTGGCCTTCGGATATATTCATCGTCACGAGATCCGTTCCGCATGGAAGCTTTTTATATGGATGACTTCGAACGCCACATGAGTGGCCCATCGGGGATGTACAAGAAAAATGTCCATGAGGAGTTGACTCGGTACAAAGCCTGGCGCTTTGCTGCCGAACTCTTCAAGCGCGCCATTGCCGAAAGACCCAATAATTGGATGTAAGTTTATCTCCTATCCGAGTTTAGCAGAGATACTAATATACAGTATTAGGAGCCATTATATGCTAGGCAAATGCTACTGGAAAATGTTTACACGCGTTGAAGATGAGCCGGATGCCAGGGCTAGGGCAGGAAGGCCTACTGTTGCAGCTCTTGTTCAAGTACTTGAAAGGGCTATCGAGACCGTCCCGAAGCCTCGCGACAGTCGTTCTGACCCGACGCTTGAGCCGCACTATAAGATCGTGTCTGTGATGCACAAGCTCGTCCAGTTTCGCCAGATTGACCCACAGGAAGCAGCCAATATCCTCCAGCGACAACACTATCCGATCAAGAAAGGCGAACAAGTGGTCATCACTGATGATGCTTCGTGGGAAGCCTATATTGTGGAGTGTGTCCGCCATCTACGAAATCTCGACCGATCCAACTGGCAGCATCGCTTCATCGCGCGCTCTGCGCACCTTATCTACGACAACAAGGAACAGGACAACGCTGTCATATTAGCTACCCGTGCTGAACTAAGCATGAGTATCTTTACCAAGACTATGGTCGTCAACGTCTGGAAGCCGGAAAACGAGCGGCCCGGCCGCCACTGCGTCTACATGTCCAAATATGTCCAATGGATGGTGCATTTGCTAGCGCAGCTCGACGACAGGGCCAGCATGGAGATGTTGACGAAGCGTGTGAGAAAGAAACAGACGGAGTACTACCATTTTAATGAGGTCTGGACTGCGTGCTGTCTAGCATATTGCAAGCTCATCCGTCGAGCTGGCAAGATCGATCTCAACCAGGACGAGCTCGTGCGGTCTCTGCCACCCGAGGACTTTGAGGAAATGGCGGCGGACTTGGAGCTTTGGGTCGACAACCTGCATACGCCGCATACGTCTTTTGACCACTTAAAGGAGTCGCTCGAACTAAAGAAGTTGAACAGCAACCTTATGAAGGCAATGCCCATTGATGACCTCATCGTCGACATCTACTCTTCGCTAATTTGGGAAGTCGGCCGCCACCTAACCAAGGAACGACGAGTCCGCGAAGCGGCAGAGGCGGCGGCGCGACCACCTGTAGTTGAAGCACCACAGAGACAAGATCCGATGAGCATGAACAACTTAATCAACAATACCGACAGCTCTGTCACACCGATGCAGGGCGTCATAGAGTCTGCTCCGAAGCTGAAACCTAAACCCCCTGGGCGCAGGGAGATTCTGAGGAGGGCGGAGGTACTCGCCAATCGCGGACACGAGGTGAAGGAGAAAGAGAAGGAGAAAGAAAAGGAGAAGGAGAAAGAGAAACCGGCGGGTAAGTCTGAGTCGCACAGGCCGTCGGATCTACAGAACCTACTGCGGAGGAGAAGTAGGGATAAGTCGTCCAGATCCGCCGAGAAGGATGAGGGAAGCAACCAGGGCCACCAGGAGGAACACGACGATGATGATCGGGAGGGGGGTGACGCTGATGGCGAGGGGGGGAGCAAGGATAATGGTGACGATGACGCACATAGTAGTCCTCCTGGTAGTGTGCATGATAGCGCGGACGACGAGAGCGACCTCAGCGACGCGCCGGGGCCAGTTGAGAGGATGCCGCAGCCGTCGATTAATGGCTGGCACAGCGAGTCGCAGGATGCGGGTAGGAAAGCGCTAGGCGAATAGGAAGGTGGGCCTTGTCTTGATAGAGGGATTATGGTATTTTACGGGCTTGCTTAAACTTGGCTGGAGTATATGGAAGCATGGCTTTATTTTTGGGGAATGGGGGATGGGAAAGGGGGCCGGGGAGATCTGTGATCTGTGTACCACTAGTAGCAGGCATTAGGAAGGCAGATAATAGATATTATGTTGATCCCTTTAGCCACTGTTGGCGAACAAGTGAGTATGGTTGGTAGTGATAGGCGAAATAGGCCCATCAACTACTGACGCCAACAAATACCTGGGTCAGAACTGCCGTACCAAACGACAGTTACGCCAAAAGCTTGTTAACGTGTGGATCCCACTCCCGTTGCGTCGCAGATATAGAGGTTTAGCCTACACGGTGCCGGCGGCCCTGTCCGCCATCAACCCCTGTGATTCCCCGCCACTTCAACTCCGGCACTCAATGCCTCCGCGTCTCCACTCAGGGATGGGCTTTTTAGATTAAGGTACCCTGCCTTCCCCGCCAAATCTACAAAAACATTGTTTCTAGCGCCTTGGAACGCTCAACTGGAAGCCCCCGCCGGAGTAATGTACTCCCATTTTAATATGCATACTCTATATCCCATGTTAACGGAGAAACCTCGATATTAAATGTGGCGCCGGCAAGCGGCGTGTTCGCTATGTGTCGCATTGATTGGTGTCGTCATTGCGCGTTGATGAGATGGATTGATGGTGTATAAACATGTGTTCCCCTTGGTTGGAAACCGTGTTGCGTGTGCACGTCTTGATCTTTGTCTACAATATCCTTAACTTCGACCTCTCAAAATGCGTGGAACAGCTGCCCTTTGCGGTCTCGCGGGCCTTGCGCTTTGCAATGCCGAAACCATAACTGACGCTGCTTGCGAAGCTTCTTTCGAGACAGTAACTGCGGCTGCTGCGGTCAAGGATCTTAACCCAGGTTGGAATTTGGGGAATACTCTCGATGCCATTCCCGATGAGACGTCGTGGGGCAACTCGGCGCAGGAGGCGACTTTTGATAGTATCAAGGCTTCCGGCTTCAAGAGCATTCGGATTCCAGGTGCGTGATTTTCCTCTCGAAGCTCATCCACACAGTTGTCTCTTTCCATGGTGCTAATTGTTTGTTAGTAACATGGGCCGACCACATCACCACTCAATCCCCTTCATGGACTATCGACACCGCCTGGATGGACCGTGTCGAAGAGGTCGTCGACTGGGCCATTGCACGCGACTTATGGGTCGTCCTCAACATCCACCACGACTCCTGGGAGTGGGCCGACGTCACCCAGTCCGGAGCTGACCTCGCAATGATCGAGGAGAAGTTCTCTGCACTCTGGGCCCAGATCGGTGATCGCTTCAAGTGCAAGTCTTCCAAGCTGATCCTGGAGCCGATCAACGAGTTCCCGGGTGACACCCAGGCGCACGGTGACGAGCTTAACAAACTGCAGGATATGTTCCTGGATGAGATCAACAAGGCGGGTGGCTACAACCCGCAGAGAGTCGTCTCGCTGGGTGGGCTTGGACATGACAGCGCCAAGACCAGCCAGTTCTTCGAGAGAGGCACCACCTACCCCGACCAGCCATGGGCAATCCAGTTCCACTACTACTCACCATATGACTTCATTTTCGGCGCCTGGGGCAAGACCCTCTGGGGCTCCGACGACGACAAAGCTGTCATGGAGGCCGACTTCGCCAACCTCCGCAGCAACTTCACCGACGTCCCCATCTTCATTGGCGAGTGGGAGGCGAACGGCAACGTCGAACCCGCGGCCCACTGGAAGTATTTTGACTTCCTCATCCGCACCGCGAACGCCAACGACTTCTCCACCATCCTCTGGGATAACGGCGCCCACTTCAACCGCCCCACCAGCAAATGGGTTGATCCCTCCGAGCCGGAGTTGATTACCGCTGCCGTCGCTGGAACGAGCAACTCCCTCGCTGACAGCACCGTCGACATCGCCGCCACGGAACAGGAATCGAGCGCGTTTGTTTTCCACAAGGTCGGCGACCCAGTCGTTGCACAGAAAGTCAGCTATGCCTTGAACGGGAACACAATCTCGTCGATCACCAACTCTGCCGGGACTGCTCTTGCTGCGACTGACTACACTGTCGCTGACGGGGTTGTGACCTTCACTGCTGAGTATCTTGGCAGCCTATACAGCGCCACCGATGCCGCCGGGACAAAGGAAACCCTCACTGTCGCCTTCAGCGCCGGTGCCAGCCTCTCCATCACCATCGTGCTCTGGGACACCCCAACAGTGGCAACGAACTCTTTCGCAGTCGATGCCTCCACCGACCTCAAGATACCAGTCGCCTGGAACGGGCTACACCGCGTCGCAGCCGTCAAGGCTCGCAAGGCTGACGGCACCTACCTCTCGGATGACTGGACTGTGTATCTCCCAGCTCTGCAGCAGGGATACTGGACTTTTGGCAGCTGGGGCTGGGATGATGAGAACATAATCGTGTATGCATCGGGATTGTCGACCATTAAGGCGGCTGGGCAGGAGGTGACGCTGTCGTTCGAGGTAAGTCCTTCGTCAATAATTGTGCAGGTTGATGATGGATCGTTACTAATTGTGCATGCAGTCATTCCCTCGCATTATGGGCGAGAATGCGGTGAACATCACGTTCACGCAGTAGATTGTCGATGTTGTCGATGTGTTGTTAGACTGAGGCAGTCTAGATGGGTGTTTGAACATACTATATATGTGGTTCCTGTATATATTACTTGGCAAGTTATGCCTCTGAACAATATATGTCTGATTATTTGTTTACCTACGTCGTCCCGCGTTCGGTCCTTCGGCTGGCTGCTGTGTGGTGCCTGAAAATTCCCTTTGTTGACATAATGCCTGATAGCCAGCCCCCTTTATTGTCTGTTACCTGACTCACCATCTGGCGAAACCCAAACCTTATAACCCAACTTATGCTCTCTGATTCCTAAGTCGGGCCGCGTAGCTGAGTGGTCGCTCGCTCAGTTGTGCAGCCCGATAATATGAAATCACCCCGTCATTGTGAGGATGTACCGGCTGGCCCCCGGTACATCTCACAAGTCCGCCGGCGCGGGCGTTTGGTTACTGGTTTCGTATCAGTTCAGGCTGCTCCTGACACTGATACGGAGCCTGGTTCTTTTGTCATTTTGACTTTTTTTTCTGTTGTTTTCATACGTTGGCGAGTGGTGGGTGGGTGAATGAGGTTCGAACTTTAGGTTTATCTCAAAGAAGGGGGTTATATATTAGAACGATCTTTTATAAAGGGGATTCGTCTTCAAACTTGTGTTTATTTATTTATTACAGGATACTGATGTTCGAACTGGAGCTCTTAAAGATGTTTTTGAGGCTCGAAGTGTCCCCATTATGGGGATTTTGAGGTTCGAATTGGCGTCCTTTCAAAAAAGGGGGTAGTTGCGTAGCGACATCCGCTTAAGTTTGCCGTGGCATGTATCAAACAACAAGCGAACCTACGATATGTGAATAACTCTCCAAACAAACAATGAAGCTATATTCATTATTATGATTTTTATACCTGCTGCGTGGGCATTGTCGAATATCGATCGGTACTTCATTTACACATCTATAAACGAAATGTCTAGTATAGTTATTTCGATTTTATGCTTCCAAGACCTCTTCAAAACCAAGTCAACAAAACACCGGCATCACTTCACCCCTCACCAAAACGCGATAACCCTCACCTCAATACTCTCCCTCGCCTCCTCCCCACACACATCCCCAATATCCGGACTCCCATGCCACGGCGCCTCCGCCTCTTCCTCACCCCGACCCAACGCGGAACTATCAAAAAATTTGATAACAAGCACCTCCTCTCTCGTTTGCTTCGACACATAATACCAGTTCAACGCCCCCGCATCAACTGCACTCCCCACCCCAACATCTTCCCCCTGCACACCCAGCAGCGCCACCTCCCTCAAAAAATCCCCTCCCAAACCCGCATTTCCTGGAACCCGGAGATCATAAGGATACTCTACCAGCTCTCCTGTATTCGTTTGTCGCGGCGCAATACACAACGGATCCCGCTGCACCGTTCTCAGCGGCCGCCAGACGCTATACGCTGCATATCTCGGCCCCAATTCGCCGCGGTTATACCGCTCCGCGATCACGGAATTGGCCTCGGCGCTGGTGGCTGGGAATGGTAAGTCCGCACAAATCCCGTCTTCAGCGTCGATTACCCCGCTCTCGCGCGCCTGCTGCTCAATATCCTGCCGGTAAAAGCGGATGCACCGACGCGCGCTGAGAGGCGTGTAGTCAAGATGCGGGAGACGGGCAGGACCAACCCCAGCGCCGGCGGGGATATGCTTCGGCACATTGGTGGCATTATCGTGGTGGTTTACGGTGCCCCGGAAGTTGGCGTCAGCATGGTTGTTTGATCCGGCGCGGCGGGCGATGTTGGGCGGGTTGGGCCTGGTGATGCCGCGGGGCCGGCTTTTGCGGACGAAGCTGTGGGTTACGAAGATGTGCTTTGCACCGGTGGTCTTGGTCAAGAGGTCGCAGATCTCGGGGTAGTATGTTTCATGGAGGAGTTCCTCATCGTCTATGCTTAGGTGGGCGTTGGAGGGGTCGAAGAGCGCGGATTTTTGGTCGAGAACCCCGAAGCCGTGGCTCTTTAGTAGATCGGCGGGGTTGTATCCTGGAGATGAGATATTGGGACGGATGTCAATCAGTGGGAATGATCTGTTGACGAATTTCCTGAATAATGGTGTTGTGAGGTAGGGCCTCTGCCAAGCGTCTGCGTCGTCAACCCCCGCATCGATGACGAAGAGATTGAATTTGCCGTGGATTTGCGCGTCTAAGGAGCCCATGACTGAGAAATATATACGGATGAATAGAAGAAATATAGAAGGAAGGAAAGTTTGTCTAAAGATATAAGAGATGGTGGATATTATAAAGGAAACACCGCAACCGTAGCCTTGCGTTGTCTGTTTGATATCACAGCGAGTGCCAAGCGCCGCGGTGTGGCTGAGGTGGCTGAGTGATGGATGGAATGAAATTCGAATATTAGACCACAACATCGTCACTTGAAGGTCAGAAAATTTGTTCACTTGATTTTATAATCGTCTTTAAGATTAAGGTTTGGTTTGGTTTTATATTATTGCGCCGTTCTAGATGCAAGGATTGTGATGTCTATCCGGTTGGAAAAAGTAGTTGAACGCCCTGATTGTTACTTTTAAGACCAATCTCGCCCTACCACCTCAATCACTTCTCGAGAATGAGCCTCTTGTGTTTGGAAGGTATATCTTGCCGCATCTGTATCATGGGTTCGCCGTTTTGCAATGAATTTCCGTAGTATACTTCACCCCAGGTACTCGACAAACTCCTCCCACTGTGCGTCTTTCCTCAGGGCCTCATGATCTTGATCTGATAGCGAAATGATCAAATCAACGTCGCCTTCTCTCGTCAGTGGCATCATATAGGCCAGCGATAGCGCATCTGGCAACTTCGGCCTCCTTACGAAATCGGGCTTCCCCAGAACGTCCCCAAAGTTGGTGTCGTAGAGTTTCTGGGATACCCAGCTCGTAAGAATGATGTCCGTCTCCGCTTTCATGCTCGCGCCGTAGTTGATCGTGGTTTTGTCCTTCTCGGTCCGTAGAATATGAAAGAATGATCGCATAGCATGGTCGTCGATTTGACTCAAGCCCTGGCGGAGCTTGATTGCCATCGCGGAGAGACTCTCGTTCAGGGCCTCGTCAAGGGTCACCTGGACGAGACTGCACATAACGGCGTGGCCCATATACCCTTCATGAATGGGAGTATCGAGCTTCTGGCGTCCGTTCACAGCACGCAGCACCATTGTTTTGCTGTCTTTTGGGAGATGTGTTGAGCGAGCAGCCGCAGTTCGAAGCCAGATGAATGTCGAAATAGCATCATTGCTTGATACGTACTTGACGTCGGAGTCCGGAGAGCACAGCTTCATTGCCTCGGTTTTCAATGCAGAGATGCTAGCACGAGGGAAGCGAAAGGTCCTCCAGGTTCCCGTTGATGGCGGAGGGGGCCATGATGGTTCTTCTGCGCCTAATTGAGAGGGATATCTGATCCACTCCATAGGGAGAGGTTCCTCTCCAGGTTTGAGTGGAGGGATAATAGTATCTGCATCGATATTTCCCCAACGGACGTACTCCTCTGCAAGCTTCTCTCCGCGACAAAGGCTGCCGAACTGGCTAATGAATTGATCATTGCCATTTGCATCCATCACACCGTGGAAGGTACAGATCGTCAGAAGTAGGCCGCCTTTAACGAGGTTTGCCTGCATAATGCAAACGGGCTTGACCACATGGCGGGGATAGCTGTTGACAAATCCATATGCCGGAGAGAGGATACTTCCATCTAGCATTGATGAAGGAGCCCGAGCTTCAACCAGATCTGCGTAGGCCGGGCAATTGTCGGTACAGTCTTTGACATGCACGAACCTGGATTTTGTTTCATGCAGTTCGTACCCGACAACCTTGTAGGTGCCTGAACTGCCATCTCCAAAGCCTTCAATGACAACTTGACCAGCAAGCCATGGATATGCTTGAATTATTTCTCCCGCTGCCTTCTCAAGGGTGGAAATTGCAGCCGCTTCCTGCGATTTTTTCTCGATGGAAAAGCCCAGGGTCACCAGTGTATATGTCGGGGTTATCTGACCCAGAGGGCCGAGGCTCTTTTCAGTGCCCATAGTTACGCGCATGGAAAACAATGTCCAGTTGGGTTCGAAGTGAAGGGAAGTGAGGTTGAGTTGTGAAATAGGCTTGAGAAAGGAAAGAGAAAAGAGAAGAAGCGAGAGGAAAGAAGGAAGAGATACGAGACACGAAAAGAAAGAATTGATTGCATTTGTATAAGTGCGCGATAGTGTAAAGTAATTTGGAATTTGGAATTTGGAATTTGCTCGTATACAGATTTGTAAGTTTACGTGTGGGGAAGGAGGGGGAAGGAGCCGTTGAGTTGTAACGGCGGTGAGCTCTGTTGATCGTCTCGGTTAAAGTGGGAAGGAACACACCACGACTAAATCCTCAATGACTACTACAATGGAAGGTGAATAGAATAGATGTAGATGTAGATGTAGAATAGATACTCCCTGATATAAATATAAATATAATTGTATAGACTCATCTCTACTACTTGTGTGTGCTAATCACAAATTCAATGATGTGAATTGGTTCGCATAATTAAACGTAGTAGAATTATGCACTTTAAATTAATATTAAAATAAAAATATCCTCTAAAACATGATATAAGTGATTAATCAAACAATTATCTCATACTAACTACTGTAAACTTTATTTTACTCTTGATTTATATCAACACTCTAAGCAGCAGCAACATTTTAGTGCTGCTCTTAGTCCTAAGGGGACCATCGTATTAGTAAATCCCATTGCAAGACCTTTCTTTGCCCTTTAGTCTCATTTTGAGCCGAACTTGTCTTATTGTCTGCGTATATTCCATCTTATATCCTATATCCTATATAGTAAATGTAAATTTTCGATTTATGCATGAAGTAGGAAGGAGCGAAGGGCAGTTTTTATCGGTTTGGCAGGGAAAGAGCAGACGAGGTTGATCGATAAAGATGGCAGTGGTATGATAGTGGAGTGATAGCGGAGTGATAGCGGAGTGATGGTGTGGTGTGGGGCGATTTAGTGATCGCGGAAGGCCCGTGCCTGGAACCTTGCTGCCTGGGCCCTTGCTGCCAATCTTACATCATGACGACAGACGAGATTTATAGATATATATAGAATATCAACATAAAAAACGCTGTAAAATAAACAGCCCTTCTAGCTATTACTTTGGAAAACAAGAAGCATTATACAGCTATAATGTTTTGTATTGTTTAATTTTAAAATTTCATTTTCTTACTTCTCGACGGCTTAAATTTCCTCCGCCCATCTTGGCATGACGGCTTCCCATTTCCTTCATTTCGTTGATGAAGCGCCTCCTGACTTCCTGGGGATCAATCACTAACACCAATATTCTGCTGCTGTTTAGCAGCATCATTTGAACACGCGATGAACTCGCCATTAGCTATCCTGAAGTTCCTCGTTCTTAAAACACCATTTATCCTGAAAACTGCACTGTTCCACGTCTTCTCGCTGTCACCAACTGCCTCAAAATGGGACCTCCGCACCGCCTTTGTCGTTAACATCATTCGTGAGATGTTGACTAACTCCCCTCCATCGACAATATCCAAGCAGCAAGAGGGTACGCTGAGGGACCCCGGAATCAAAGGCAAGATGTGGGTCAGCAAAGTCGCCATGCCAGCCCCGTCGGAAGATGCGCTGCTGGATCTGTTGGTCAGCACAATCGACGCGCTCAAGCAGGAGGATGAGTCGTACTCTAGGCCGGCTCTTGTGCCAGTCGAGGCAGAATGGACAGGTTACCGTGCAGACGTCGCAGATAACGCACCCGAGCCATCAATTTCAGAAGCCGAGAAGTACGAGAACATGATGAAGGAGGTCACCACCGATGTCACTTTACTCTACTTCCACGGCGGATCACTCTATCTGATGGATCCCTGCACGCAAAGATCAGCAGTATCGAAATACAGCAAAATCACGGGAGGCCGAGTGCTCTCTGTGCGCTACCGCCTTGCTCCACAGAACCCCTTCCCGGCCGCACTACTCGATGCATTCGTCATCTATCTATCCCTTCTCTACCCACCAGCCAGTGCGCTCCACAAGCCGGTTCCGGCATCCCAAATAGTCTTTGCGGGTGACTCCGCAGGCGGAAACATCTCCGTTGTCCTTCTCCAGACCCTCCTCCAGATCCACCGCACCGCGCCTACCGGAACCGTCCCCACCGTTCTCTTCCACGGCAAAGAGGTTGAAATACCCCTTCCCGCCGGCCTTGCGCTCAGTTCCCCCTCTCTTGACCTCACGCGCTCCATGCCATCGACACAAACAAACGCAATATACGACTATCTCCCCCCACCAACAGTCGCACTCACCAAATCACCCCCCTGCGCCATCTGGCCCGCCAATCCACCCCGTGCCTACCTCTATTGCGAGGGAAGCATGCTATGCCACCCTCTCGTGTCCCCTCTCTCTGGGGAATCCTGGGCAGGCGCACCGCCAATATTCGTCGTTAGCGGCGAGGAGATGCTGGCGGATGAGGGGAAGGCGTTTGTGCAGAAGGCTGCGGCGCAGGGAGTTACAGTGGTCTGGGAGCAGTATGAGGCGATGCCGCATTGCTTCTCGTTGCTTTTGGAGGGCAACCCGGTGGGTGCGATGAGTTTCGATTCTTGGGCTGAATTTGTGAAGATGGCAGTGCAAAACCCGGCGGAGATTATGACGAAGGCGGATTTTATCACGGCGAAAGCTTTGGTTAGGCAGCCAGTGGATATTGGCAAATTAATGGAGATGAGTGATGAGGTTATCCTGGGGCGTATGAGGAAGTCGAGGCAGGAGATAATTGAGCGCGCTGCCACGAATTAATGAAGTGGCATAGGTCTCAATTATATGTATAACTCTCTCTCTACTATTTGTTGTACTTTATTATACCCATTAGCTTTGCCTAAACTTTATTATCGACGCAGATGTGTTGAGATTGACACAAGGCTTTGTGCAAGACACATCAAATGTATTGCGCATAAATGATTTACATCAAGGAGGATACAATTTGATTCTATGAAAACGTTAATAAATAAATTCTAAAAGTAATGTAGTTGGGGTTAATGGTGCCAATCTCGACCACAAGCGGATGATCAGGCACAAGTGCCATCAATGGGATATCGACAGCGCTCTCACCTCTCGCGGTTGCAGTAAGAGTGGTATCTCTGAATCAGTTCTGACACGGGGCAGTGCAACACAACTAAATATTATACAGATCTCGCCATTATCACGCAGACACTACGTTATGACATGGGGTTTGAGAACGCATCTCCACTGCCTCGACATTGGGTATCTGCTTGTGATTTTCACATTCCTTCAAATCTAGCCTAATGCGAAGTAACGCATCGATTTCTGCAACACAAGGTAGGGTATTAGCTCGCCTCAGCCACTGTCAAAGTCTTCAACTTTTGATCAACTGTTTGATCAACTGTCGAAGTCTTCTCTAACTGCTGACTCTTTTCTTTCTTTGCCTTCTTCGCCGCTTTCTTTGCAGCAGCCTTCTCGACCTCAAGACGCCTCTGCTCCTTTGCAGCGCTTCCGCCATATACCTCTTGCCACTCCTCTACCTTTGCCGTGGGGATAACCGTGAATAGCGGAAATGCGGCGTTGCGTTAAGAGTACGGAAGTGCACTGAGGATCAATTTGTTGGGCTCTCCTGGTACTGGCAGGACCGGAATGGTTCGGCTCGCCATTTTGAGTTGTGTGTGGTGAAGATGTCGTGGTAAAGGCCAAAAAGGTCGACACCGAGAGCGAGAATGGTACAAAACGACGTGGGGTTGGGTGACTCAGTTGAGCCTTGAAGCGCGGGGTGGAGGGAGGGGCAGCCGCCTGCGGGGGGAGGGGGGTGACGGGGGTTAGTTTTTCCGCTCCATTTGCTGGTCATTTGCCGCCCCATTTGCACCTGCCACCACCACGACATCCTCCACATCCTCCATCCTTTCCCCGTGTCTAGGCGCGACGTGCGCGTAGCGGCAAGGGGCGGATATGGTTCGGTGTAGGATAGATCAGGCGTAGATCCGGCGTAGATCCGGCGTAGGTCCGACGTAGATCATCTGGCGGCAATACTGTAGTAGGCGCCTTTTCGGAGTTCGGGGCAGTGGGTAGTGTAGTGGTAGTGTAGTGGGGTAAGCGACTAGAGCAAGGTTGACCGACAAATGAGTTACTAGGTACTAGTACATGCATTAACTATAAATATATTATAAAACTGCCATACTCTTAGCTACTTGCCAGAGGTCACAGGTACAAGAGCAAGCACAGGAGATCATAGGAGACCACAAGAAAAGTTAGGGAACCCCTAACCCAGAACTTCCCACCCATTTCCTACCCATTTCCCACCCCTTCCTACCCTTTTCTACCCTTTCCTACCCTTTCCTACCTTAAAACCCCCCCGTCTCAATAGCGTCGAATGGCGTCGATAGGCTCAGCCTCCACCACCAACCTCAATCTTTCCTGATCGGGCGATTATACACGAGATTCCATACCAAAGCGTCACACACGTGTCTGAATCTGCCCGAGTCTGACTGAGTCTGCCTGAATCTACTCTGCTTTTCGACACAACGAGGCTAACTCTACGCGACAATATTGATATCCCCAAAAATTCAACCTTGTCAGTCATGTCCCCTCCGTTTCTCGGCGAGGCTGGGTAGTCTGAGTAGTCGTGCATTGTGCATTGTGCACTGTGCACGCTGAATAAAGTCTATCCCCCCATCCCTACCACCCACAGGCAAGTTTGTCGTCTCTTTGAAATCTACTCCCTCTCTCTCTCCGTTCTCCTTCTTCCACATTCATCTTGATCCGCGCCTTCGTCTTCGTCTTCTTCTTCATCTTCACCACCTACACTTGCACCTACACCACCTACACCCACCTTCACTTGCACCTATATCTCCAATCGTCGTCCTCGGACCCCCGTACAACCTACGAGAGCGCAGACACGCCCAGGCGCACCTCGCGCCGCAATAGACCGATGCGTTCCTCAACTCTCACCCTCCTCTCCCTCCTCACCACCGCTCACTCCGCTCACCTACCACCACCTGCGCGCCTCCCCCGTCGCGTCGACCAGTCCATCAATCCCCGTGCTGAATACATCGGCGGTTGGGCCTGGTCAACCTCCGACACCTGTACAGGCGCCTGGTCGCAGACATGCGGGACCAGCAATAACAGCTGCTGCCCCACCGGCGAGACCTGCTTCACGACCGGCTATGGCGCATACTGCTGTCCAACTGGTCTGTCTCCCCCATCACCCGTTTGCAACTCTACCTAACCACCTTCCAGCCGCGGACTGTATCAACAAACTCCTCACCCTACCCGCCTGCGCTGACCAGTCAATGGAGATGTATCCCTGGCCCTATGCTCCGCGCTACTTCTGCTGCTCCGCTGGCCTCGTCGCCATAGTCCCCTATAGCGGCTCCGGCGGGCTCTGCCTCCCTGCAGATCAGAACATTCCCGCCTCCCTGATCCTCACAGCTGTACGTCCCCCTCTACCCTACACCAAACCCAAAAGTTCACCACTAACGCCTCGCAGTCAGCACAAGTAGGCGTAGGCATCTCGCGAACGTCTGTCCCCGTCGTCAGCGCAACAAACCCCGCCAGAACCTCGGGCACGGTGTCAGGCTACAGCCCCTCCACCCCCACCTCTGGCAGTGCGACCAGTACGAGCAGTACGAGCTGCACCTCAAGCCCCTGCCCCGGCACCACCGACACAAAATCATCTTCCGGCTCCAGCAAACCTCTCAGCAACGCGGCCATCGGCGGTATCATCGCAGCCGGCGCGGTCCTTTTCCTCATCCTCATTTACTGTGGCGCAAAACGAAAGCGAAACAAGAGCAAGATGAACGTCCCCCCAAGAATGGAGGTATACCCGCCTATTGCCCCGCTCCCAGCGAAGCCGATGTACGTCAGCACCGGACAGCCTTACTACACCCCGCAACCCGCTCGCGGCACCGAGACATTCAACGCACCAGCTCCGCAGGGGTCGGCAAACACCCAGAGTCCTGTCCCGGCCAATGCGGTGCCTGTCAGCCCCCTCAGTTCGAGAGTAGCGTCACCACCACCAGCGTACGGAGCGACCCCTGCGGCGCAGTATGGGGAGTTGCACAGCCAGGCGGCGGGGCCAGGGGTGCAGTATGGAGAGTTACACGGTCAGGCGGTGGGACCAGGGGAGCTGGATGGGGGGAGGGCTCAAGGGTGGGCGAGGACAGACGGGAGAGAGAGCGTCACTGGGAGACAGGAGATGTGAGGTGATGATTGACTTCAGGCGGAAGAGGACCGACGGGAGGGAGAGCGTCACGGGGAGGTAGGACATGCGAGGGCATGGTTGATTGAATTCAGGCGTTTACTATGATGGTATGGTGCTCTAGAAGGTGTTATTGGAATTGGGAGGGTGTTTTGGCGGGATATATCCGATAGTTCTGGGCGTTTTTATTGCGTTTTATTCCATTCTGGCTGGCATATCTGTTAATATTCCGTTAACGCAGGGGAACAAATGTATACATCCACTATATATTTAAATTGTATATAAAATCTACATACACGTACATCTTCATTGTCCATAAAATTAAATAAATGGTCTCGTCTTGGAATTTCTTACTGGAATTTCCATTTCCATTTCCATTGTCTCTTCGACTCGAAATCACCTCAAAAAGTACGTACCTCCATCCCGCTACGTGATTGGCCAACTCCCCTCTCCCCACGGCAACTCCCGTACCAGCTTCCCACTGCGGCAACCACGCAAAGAAAGCTACCTTGCTGTTCATCCGCATCCATACCGTCCCTGAGGCTCAACCAACTCAAAGAGCAACAACGTCAATTGACAACCACGCACATCGCTGATTATATACCCCAAAGGCACGACAGGAGCGATTCGCAGATTACGAGCTAAGGGGGATTGTTTGTTTTTGTTTGGGTGGGCGAAGGATTGAGCAAAGATGGTTGCGCCGGCGGTGCCAGAGTAGGTTCACTCCGAGTCCCGTTGTGCCTTTTGACGACAGGGGATGAGCGGTTTGAAACTGCAGCCATCAGTGTTGCATGGACATGTGCAGCTATCCAGAGCAATCATGAGGTTGATCCAGATGGATTGACGCTGAAAGTTCACGCCGCGCGGCCATGGCTGGGTTGAACAATGCTGACGTTTCCCCCCCTTAGGTTGACGGAGGAGGTGATGCACGAGAGCGTTGAAGCGCGCACAGAAGGACTCTCATCTCTCCGCGAACTTGGACCCCCAGATCTAGTACACCTGGTCAAGCAGGCGCCACGAAACCCAGCGAGACAGGTATGCACCCCTCCTCACCCCCCTGGACTGTGGGGGGAATTTGACTCGTGGGCTGACGAAGGGGGTAGTCGGGAATCTATCACCATGTTACGGGAGTGGATGCATCGTCATCGGCGAGTCTAGCAGCGTATATTAATACACTCACATATACGGTCTTCGATAAGGCCGTCGCGAAGATTGTAGAGGGGACTTATTGGTTCGTTCTCCCCACCCCCTCACAACCACGATGAAAGGGTCAAGACTCTAACAAATACCAGCTGCTACAATGCCTTCTCCCGCGTTGACATGCGCGTCCAGGTCACGATTCCCGGCTCCGTCGAAAGCTACTGCATCGACGAGCGTGGCGACAAGCGCGTTGCTTCTGACGAACTCTGGCTGGAGACATACCTGTGCAGCGTCCTGCGCTCATATTCATACGCTGACGATGGAAGCGGCGAGACTATTCGCAAGATCATGGGCGTGAGGCGCTTCAACCCAGTCACAAATACGGAGACGGAACATAGATTTTTGGCTGCGGCGGAGCATCTGTTTTTCAGAGGTATGTTGGGAAAGTTGTGTGGTGATAGCGACAGTGGTGTGATGATGCTGACTGGATTATAGGATGGCAGCTTGGATCGGATTCGATGGTTCAGGTCCCCAACAATGTCGCGAACCACCTCACCGCCGGACTCCTCCGATACTTCCACACAACCGGCCGCTTCGCGTCTGGTATCAACCTCTTCGAGAAGCTGCGTGTCAAGAATGTCGAGGTCTCCTCCCTCCTCGCAAAGGTTATGATCATGGGCAACGAAGAGGTACAAGCTGTCCGCGTTCTCCACGAAGCAGTCAAGCAATCCCCCATGGACTACGTCCTTCTCGACACCCAAGCCGACTTCCTCATGAACAAAGCCCTCAACCCGACCACCCCCGAGCTGAAGAAGGAGCGCCTTGCTTGGGCCCTTGGTTGCGCTGACCGCAGCACTATCGCCGCCCCGAGCGAATTCGGCACCTGGGCACGCCTTGCGCAAGTCTACGTCGCAATGGAGGATTGGGAGAACGCGCTCACGACCCTCAACTCATGCCCGATGTTCACGTACCAGGACAAGGATGCGCCGTTGATGCCAGAGCCGAAGGACGTGCACCTTCCCACACTTCCAGAGACGCGCCTCGATGAGATCGACAGCGAGCCCGACTCCAAATTCTCCGAGCAGGTCCACCCCAGCCTGCTCGGCCTTCGCGCCGCGCAGTACAAGGGAACCTTTAAGAAGGCGTATAGCATCTTGACAGAGATGACGGCCAAGATTGGCTGGGATCAGCTGCTCAAGATCCGTAGCCAGGTGTTCGTAATGGAGGAAGAGTACCGCACCGATCGCCAGCCGGGTGAGGAGAAGCGCAACCCGAGCACGGATGTGCTGAGGGGGACGCCGGATCCACAGGCGAATGGCGCAGAGGAGGTAGAGTCTGAGGTGAACGGGTCTCCTGCTGAAGATGCCGACGAAACTGCCTCGGACGCTGGTGCTGCCCTCGAGAAGCCCGAGCAGACCGTGCACAAAGAAGAAGCTAAAGCCGGCAACGAAGACGTACACCTCCCCCACCCCGCTACCTCAAAACCCTGACTAACATATCCTAGCCTGACACCACCGAAGAACAACTCGCGCGCTTCAACAACAAACGCCTCTGCGAGCGCTGGCTCGACAGCCTCTTCATGGTCCTCTACGAAGACCTCCGCATCTACACCATCTGGCGCACCGAGATGGCCCAGTATCGCGCCCAGTCTCTGCAATACCAGAAGTCCGCCGAGGAATGGGAGATCCTCGGTGCCCTCGCTACCCGTCTACACCACGCCCCCGAGGCAGCCGAGGCCTACCGCGCCTGCCTTGCTATCCGATTCAGCCCCAAGGCGCTGCGCGGGATATTGGGTGGGTACGAAAAGGAGCACCGCACGAGGGATGCGGTGCAGGCGGTTATTAGACTTATTACCTGGCAGTATCGCTGGTACTCGGAGTTCTCGCCTGAGCTGCTGTGGACGGTTAGATCGCTGATTGAGGAGGATGGCGCGATGAAGGTGAGGAGTATTATTCAGGCGAGCAGTTTGCCGCAGAATGTGCTCGAGTTGACGCATCATTATGCGGCGTTGTGTGCGGCGTTTAGAAGCAGTGGGACTGAGGGTTAGCGTGGGAGTGTGCGGATGTGGCGGATGACGGGAGGGGACCGCTATTGGATGGGTAGTGTTCGAGGCGGTTCATGGGGGTAGTAGATAGATATGGTGGTAATGTGTAGGAGTGTATGTATGACTGGGAGCTTGTATGCGTGTGGTGATCGGCAATCCCTGTATGTCAGTTTGGGGTATTCACGTTTATCATGAGCATAGATCTAGCTCTCGCACTTCAGCCTATATTATAGCAACATCGTCAACTCACACTTCCAACGTATGCTCTTTAGCCAGGTCTCCCTAATATTCTCGTACATCTAGACTTGATCACACTCACCCCTTTCTCTCCGTCTTCACCAGCTGACAACTATTTCCAGCGTGTAGCTTCTGTGCGTACTCCCACGCATCACCAGCAACAGGCAACCCCTCCATGAGTCCCTTGGCGAAAGAATTTCATCATGGAGGCAATGAAGTTGATACCTGGCGCCGTAAATAGATAGACGTCATGTTATGTCAGCTACATTAATGCCAAGCCGTCGAGGAGGAGAGGCAGATGGCGGGGAAGGTGGGGAGGGAGCGATGGGGGTAGCGCTAATAGTCGGATCGGTTTAGCGCGTGTAATCAAGCTGCGCGCTAGCCAAGCGATCGCCCGTTAGGACCCAAATAGAGTTTACCGCATCGATCGTTAGGGACGACGCCGAAGCTAGTCTATATTAGGACCAGGGTCACCCGCAACGTTACTTCTGGGCAAGCCTGGGCAGAGTCGACGTGATGGCAGCTATGAGAACGTACGTAGGATTCGGTAGTTGGCCTGTGACATATTAATCATGGTATGCATCGTGATATTGGATATCCATACTCCAACATGCACCCCATGCCATACTAAAGCATAAACACTCACATGCATCTACATGCTACAGCATACACACTAGGCACTGCCGGTAATGTCTCAGACACCTCACGGGGACACATGCTAACGCTGTATTCAGGAGCAAACACACCAGAATGCCGCTTTCGGTCCTTGATATACCGGCTCAAAGCCGATGATTGGCCCCGGCTTACCCTCTCCCTCGGCGTCATGCCACCGATCAGACACCCGGCATGCGAATCAGCTTTCCGATATCACATTTGTGTCCTCGTGCCTGACCCTGTTCGCATCATTCCGCTCCCCTATTGCAGGTTCCACGGGGCTGATTAACCCGAACCAGAGGGACTTGGGGACACTTGGGGACCGGGTGAGGCGGCGCAGGGATGGAGCCTCACTTCTCTCCTTGTTGCATTTCTTGACTTCGTCATGGAGGGGCACGAACGATGGTGAGGGGTTGTCAGAAGACAATGAGAGGAATGACGTTATTGCGGTGGTATGAGATAGGTGAGGGCCTCGGCGCGTTGAACGCGCGGGGCCTTTTTTATTCATACCGAGCTTTTCCTCGAAGTACGTCTATCTCCAAACAATATGAGGTTTTCAGGCCTGCTTCAGGGAGCTCTATCTGCTATTCTATTCTCAGGATGCGTCTCCGCGGTCAAGTTCCAGGAGTACATCCTTGCCCCAAGTGACCGCAACGTGCAATGCAGAGACCTTCTTAACACCACTAACAAGGTCGAGAACCCCGGTGCTCTCTGTACCGCTTCTAAAAACAGCGATGGCACCACTTTTACCGGCGACTCGGCCATCACCATCGATTTTGGCAAAAATGTCGCCGGCACTGTTCAGTTTAACGTCAAAGCCGTCTCAGGCGACGCTGAGTTTATTGGCTTCACCTTCACCGAGAGCAACATGTGGATCAGCACCACCCTCAGCGACTCCGCCAACGCTGCCACTTTTGACAGCCCGCTCTGGTTCCCTGTTGGTGCCGCCGGCGTCTATGCAGCCGACAAGACGCATCAGCGCGGCGGCTTTCGCTACATGAGTCTTTGGCACAACTCCACGGGGAAGATGGCCATTGACTCGCTGTCAGTGAACTTCACGGCGTCTCCAGAGATGGCGAACGCACAGGACTATGCAGGGTACTTTAATAGTGATAGCGAGAAGTTGAATCGTGTGTGGTATGCGGGCGCGTACACTAACCAGCTATGCACCTCGGATCCGGCATATGGAAATTCGCAGAATGTGCCAGGTGTGGGTTGGTACTTGAATGGCAGGCTGTCAGGTTAGTTGGCTCCTTTATGAGTGAATTCTTCATATTCTAGCAGCGCGTGGGGATATTGGTATATGGGAGTTGGACGAATGGCTAATGCATAATAGAGGGCACATCGGTTCTCATGGATGGAGCAAAACGGGATCGCCTTGTCTGGCCTGGTGACATTGCAATTTCTGGTCCTTCGATGTTCGTGTCAACCAACAGCCTTGATGGGATTAAAAATGGTCTATCGGCTTTATTTTCAATGCAGGAAGCGAGTGGGCGATTACCATACAATGGAATTGGCTATTTCCTCAAGGGCTACTTCGATTACAGCTTTACATACCATCTCTACACACTTCTTGACCTATACGATTACTACACGTATTCGGGCGACCTAGCGTACCTGGAAAAGTACTGGCCTCAGTATAAGCTGGGTCTTGCCAATACGGTCGCACTGATTGATAGCACCGGAATGGCCAATGTTGACAGCCCCAACGATTGGCTCCGGTCCGGCATGGGCGGTCACAACGGAGAGGTTAGTTTTCCAGCTCTGCCAAAACCCCACTTACAGAACTAACACCCACCTGGTAGGCAAATTCAATCTTTTATCACACCCTGGAAAAATCCATCACTCTTGCCAACGTACTCAATGACACGGCTTTAATCCCCACTTGGACCGCCGCCATGTCCAGCATCCGCACCGCCCTGAACGCCAACCTCTGGGACCCATCCCAAAACCTCTTCTTCGACAATGCTGAGGACAAGTCAGCCACCGCAGTCCATCCGCAAGACGGAAATTCGTGGGCCATCATCGCTGGCCTTGTCACCCCTGACCGGGCATCCGCAATTTCTAAAGCCCTCGCAGACCGTTGGGTTCGTCCGTTTGGTGCCCCTGCGCCAGAGGCAGGTAAGGCCATCTCACCATTTGCATCCGGATTCGAGGTACAAGCCCATTACCTTGCTGGCGCAGCGCATCGTGCCATCGACCTTATGGAATTCATGTGGGCAGATTTCATGCTCGACGACCCACGCATGACAAACTCCTCCCTCATCGAAGGGTACTCTTCCGATGGCTCTCTTCACTACCCCCCTTACGATAACGATGCGCGCGTCAGCCATGCACATGGATGGGCCACCGGTCCTACATCCGCGCTGTCGTTTTTCGGCGCGGGAATTCAACTTACCAGCGCGATGGGCCGAACGTGGGAGATTCATCCGAGGTTGGGGGGGCTAAATAGAATCAGCGCGGGGTATGAGACGGGACTTGGGGAGTTTGAGGCCCAGTGGGAGGCGTCTGGAGTGGTGGTAGTGGGGAGTTTCACGACTCCTCAAGGGACGAGTGGTAGATTGGTGTTGCCGAGAGGAGGGGGATATACGGTTACGGGATCGAATGGCGTGGTGGTGCCGACTGAGAAAGGGGGTGATACCTTTGTGTACGCGGATTTGCCGGGGGGCACCTATGAGATTGCTTTGGCCTGAGTTCTGCGGTGGCAAAGCATTAGGCAAAGCATTAGGCTGATGATATAGAAATGAAGCTGTTGTTTATAATCTCGTGGGCTACAGCGTGATAGCGGGGAAAGTTATAAGGAAACAGGCCATTCTTTTGAAATATGTCCGTAATTATTTATTGTGCGGAGTTTCTACTATTTATACAGCACAAGTTTTGCGCATACTCACGACATATATTCTTCCAATCACGCTACCCACTCATACTCAGGAAGCCCAAACTTGTCAGAACTGGCGAAGGCACTCGCAAAGTACTTCTGCGCAAACTCCAATATCCTAGTCCAAGCAACGAAAGCAAAAATTCGGTTCCGCACCCACAGCCCCCATGCCGTCTGAGGTGCAAGAATTGTACGTATTAGCGGCGGCTCCCTTTGCAGTTTCGCGATCATAGGACGCATTTGCTCCTCGTATCCCTTAATTCCTGCTTCAAGGTTGCCGGCATGCTTATTTATCTCGCCTGCTAGCAAGTACGCGCCTGTGATGGCGAGGGTCGTTCCAGCGCCCGTGAAACCCGCTGCATAACCTGCGTCGCCGACAAGGACAAAACGGCCGTTACACAGACTTGGGGTCTTGACCTGAACGATCTCGTTGGCATAGAAGTCTGTGGAATTAAGCATGCACTTCATGATTTCTTCGGTCTTCCAGCCAGCACCTTCGTAATGACTGGCGACAAACTGTTTAAGCCCATCATCGCCCCTTTTCATCGCATCGCAGAAGGATACCGAGGCGGAATGGTCGCCTGGGGGGCTAAGTCCCATCAGCACCACTTTCGTGATGCCCGAAGGATCTGAGCCTGCAGCTATGAAACGGCCACCAACAGCGCTGTATGCATGTCCCATTGCATTGCCTGCAAATAGATCCTCGTTTATCGAAAAGAACGCGGCCCAGCAGTTCGACGGGTACACATAATCCCTAGAGCCGCGGCCGAGACCCATAGCTCGAGTCCGCGAGGTAGCCCCATCGCAGGCAACGACGAGGTCATATTCCGCTGTAGCCAGCCCATTCGCAATTTCAACTATGATTGGACCGTTGACCTTTCCATCGATCTGCTGTCGCATCGACATCACTTGCTCACCAAAGACGTACTTGATACTCTTATTGTCCTTCGTCAGATCAAACAGGATTTGCGACAGGTCTCCCCGCAAGATCTCATATTCCGACACGAGAGACTGCTGCTCGGGGTTTCCAGTTGGTTTTATACACGCATATGTGCTGCCATCTGCAAGGACAAAGTTTATTCCTTCCATCTGTGATGTCTTGGCTCGCACGGCGGTCTCCATCGGCATCTTGCGAATGACAGTTACGCCGGAAGTGCGGATGTCGACGTTCTGGCCGTTGGAGCGCAGGGAAGGGAAGCGTTCGATGACGGTTATGTCTGCGCCAGCTTTGGAAAGCCAGTAGGCAGCCGTGGGGCCAGCGATTGATGCGCCGACAATGAGGACTTTGAGGTTGGGCATTGTATTTGGCAGTTGGTTTACGAATTATGAGATCAAATCATCATGGAATATTCGTACACGTTGGGATTAAGAATATATATTGTTAAATTTATGGAAATAAATTATCTAATAAGAAACAGAACATAAAAAACAGCAAAGAATCTAGCTACTCCATACATCTAATATAAAATATAAGTATAGTGCTCGAGTAAAGTAATGCCACCTTTGGCTTGGGATGTGGATGGTACAAGTGAGGCTTGGTAAAGGCTCGGGGATTTTGAAGCTCGGGCTCCGAGCTCCGAGTCCAAGAATCCCACCAATCGGAGTTGACTTCGTCACTTTTGTCCGACGACTTCTCTTCGTTCAATTATGATACTGAGAAAAGTATTGCAATATTGGCAGTCAAAGTCATAGTCATTCCCTCACCATGAACGCCGCCGCAGCATCATTGAGGATACCAATGACCAAAGGTAACTTTGCTTGTGTCCGATGCTCCGAGCGGAAGGTCGGGTGCGATAGAAAGAATCCGTGTGGTGCCTGCGTCAGACACAATGTGCCATGTATTGTCCGTCCACCCAAGCCGCCTCGAAGGAAACAAGGACCCTCAAAGGAAAAGCTAGTACTCGAACGGTTAAAGCGCTATGAAGCGTTGCTTCAAGAGAAAGGCATCGATCCCCACCAAGTCGCTGGTGGTTCGGAGCCCGAGACCCCTTCCGAAAGTAACAGTCTAACGGAGTCTGAGACGGTGTGGAGGTTGCCAATGCAGGCGACCATTTTTAAACCCAGGCTAGTACATAGACAGAGTGGCACAGAGCTTGTGGACAAGTAAGCAATCCTGTCGATCATGGATAATGGTGCTAAATATCTCACAGCAACTTGTGGTCGAGGGTGGCAGAAGAGGTGCGTCATTCACTCATATGGATACTACAAGCTAGATAATGAGCTGACCCGTTAGATCCACGATGATGAAGCCACTCTGGGAGACGACTCGGAGAACGATGGAAGTGATGGCGAAGCGTCTGATGATGACTTTTCCTTTGTTCTAGGCTCGAAGAGCCCCATTACTACACCCCCCTCGCACCCACCTGCTGAAATAATTCGTCAATTATGGCAGACTTTCATTGAAAATGTCAACCCTCTCATGAAAGTAGTGCACATACCAAGTTTACAGATTGCGATGGATAAAGCAATCAGCAATATCGAGAATATTCCCAGAGGCTTCGAAGCGCTCATGTTCGCCATTTACCATATAGCCATTATTTCGCTAACGGATGACGAGTGCAAAGAAGTTACGGGAGAGACTCGAGCGATACTGCTGCGCCGTTACCTGGCCGCCACAAAAGCTGCATTGTCGCGGGCAAGGTTTATGAGCACGTCCAGCATTGTTGTTTTGCAGGCACTGGCAATTCATCTTATTTCAATCCGCGATATCTACGAACCACGTGCTGTGTGGAACCTCACTGGGGTTGCCATACGCATTGCAGAAGGTATGGGCATGCGCATTGATGGTAAATTGTTGGGCTTATCACCCTTTGAAACCGAGATTCGTCGACGTCTCTGGTGGCAGCTCAAGTTGCACGACTCCCGGGCAGCAGAACTTTGCGGCCAGGCCAAGTTTCAAGATTTTGCACTCAACAATACTTCCCCAAAGAAACCCGCCAACGTCAATGACGCCGATCTCTATCCGTCAATGGTGCAAGCTCCCGAAGAATCAATTAGGCCTACAGAGATGCTATGGTGTATGTTTAGGACTGAGCTAGCTGGTTTCGATTCTGCTCAGATAGCCCGAATGCCTAAACTAGACCAGGCTATGTTCACAAACCACGAATATGCTGCCATGGATGGTGTGAAAGTAAAGGAGAATTCTATGGAAGGGCTGATAGATGATCTTGAGACTAAGTACCTCCGATTCTGCGATCCTTCTCAGCCACTACAGCTCATGGTTCTGTTTGGCGCTCGGTGCGCAACGAACATTATCCGATTCATGACCTACCACCCGCGGAAATGGGTCAACAACCAAGACCAGGTCCCAGCATCTGAACAAAAGCTGGTCTGGGATATCGTTCTTCAGCTCCTAGAGCAGTACAACCAGATGCAGTCAAATCCACAACTTCGCCGCTTTGCTTGGAATGTCCCATACTTCATCCAATGGCACGCTGTTATCCATGTCCTTGACTCTCTCCGAGCAAAACCCCTCCATGTAGACGCTTGGAAAGCTTGGGGGCTCGTTAATACCCTGTACGAAACAAATTTGGAAATGTGTCTTAGCACCAAGAAAGCGATGTTCGTGGCAATCGGTAGTCTCTGTCTAAAAGCATTCGATGCCCGCGAGGCCGCCATGGCGAAGGACAATAAGAGCGTCTCTAATACACCTAAATACATCATCAGGCTCCGTGAGCAACGAGAAGAGGCCAGGGCACGGCGAGAAGCAGCAGTCTTAAGAAACAAACAGCGAGAGGCTCAGAACGGCGAAAAGCAATCAACGCCAATGGATGCTGGCACAACATGGCAGGATGTGAATCATAGCCCAGAAAATGCCCGGGTTGAAGCACAGGCACAGCAAAATCCAACGGCAACGCAGGCAGCGAACACCGTGCAAAGTGGCGCTCGCACAGGAGATGATGCATTCTGGCTTAATGATGCTGCGAATGGCGACATCTGCGCCTGTGGATCAGCCGACCCGATGAATCTAGATTCAAATAATATTTTGGCCCAAGACTACTGGTTTGATACTCCCAGCGGCGAGGTCATCGACTGGGCAAAGTGGGATACCTGGCTTGGCAATAATGATCCTGTACGTCCGAGTTTTGCCTCATGACCTAGGCGACGATTTGCTTGGATGGTAGAATGTTGGTACAAAGTCACGGTTTATCCCACTCTAGAGGCGTCTTGAGATGTCTAGACCATGGGGTGAGACTTGTCGGTGTCATATGTCCGACGTCCGGCAGTAGAAGGCCAGGCGCATTATGAGTCGGGTATGTAATAGTAGTAGCTATAGTAAGAATAGCCCATCTTCGGCACACGATAATTATCACATTCATAAGCCACGTGAACCGTTCGCAAGTTGATTACTAGTCACACTGATTTAGGGCTGCCAGACGTTGTATAACCCCGGATTACAGCCGATAACCAGCCTCGTGCCGAAGCTGTGTAACTGCTACGGTGTGATCCAATGATATCAACTCTCACTTGTCCTTTCCTTCCCGAGTTAACGGGAGTGGAACCTTCGTTTCATGCACGCACGCTTATCTGAGGCTCCACAAGATGTGTATTCTGCACTGGGTGGGTGAGTTGTTTATTATCCGTTCGAAGGCGGATAGGGATATAATATCAATGACATTTCTGTTGTGGTACCGTAGGGGGTGCACAACCAACCCACGTACTTGCAAAGGGTCTAGAAGCCAATAGACCGAGTTACATTCAAATTATGCATTATGAGATTGGACAGTGCGATACTAAGAACGCCCAATTTAATCGCTCTCTTACTATATATTCATAAGTTCGTTTAGATCCATATTTACATTCGGTATTTCCAAAGGTCAACCATCCAAAATTCATCAGCTAGAGACAAGTGGAAACTTCTGCCGCAAACGTAACTTATGACACTCCGGCCGCAGCAACCAGAAGATCCAACGCTGAGCTCTGAGAGTTTACATCAGCCTGGATATATGGTCCGGACCAGACTGGGCCAAGGAAGTTTCCTTGTTGATCTTTCTCCCACACCGTGTCGGCGTTCAACTGTAAGAAGGCCTTGAACTGCGCCTTGGTAGCATCCGAGAGCCCGTTGGCGCGGTTGTACATGAACTGGACGTTGCGGGCAAGTACGCCTTTAAATTGGCCGCCATCGCCCCCGCAGGTCCCGCATGCATCAGTTAAGATGCCATCCGCGTTTGTTAGTTTCGTGATTGCTGCTGTGGCGATGTTGACTGCAAGGGTGGTGTATTTAGCATCGCCGGTCGACCAAGTGAGCTCGGTAAGGCCACCAAGAATGACACCCTGGTTGTAGGACCAGGTCGTGGCGCCGTTGTTTTTACAATCTGCAGTTAGACCATCATTGATGAGGAACTCGCTGTTGATCATGCCCGATTTGAAAAACCATTCATAAGCCTTGATCGCCTCGTTGAAGTAGTAACCTCCTGAGGGCGAGCTGGGCTTGCGGTTTGCAAGTTTGGAGGCAGCGGTGAGGTAGAGCTCATTCTCGATCGCATTGACAGCCGGGTCACCCTTTTTCCAACTAATATTTGCGTTAGACAAATATGGGACACTGGAGGAAAGGGAAATAACTCACTATAGACCGCCGCAAGCAGGTTGGCCCCAAGCCTTCTTAGCATCTTCAAAGATCGAGGATGCCATGTCAAGATACTTCTGCTCCTTCGTCACATCGAAGACTTGAATCCAAGCAAGACACCACCACAGCTCATCATCATAGTAGTCGTTGATGAATCCGGTGAAGGCACCCCACGACGGAGCATTTGCCAACGTCTTTGGGAAGACATCGGCTGTGTAGCCGCTGACCTGATCGGGGGAAAATGCTTGAAAGTCGGCAAGCATGGTAATGACATTGGCGCTGTTCCACCAGTGGTTATCCCAGAGACCATTGTCTCCATACCACTGATGTAAAGCTATAATGCCCGCAACCGCCTCATTGGCATAGGTTAACCGTGTAGCTCTCCCCTCGAGCGTCAAGCCTCTTCGCTGGTACTTGGAAGTTCCATGAATTGGGTCTGGCTTTGGGACGGGATAACTGATCGGGTTTGGTAGGGCTATCGCAGAATTACTGACGACGAGAGCCAGGAGCGCGGTTTGGAGCAAGTTGACCATTGTGATGAGCTGTATGAACACCCCAAAAATATCTTACATTTCGAGGGGAACGCATTTGTCCCTCCCTTTATACAAGTCTATAATACCATTGTTAGCTTTGCGATCCTTCGGTGGGATTGTGGGGCAGGAAGCTGATCCTTGCCAACAGTGTCATAATAGCGCTGTTCACCCCCTCGAAGACAATCGACCGAAGGATCATGCGGTACAAAACACACCTGACCCATCCATGATGTGTCTTAAGAGATTGATTCCGGACTTTAAATTTGGCTCAAGTGATCCCTGAAAAGATTGGGGACGCACAGCCCAGCCAGCCGCCAATGGCACCTGCTAGGCAAGGGCCGAGGCATCTTATATGGATAGCTTACCTACTCATGTGAGGGAATTAGAGTTCTATCATGCACTCTTAAAGGCCTTGCTTCGGGGAAAGCGACTGCGCTCTTTCTCCCGTTATCCGCAAGTATGTATCGATGGAGGTCTATGGATCGTAATTGTGTTTTAATGGCCTTTGTTGCGCTTTTCCGTTCAACACAACAAATACCTGATGTGGATTCCTATACCGCACTATATGTGATCCTACAGAGGCTTGTAAATCAGCGCTAGCATGTTTCGGCCACAGCCGCAGTGGAAAATGCCTATTTCTGGTATTGGGCTCACTTTGCACCAGCCGAGCCAATTATAACTCTCGAGATCGCCACATTTTACTCTATATTTGGTATCCTTGCATACACTGTTTCAAATTGCAGTTTGCCGCTGCAACATGCGGTGGAATATTAAAATGTTTAATTCAGTTCTTATTGCAACCAAGCTACTTCATAAACTATATGCCATTGTATGTCCTGGGAATGAGCGCGGGATTGCGATGGCGAGTCCACGGGATTTGAGACCAGCAGCGATAAAACTGAGAGCGCTCGCACATAAGCGCTAGCCAAGCGCGTAGGATCATGTGCAATGGACGAAGACCGTAATGAAGCCGAAGATGCAAATAAGCGTCAACAAGGGTAGAGGTTATATATTTGGGGCCCATATATTTGAGGGAACGTTGTATTTGACAGCGGTGGGCTGCAGTTTAACCTTCGAAACTCCACGCCCACCCCACTCATGTCCTAGCTCAAAATCAACTATTCTGATGGCTACACGGGGGTCAAAGCTGCACCGCGACTGGAACTTCTTTATTTGGCTCCCTGTCAGGTTTGACAATAGCGTTTATATGATAAAGACTCTCCCTACGAAGGTTGACGAGATAAAATCATTTCGGCACGAAGTGATGTTAGGACACTTGCAAAGAATTTTAGGCTCATACCAAATAATCTGTAAATATTCATGTAGTAATAATTTCATTATCCTAGGCATTGAAACCTTAATGTGGCTTCGAGTGAAGCAAGAATAACTTCCATATATCATATCACGTGACATTGATATATCAAACCGTGATGCATGTACACTTGATTACGCCGTGCATAATGCCATCCACCATCATTCCCATCTACTATGAATTCATAAAGATGGTATTCTAGAGCACAAAGCGCCACATGAGAAGGCCTACCTGACAGTAAAACCCAAGGGTCGAAACTAAACTACCGCCACGCTAAAAGTGGTCGCGTGCGCGGGCCGAGACACGGGGAGAAGAGGGGTACAAAAGGGTCTGCTCCAATTTTTTTTTGGCCCATTTGATTTTGCTTACAGTGCTCTATTAGTCGACGCCATAGGGTTTTTGCATATAGATTATATTTATCCATCGTCGGGTCTTCATCGTTTTTATATTTTACACTTAATATGTCTCTTCGGGCCAGCGAGGATGCACCACACGGCGGGCATGAGACTGACCCGGCCCCGGCTCCACATGCAACATGGAAATCGACGTGGAATAATAACAAGGGACTGATCTTTATCATTCTTGCTCAAGCTATTGCATCATCTATGGATGCGATAGTTCGCTTCCTTCAGCAGGGCGAGCATAAGATGCACCCTTTCCAGGTGCGTAGCTTGCCACTCAGCGGTGAACTGCCGTAGTCGCTGATTGGATAACTAGATCATCTTCGCGCGAATGGGCATGACGTTCGTTCTAAGCTCGCTGTACATGTGGTGGACGAAGGTGCCAGATTTCCCACTTGGGAGGGCTGATGTCCGAGGCTGGCTTGTCGTCCGCGCGCTGTTTGGTTTTTTTGGATTGTTCTGTTTGTACTGTGAGGCCCACTTACCACAGGACTTACCCCGGATTCGGGCCATTTGAGGGTTGCGATACTGACAACATATAGATTCCGTGCACTATCTGCCCCTCGCTGAAGCAACCGTCTTCCGCTTCCTCGTTCCCATCGTCACTGCATGGGCCTGCTCCATCTTCCTCGGCGAGATCTTCAGTAGCCGCGACCTTCTTGCTGGCGTAGTGGCTCTGGTCGGGGTCATCTTCATCGCCCACCCCTCCAGCCTCTTTGGGCCCGCCGCCAATGATAACATTCCCCGCCCCAGCGACATCGATCACGTCTCCCCCGCTCAGCGCCTCCTCGCCATCACCGCCTCCCTTCTTGGTGTTCTCGGCGCCTCAGGGGCTTACACCATGATCCGCGTCATCGGCACTCGCGCCCATGCCCTGATATCCGTCAATTACTTTGCCGTCCTCGGCACGTTTGGTTCTGCCGCCGCTCTCCTTGCCGTGCCAGGGATGTCCTTTACGATGCCACGCGGGACTCGCGAATGGGTCCTCATGGTGCTGCTGGGTGTGCTTGGCTTCGCCCTACAGTTCTTGTTGACCGCGGGGCTGCAGCTCGATCGCAGCAGTAAGGCGACGAGTATGTTGTATACGCAAGTGCTGTTTGCGTTATCTTTCGACTTTGCGATCTGGGGCGTCTTGCCGGGCGGGTGGAGCTTGTTCGGTGGGGCGATCGTGATTGCGAGTACTCTGTGGTCCGCACTGTCGAAGCCGACTAAGCATGCGGCAACACCGGCGAAAACAGTGGTGGTCGATGAGGAGAGCGCACTCCTTGGGGCCCAGCGAGGAGAAGATGCAGATCAGACACCACAGAGGAAAGCAAGTGTCAGTGCCTGAGAACGGACTTGATGCGAAAGATATTTGAAAGACTGTGTAGAGTGGAATCTCGGAGTATCAGGGAGCTTGGGCTATTGTTGTCTCGGCGCGTTCCGTGTTTTGATTTTGATTCGTTATGATACCATGGAGAGCATCACGTGATAAAGGCATATGGCCCACGCCTCATGAGCATGGAGGAGAGAGGGTTTTAAGTTTACAGATTAGAGATGAGTATTAAATAGAGGATTTAATGTGTTTATCATAGCAACACTGTCGACCAGCTTAGTCTTATCAATAAACGTAATCACGTGTTTATATTCTCAAGTCAGCTTGTCACGTTGTCAGCTTGGACCGTTGCGATAAGGATATTTTGTGATGTGGGACAGGACAGGGGTCGGGAGATCGGCACGGTTGGCAGGGACATTGACAGGTGCTGCCAATCCGAGGGAATCGCTGAAAAGGTCGACAGTCAACAACACGGAGCAGATAGTCATACAATACAGTGGGTGGTGAGCGGTTCCCATACATGCGATTCTTCATTATGTATGGCTATAGTCAGCGACAAGCACGAGCTATGCAGCGCGACCGTGGGATAGGAAGAGGCGTGACTTGACGGTTCAGACGGTTTAGTTTAGACAGGGCGTGAGTTAGACAGCACAGTACGACGGTCTCACCCTCTCACCACCTCTCTCTCAGCTCTCAGTTGGTGGAGGACGTGAGTGAGTGAGTACGTAAGCGTAAGTACATGAGACTTGAGCATGGTCTGTCTGCAGCGGTACCTTGCATGTGCCAAGACGCGGAGAGAGCTCCTCTTAGAAGTTCTCGAGTCAAGGTATAGGAGGACGTGGTTGGTTGGGGATTGGTTGGGGGTTGATTGGGCTCATCTCGGGTGTTTATAGTAGAGTATAGTTGTTGTCAGACTTATATGACTTGTTGAGTCTGCGTATTATTGTATACGAATGCTTTCGTAGTCAATTGGATATTCCATAGAACATATTCAATAGGACAACACGTGCAACACCACTACAGCTGAGCTATGTATGCTGGGCATATTACTATAGTAACAAATACTATAGTAACAAATACTATAGTAACAAATACTATGGTAACAAATACTACCAAACCCAGACAATCAGACACAATTGAGACAACGTCACAGATAACACAGACAGAACAGGACAGCGCACACAACACACACGCCAAACCCTATCAGCCACTAGTGTTCCCTAGAGTTGCCTAGTTTATTCGCTAGTGCCATGTCCAGAGTAACTTGCCCCTCGGTTGTCACAGAGATACGAGCACTAGTCTCAACTAGTCTCATCTAGTCTGCATACTAGCCCAAGTCGACTAGCGTAGTGTCTCTGAATCTCCGTCCCCCTCTCCTCCCAGCCAATCACCGCCCCGCAATATCCGGAGCGTCCCTGAATTACTTGGAAAGTGCATTTAGGGAGCACTAGTTGAGCATTAATGATTGGTCAACCTGGCCTTACCTTCCCTGTTGCGCGTGGAACCAGACTTTCTCGCTGTGTCTTGCTGTGTGTTGCTGTCCGTCGCCGACATTTCCGTTTCTCCCCCTCCGTTCGTTCCTTCCCCATCAACACAACACCATGCAGTACATGGCAGCACTCTATTTTACTGATTATCCACCGTGCCTTCCCTGTTAAAACCTGCCACTGCGTCACTCCCTCACCCACCCGCCTCCCATTTCCTACTAGCGTCTTTCCCGCCCGAACAGCTTCCTTTCTTCCTCTTTCGCTCTTTCTTCCCTTCCTTCCTCTCCTCTCCTCTCTTCTTCCCTTCTTCTCTCTTCTCGCTTCCTCTCTCTCTCTCACCATCTTCCACATCACATCACTTCACATTGTAGTCCCTTGATCATCTTAATTGAAACCAAGCGTATCAATCTGAGAGTATCAATTCTGCTTTCGAGCCAATCTCAATTCAGCTCTACACAATCCCATCATCCTGCACAACCCTCCCCCGCGCAAACATGCTCACCACCTCAATCTTCGCTGTCGCCCTCGCGGCTGGCTCCGCCATCGCCCAGACCACCACCACAGGCTCCACGGGCACCACCGCCCTCAACTTCACCTACATTGACATCGCTAACGTCGATCCCCAGGAGGCTGGTGAGTTTCCGTGATCCACGCCCGCATCCCCTCCAATTGATTGACTGACGCTCTCCCGCAGCTTCCTGGTGCATTGGTGAGCGCACGGGCTGCCAGACCCTTTGCGATGGCAACGCCCCAACGAACGACTGTGATGCCGTACGTCCCTGCCACTCCCCATGTGGCTCCCTCCCCGACGCCCATGACATCCAGCTAACCCGCCACAGCAAAAATTGACCTACAAGTGTCTCTGCGAGGACGGCTCCACCCCCGATCTCGCCAAGTACAAGAACACCCTGCCCGACTTCGTCTGCCAGGCCAACTTTGCCGGCTGCATCAAGGCCCACCCCAACGACGCCGTCGGACAGGGCAACTGCAAGACGGAGATCCAGGACACCTGCGGCACCCTCAACATCACCGACTACAAGTCGGGCTCCGGTTCCGGCAGCAGCAGCGGTTCCAGCAGCGCGTCCGAGACGAGCTCCCCCTCCTCCACCGGTGGCTCCAGCGGTGCCGGTGGCGCCAGCGAGACCACGGGTGGGTCGACCCCATCCAGCACCTCGGGCTCTGGCGCAGCTGCGTCCACCAGCAAGGCTGCCGCTGTGGCAAATGGTATGGACATCAGCGCCGGTGTCCTCGCCGCTGGTCTCTTCGGTGTCTTCGGCTACATCTTGTAAGCGTTGACGCGCACACATCTCTGCTCGAGCGAGCAATGCTACTCTTCTACGAAACATCCGATCCCCTGCGCACCCGCCCTTATGTCCTGGCTCATGATCCCTGAGCGATGCCGTACTGTTTGCATTGCGATAGCATGGTGTTCTGGTGCGCTTCTTCTTTGATCGTTGGACTGTTTTTCTGCTGGTTCGGGGCTTTATTTTTACGAGGTACTTTGCGTGCTGCGCGTGGCACGATCTAATTATGTGGGGAGAGTCTTGATGGCTGGATGGATATGGCTTGACGACCGTATGTGGAGGGGAGTGGGCTGTGCATTTCTGCGCGGTGAGTGCGAGTGTACTGATTGCGTGGCGTGCCGGTTTTATATCTGCGGTTGAGCGAATGGACGGGGGTGATGTTATTGCTTTGACTGTTATGAGGGAGAAAAGGATGGAGAGTGTATACAGTTAGTACTCGCTGGTGGTAGACGACGAATTCTTCACTGGCTTAATTATGATATATTGTCTTTGGCTCGTGATATAGGATCGTGATGTAGCCATCTCGACGACAGCCCCGCCGACGATCTCTCTGGAGATGAGCCTAATCTACGGCACGACGGATCTGATGCCACCTTTCCGCAGGATCCCCTGCCATCCACATCCCTATTCTGTCGTTCCTCTTCTCCTTCAGGTGTATGTGATCCTCGATATATATTGCCGTACGTATTGCCGAAGACGCCTTGCCTCCCTGGATACGTGATGCCTATCGCGGCGAACAGCTGCATTCCCTGATCTCTGTGGATGCTGGCATAACTCACGACTCCATGGATCCACCGACATCAGTCTCATTCTTCAGCCCCAAGGGCCCGATGCTACCCTTTCCGTGGAAACTCTTGGGGTCGTGATTTCTCTTCGGAGTGTCTCTTTCCTTGAGATAGAAGTCATTCTCGGTATGTATTGCCGTAAAAAATGCCGAGCGAACGCTTGTCTCTTTAGATGCCGGGTAAACATATGCATATATCTGCCACCAGATCTGCCAAGCGAAAACACCCTGTTCGGGATTAGCGCCTACCCCAGGTTATCTACATGAGAACGCGTCGGCTGTTTCGCCGAAAGCCCTGTCGAATCAGCCCGCGGCCATACTGCGGGTTGTATGATATACAGAGTATGTCGATGCAGATCTACCGGCATTGCTAAGGGTCTGGGATTGAGCATCGAGTGGGGTGTGGAGTGAAGCAGCGGCACCATATTGCCTCTTGTGACGAAAAAAAATCACGAGAGGCAAAATGGTGCTGCTGACATGGCTGATCGCTCCACTCCACCTGGCATGTCAACTTCCCCATACATATCCCGACACGCACTCTCCTGTGCAACCGTTCAGGAACTTGCGGTTCCCAATCCGCTATATTGGGATCTGCCTCGTCATGCGCCGGTAGAATAGAGTGCGGGGGCACATGAAGGGAAGCGTCTTTTTTTCTATCTAGAATCTCGGGCCTTCTCTGTCTGTCTCGGGGGCACGTCATAATATAAGTTGCCGCCATCCCCATTCTTGTCGTCTTAATTCTTCATTCCCCTCTCCTCATCACCGGGCACAACAGCAACAGACAATGCGTTCCAACTCCCTCCTACCCCTCGGGCTCGCCCCCGCCAACGCCCTCGGCGCCATCCTGTACGCCACCCACTACAGCGGCACGCTCTCGGTGCTTTCCCTGTCTGGCAGCTCTCTGACCGTCGTATCGAGCGAGAAGAACTGCGGCCCTTCCCCTAGCTGGGTCACTTTCGATTCGGTGAACCAGGTCCTCTACTGCGTCAACGAGCTGAACTCAGGCGGCTCGGTCAACGCCTTCAACGCAGATGCGGAAGGCGCACTGACGGCCATCGCAAGCGCGAAGCTTCTCGGGAACCCGGTGCATAGCGCCCTCTATGGAGGCGAGGATGGGATTTCCTTCCAGGCATTTGCGCATTAGTATGTCCCCGTGAATATCCCACGTCAACCAAATACTGACCCTTTTCACCTAGCTCAGGCTCCCTAATCTCAACCATTGCCCTCCCCATTACCAACGACTCCAAAACCCTCCAAACATTCTCCTACACCATGGACGGTCCCGGCCCCGACCCCAGCCGCCAAGAAGCTCCGCACCCGCACATGGCGGCGGTTGACCCCACTGGCGGATTCATCATCGTTCCTGACCTGGGGGCGGATATCCTGCGCGTCTACTCCGTTGATAAGCCCACCGGCTTCCTCACGTCTTGCGCCAACGTCACCGCGGCCCCTGGTAGCGGGCCGAGACATGCTGCGTTCTGGGAAGGCGCAGGCGGGACCATGATGTACCTGGCAAATGAACTGGGCAATGACGTGACCGTATACTCGGTCGCGTACCCGACGAAAGAGGGGCAGTGTCTGAGTCTATTTTCGATCCAGACGGATACGCCTTATCCGGCTGATCAGGCTGTGAAGAACGGCCAGAAGATTGGGGAAGTTCGCGTGTCGGTGAGTTGAGCTCCTGTCTGGCGTGGCTTTCACATTACATTTCTGTGTTTTCAATGCAGGTCGCATCTATGGCGACAGTTTATCAATGCATCCACTAGCTAACCTACACAACAGGGCAACTACGTTACTGTCTCCAACCGCGCCGATCAATCCTTTGGTACCAACAACGACTCCATCGCTGTCTTCCCCATCGACGCCTCTGGCGCGATCTCCACACCGGTCATGTCCCCGACCTACGGCTCTTATCCGCGCACCATGCAGATTAACGCAGCGGGTGACCTCGTCGCGATCGGGAACCAGAACTCCGGCACGGTGGTCGTGGTGAGCAGGAATCCCGCGACGGGCGCGTTAGGCAATGAAGTTGCGAGCGTGAGTGTCGGACCGCAGGGTTTTAATGGAAATGGCGGGTTGAGTAGCGTAGTATGGGCAGAGTAGGATACAACGTATAATACATACATATAGCTATATATTTACTACATATTCCTCTACTCCTAACAGCACATACGTTAGTATTTGTAAGGCGTTTTAGTATATTAGGTCTAGGAACCTGAGAAACCTACCGCGACAGTGGGCACTGACGTCCCAGCGGCAGGGGGGGAGGGGGATCCGTTGCAGGTCTAATTCTTTATTGAGAACCGCATTTATATCCATTGATTTTGTGATTAAGTAGACTATAGCCAACGAAGCCGAAAGGGTATTAAATCGGCGACCTATTAGAGGGTGCGTAAAGCAGCCCCTGTGCCCTGCCAAATTCGGCAGCTCCAACCGTAGGAAGTGGCTTTATTCTATAAAGGCAGCTAAATTGTCTAGTATAATTAGCTGGCCCCTTTATAGAAGAGAATAACTTGATTTTGATTGCAATTAGGGATAGACTAGTATAGGAATTTTTTACACTTATATTAGCTAAGAGATTTACATCATTTAATAGACGAGTCCCTTCTATTAAATGAATTACATAGAACTACAATGTAAGATACAATGTATAGCTATAGTAAAAGCTTTATTAAAGAGTAGCAGTAAATAGATGTAAGTTACTTAAGTCAGCACACTTTGCTTCCTCGAACCTAAAGCGAAGCGAAAAGTTAGTCCTGACGATTAATTAGGTCCATCATGTTCCATAGCTCTTGTCAGTGCGATGCAGTTACAAATGTCGCGGCAGCATGTTTGGATGTCCTTTTCAGCCTTCCAGTTCAGTTCGGTCTCAGCTCTTGTTGGCATTGCAACACAGATTCCGACATCACCCTTACGGCGATCGGTCGCGTTCAGTTGGATCTTGGTCGACGACGCAGATTCCATTGCCTTTACAATCTCAAAGACTGAATTCCCGCTGCCACTGCCAATATTGTATGTCCTGAATCGTATCTGACAACATCGGTCAGCTGCAGCTGCAAGTGCAGCGACGTGTCCTCGAGCAAGGTCGGTGACATGGATATAGTCGCGGACTGCAGATCCGTCGGACGTGGGGTAATCAGTTCCATACACGTCCAGGACTGGGGATAATCCAGTGACTACGTTTACCACGACTGGCATCAAGTTGGTTGGGATGCCCCGTGGATTCTCTCGAAGCAACCCTGACTCGTCACATCCTACTGGGTTGAAGTATCGCAGAGCGAGGATTGTCCATTCTGGGTCGGCAAATGCGAGATCAGCTAGAATAGCTTCGCACATCCACTTGGTCCTCCCATAAGGATTGGTAAGTCCTGTACAGCCTGGTAGTACAGTCTTGTATTGTCCGTCGTGGTCCACGAATCCTTCCGACTGGTGGACGCAGTACTCTTCTTTCAAGGGGACCCCGTCATTTGCGATAGACCCATAGACAGTCGCCGACGAGGAAAATATGAACTTTTTGATATTATAGCTGTCCAATATAGCGCAGAATTTAATCAATCCAGCCACATTGTTGTTGTAGTACTTTAGTGGTTCTTGGATGCTCTCCTGCACCGATTTGAACGCGGCAAAATGTATGACCCCATCGATTCTCGAAATTTTCTGGGACGTAGTTGACGGACGAGGGGAGTCATTTGTATCGTCAACAACGTAATCATCTAGGATCTCTCTTGTGGAACTTTCATCTCGGTAGTCCGCGTCGTAGAGCCTCATCTGGGGCATAGCCTGACATTCTGTTTCGCTGTATTTCCTGGCAAGTTCCTCAATACGGCTGAAGACGCTTCTGTATGAGTTGCTGAGGTTGTCGATAATAATAATGTTGTATCCAGCCTTCATTAATTCCAAGCTCGTATGTGATCCTATGTACCCAAGTCCACCGACAATGACAATGAATCTGTCGTTCGACGGTGACGAGTTGACGAAGGGATTGTTTTCGAAGAGATCTGACTGTGATGTCAACGGCGTGCTGTGATCTGATGTGGAATCTGAAGACCCAGAGTTGTAATTCGAGGGACTCGTCAATCGCTCGGATGTACTTTGTTCAGGTGGAGAATTTGCTGTAAAGTTGACTGGGGAGGGACATCTTAACGGCGTTCGTATCCCACACATTCTTGGCTCTATTAGAGAGTTTGATCCTATATCCATCTGGTAAAAGAGATATCACGAGGAAGAAAAAAATAAGTAGTGCCCGAGATCTCCGGTCTCTTCAGCTGATATACATTTGATAAATAGCCTCAATGGTTCTTTTGCTGAGAAAACCAGCTCTAACGACGTCAGATATTGGCCAGATGCTTGTGAAGCTTTCTGGATATCAAATATGTCTATCAAATGACGGGCCAAAGGTATTCAATGATGTGCAAGGAACTTCCCATCTTACTACTTCTAGTTCCATTTTTCGTTGCGTCGCTCTAGTTTCGTAAGGGCTGTGTTTTTATCCCATTCCGCGCTTTCAAACCCCGCATATCTTCCCGTTGGTAGTCCTGGTAGGAAGTATCGCAACATCTTCAATCGATCGAGATTGCTTATTATTAGAAATTAGTTACCAAGGGAGGAAGTATCGCAACATCTTTAACCGATCGGGATCGTTTATTATCAGAAATCAGGTAACAAGGGAGTGATGTAAGAGAAGCCAGTAACTGCTTAGCTAGAGATTCGCTACATCGCCGGTCGCGTTGTCATTGCGCCTCGTGTAGGACGATCCGTCAGAAAATAGTTCCGTTTCGTGCTTGTTTAAGGACAAGTGGTTTGACAGTTTTAGTAACAGACGCGGGATCTGCTGGTCACATTAGCGCCAAGTAAGCCGTAAGCCGTAAGCGTCCTGTCGATCTGCCGAACCATCGAAGCTGTTTTCTGGGTCCAAAACGTACTCTTAGCACGTTTTGGACCCAGAAAACAGCTTGAGCCATCCGTTCTAGATTCTCATACTAAAATTATCATCTAATCCTATGGAAGACCTCGGCCTTCCGAACTAATCCCTTTATCAATAAAAAAAGCGCATATTATTCGATGAGACGCCATTGCAATACAGCAATACTTGCGGAAACTTCCGACACAGCCCTAAGGGACGAGGAGCGGGCTATCGCTTAAAGAAGGTGGCACATGCGTGGTGGTGGTATTTGGAGGTGTTAGCAGTGATGGCAGAATAATATATTTAATCTTAGCCCTGGGGAATTCTTGTGCTTGCTCGCTCCTCAAACGACCTATGGACCTGTGCATCTCACCTCGCCATGGCGTTCTCGTTTCCAACTAAAGCCCGCATGCTTAACCATGTCAAAGATTACAATGAGTGCAACTTTGACGATGAGGACAACTACTTCCTAACATACGTTCCACTCTCCTGCTTCCCTACACCTCCAACCTCATGCCACACCTCTAGCCCTAAGGAACCAGCTTTAGATTTTAACACAACCAACTCCTTCGACACAAATCTACAAGGTACGAACTACACCCTATACCTCCCTTACCCATTAGCTAACCTAAATCCACTAGGCTCTGCCACCTACCTCTCTTATCTCATCCCCTGTACAGCGTCTCTCCTCTTAACCTCCCCATCTCTTGTCCAATCTCTCCTATCTCGAGCGAACGTCAATCTAAACACAGTTGCTCTTGCAGCTTGCATCCTTGACAGCCTTACCTCTCGCTTCGCGGCCTCCTGGCGCCACTCACTCCCTCTCACCTCTCTTAGCCTCAAGACTCAGCATATCAACTACGTGCGCCCTGAAGTGATTATCCTTGGGGCCCTTCTAGTAGCTAGCAAATTTCTTGACGACTCTACTACACACATCAGCAGTTACCAGCATGATATCGCTAATGGGCGCTGGACATGCGAGCAGATCAAAGCCACAGAGAGGTGTATACTAGAGAATCTGGAGTGGAGAATTATGCCGCTGTGGCGGGAGGACCTAATTGAGGATGCGAAGGAAGATATGAGGAAGGTGGGGATGGTGGTACAGAGGAGGAGGCAGAGTGCTGCGTAGACACAGGATACGACGACAACAGAGAGGGATCATTGATGGCGCGATGCGAACGGCATAGCGGCAGTATATCGGCTTCGGACCTTCCTAGAAAGAGTCTGCATCGGCGATGATCTAATTACGAATAATCAAGCGAGGGGTCGGCGGGAAAAGTGATCAAATCTTCTGGTCATATTAAGGGCAAATGGTCAATCGGTACATTGTGTAGAAGTCTAAGGATATTATTCATATGACATTTATCTAACCCCTGTACAATTGATTGGCTATCAAATATTGAAATTCAGGATTGGCTGCCTTACCCGTCGTCAGCGCCAAGCGCTGATCGAGTTTACTAGTCTAATTATACTTTACTTCGCAGCAAGAATACCCCGCATTTCTTTGCTAGCGTGAATTGACCTGTACTTCCGCGTTTACCATAGTCTGTCTAGCTACCAGGGAATGGGGATTATGGGCTAGTGCAGGGTGCCCGTAGGATGGGTGACATACTGAAGATAGCTATCACAATCCTTGCGGCCCTACATATTACGATGGACGAATTACATTTTTACTCATGGCCACTAAGTTAGTGCTGTAGGATCACTAAAACGATAGGGGGCATAGATCGGTCTGGAATCAGCTGGTAGCGCGGCTAATGTTCATAGAGGGCCAACCCCCCAACCGTGGCAATACTACGAATTGCTTTTACTGGCAGATATTAATATCACACAACATCCCTCGGATCATTCCAGACCCCACTGCTTTGCGAACCGAAACACGGCCCTGACGTCTGGACCTCCACGCCGATCAATAATGACCTTGTCGATCTGGTTTGCATCTAATTAGACCTACGGATTAGGGTGATTAGAGGCTTATGCGGGTTTGCTTACTAGCGGCTTGAACCCACGTATTAATCGAATGGTAACCAATGATCTTTCCGTCCTACATTTTTAGTTAAATAACTATTTTCATCGTGGCGCTCTAGTCTCATGAAAGTACTTTTAAACCGCTCTGCACCTTTAAATTCTGATTCCTCTACATCCTCAGTGCACAATTCTCTTCTGATGGGCAATGAAGTTCCAATACACATCCCGACAAAAAATCATCTACAGCACGATATTTGTTACCCTGCTCCTCGGAATCATCATCCCACTTGCTGTCATGCTCGGACTCCGAAGATACAGCACGCCAAAGTCCGCGATAATTGTCCCACTGTACATATATCCAGCTCCTGGCGCCTGGGATCCGTTGCTTGAAGCGTACGTCCACTCTCTACCCAAGGTTCACTCTCCATCCATAAGACCAGAGCTAATGTTTCTAGAATTTCAATCAATCCAAGCCTCAATTTCATCGTGGTGGTGAACCCACACAGCGGGCCAGGTGCCGCAGCTGTACCAGACGCAAATTATACACGGGAGATTCCACGCTTAAACTCCCACACCAACGTCCAGACTGTTGGTTACGTTCCTACAGCATACACGAAGAGAGACCTTACGTTGGTAAAGCATGATATCCGCACTTATTCAGAGTGGAGATCCAATTCCACAGTCCCAGGACTAGGCGTTCAAGGCATATTTTTTGATGAGACACCCTCGCAGTACGATGATACTAGCGCCTACTTCTTGCTCGAGGCCCAAAAAGAGGCTAGACAAGTTCTTGGTTTTACTTCCCGTTGTTTGGTATGTTCTTGCTTCCGTCCCTTAGTACTATTCTAAATATGCATGTATGACGTTGTAATACATAACCTTCACTTCTTTGGAAATCTTGCCTTCCGTTACCGCGTCTATTACTATTATCGACTAACCAATCCCCGCGCATAGCTGATCAATAATCCTGGCACCATCCCGGACACCCGGTTCCTAGATGGGCCCAACATGACAGTGGTCTTTGAGGGCACCTACGACACATACCAAATGCATGGCTTCAGTCACAAGATCGAAATGCTGGGCCGCTTGCAGGGTATCAAAGCCTCGCGACAGGACTTCGGTTGCATCATGCATTCGCTCCCTAAAGACGTAGCAGGTAGCGAGGCCTCTGTGAAGAAGGTAGTGCGGGAGCTGAGAAATATCGCCGGGGCCGTCTTCCTGACAGATCTTGGGGAAAATTACTACAGCACATTTGGTACTTGCTGGAAACAATTTGTAGAGTTAGCCAAGTGATTAATTGGGCTGTGATCTGATTAGGAAGATTCAAGCAGCAGAGTACTCCAAGATGGATGACGTGCTGAAGCGAGCTATCCTAATGTCATACAGTTCCACGTAGTACAGAGTATGCTTCATATTGATATCTCTCGTTGCTCGTGCCATCCGAACTATGGTTTTCTTTTTTCCCGCGATATATAACACAAGCTCTAAACGAGAGCGTCTAGACTCAAACAAAACATAGAAAGAGAGAGTACTTGGAGTGCAAGTAGCTCTCAAATGTGAAACATATACTTCCCAATGTGAAGCTTATGTTGCTGGCGCCACGTACGAACGCAGACCAGCACAAGCCAAACGTTGGATTATAGGACGGGATGGGGCAGTCAGATGCTACATTAGAATTGTCGCATCGGGACGGGGAAAGGAGCTACATCAGTGGCGTTATGAGTTAGGAGAGCGCGTATTAGAGGTAATCGTGGCAATAGGTAAGGGTAGCATAAGTTACAGAATAAAATTAGACGCTTTAAAGAACAGTCTAGACTAGCAAAGTTCGAGAGCCACTCTCATTAAAAGAACAGTCTAGATAGGGATCTAAGATTGTCTCACACAAGTATGGCAGATGCTAACTAGCTACGCCAGTATTAAGATTTGATGATCTATGTAATGTCAACTCTAGGGGACTGCAACAAGTGGCTTCCAATTCCTCCTCATTAAGCTATAGATGAAAACTACTCGCCTCCTTAGATATAGCACACTGTCACATGATCATTTTACGTAGTAATGTCTCAAAATAGCTCCTTTCCCAAATCGTGCACTCATCGATCGTTGATGTAACCCTAATACACTACGGCAGTTACTGAAACTCTCTAGCATAGCCTTCCCGCTCTACTAAGCACAGCCAAGCGCCATTCTCGTATACTAGCGCGAACCATGCAATTTGTTTTGTCATTTCTCAGTCAACCTCGTATCCACAAACGGGGACCAGATCCTTCGTTTCGTGATTGCAGAACTAGGTTGGCGGTGAACCTTTGTGCACTATACTTTCTTTCAATCTACATGCCAAGGCGAACGGGCTCCTCGAGGCCATTGCTATTATGCCAAACTTAATATTATCTCGATGCACGCTGTCATTGTCGTATGACCATCTCTTTGATGTGTAGTAACTCTAGTAGCGTAGAGAAACACACCTCTCATTGGGGTCAAGGGGAAGCTCTGGCAAGTAGTTTGTGTACCATTTAGAACGAAACTCGAATTTGCTGTCTTTTCCTCTATTGCATCATTTTCATCGAGACCAAGGGAAGACGCAGGGAAGACGCACGTTATAGGACGCAGAAGTACACATCAATTTACATTCCATGCCCCCTTTTATCTCCTTAGGCAGAGCTTCTCTATTCTGTAAAGATCAAAATGCATATTTTAGAATTTTACACTTCTTTCTCTCATTATGAAGCATATCAATTGTCAAAGATCAAAATCCCTGTAGTTCATTAAATTCCCGACACAATTTCTTCCCACTTACAACCCTGTATGAAGTTATTAATTTCAAGTACTGTAAAAATATCAGAAACGCCAGCTAACAAGCATCAACCCACTCCCCTAAGTCCATCTCTTTAAGAATGGTCGAAAACCCTTGGGAGTCCTTATTGAGACAAATTTCAGTTTTAGTCTTACTACTCACAGTCGGAGCAGAAGAGGGGTACTCAATGCCAAAAACCGGTTTCTCATCATCGATGAAAGGCTGGAACTGCGCACATTCGTCATACTGCACACACTGCTCATTGACCTCCCACTGCAGCTTGCCCACAACCTGGCTTACGATGGCACCTGCGTTCTTCAACCCGATGCTCAAGCCCCGGGAATGTGCAGCGTCTGCCAGGAATGAAACGTAAGAAATTGAAGTCTCAGTGCTAAGTCCAAGCCCGTTCTTGTTGTCATACCCATCAACATTGTCCGGGTCGACGCCATCGCAACCCTTTGTTTTAGCCAGATCTAACCTAGCAAGCATGATCGAGCGTACATTGGTACTAGACGTGTTAAGCCAGTACTCACCAGGCCATTGATCGAGTTCGAAGCCCATTTCGGATTTTGAAAATTCCCCGGAATCCGGCCGGCCAGGCTCGTAAGAACCGGCGCTGAAGTAGCATATGACTTTCTTGTTTGCGCCATGCAGCGCTGCAAATGTAGAGGTGGGGTTGGCGAAGAGGTCGATGTCAAAGATCGACGTGTTGCTCCAGGTGCGACCGAGGGCGTTAAGAATGCTCGGTGACAGGGCGTCTAGTAGGATGATCTGCCAGGTGCTTCCCACCGCTGGCTGCCAAATGGTAGCGTTTCCTGTGCCCACTCCGCCACCGTCCAAGGGCGTGGTGGTGGGTGTAGGGGTTGCTGTCTGATTGGCATCTCCTGAGTTGTCGGATGAATTAAGACCTAAACCGAGTCCAAGGCCCAATCCGAGCCCTAGAACAAGCAGGAAGAGGGCGAAGAATAACAGGTAAAGATTGCGTCGGAACCAAGGCTGCGGGTTTTTGATCTTGGTGGGATAATTTACAGACATGCCTGTGTACTGTGCGAGTCGTGTGCTGGGGTGGTGAGAAGGGAAGACGGGATAGCTCATAAATCACTTGTCCACGAACAAGCTGAAATGGAGTGGCCTAGGCGGAGAGGTGGCATTTAGGACGAAGTTTCTGTGTATTAAAGCCCAGTTCATATGATTGAATACGGATGGCGGGATGGGTGCACTGTAACGAGTTTGAGGATGACAGAGTGGCGAATTTAATAGGATCTGAAATCCGGAATGTTCCAAAGTTTAACATGCGTTGATACTACTGAAGATAACCCTAAGAAAAAATCTAATAGTGCCATGAAGTCATGGATCCGAATAAATGCACGAATTTTTCGTATTCGCAAAGCCGGCGGACTAACACAGAAAGACGTAATTGGCGAACGAATCACGGATGAAGTTATTTTGGTTTTCTAAAGGCAGTACAATAGCTAAAAAATATTACGACACTCAAATTCACTGCCGAATGAGAGCAGGGATTGCTTTAGGAAAAAACATGCGATTACAAAGCAGCTCCCAATAGCCTGGCGCCACTGTCTTAGTCGTAGGCCAACCGGGGAGCTGGATAATCCCTGGCAGAAAACCTGTCATTTTGGGCGTAAAAGCCCACCATATCCCACGGGAATGTCCGTTTCCCCCAACATATATCGAGGAATTTGTATAATAGTAGTTTTGCGAGATGTTATCTCGTAGAATGTTTCTCGATTATGTTTTATCACAGAGAATTATTTGTTTTAGAAGTTTTAGACATGTACCTGTGATTATCACTAGACTAGACTGAGATACTAAACTAGACTTTCATAGCACACTCGTAACAACCAACGCAACCAACAGCCACAATTATGTTACTTTGTGCAATTTACTACCCTCAACCCATACACTACTTATTTAGAATGAAATTTGACCTTGTTGAATGGTAGCCCTTGTCTTTTGAGATTTCGACACCATCTGCGCTTACAATGGAATAGGCGTAGAGAGCGTAAATGTGACCGGAGAACCTCCCATCGTCACCCAAATCGTCAGGGGGTCTGAGCCAATTTGCTCGGTCGTATGGCCAGATGTGCTAGTAACTGAATTTGGTACCGTCACAGGGATGGGCTTAGCGCATGTGTTGCCGTTGGTAGTGACTGTGATAGCAGTGACAGTGTTTGCCGTGGGGTTGATGGTATATCTCAATTGAGGATTGCAAGCATCACGGGTCATGCGATCCATGAAAGTTGCAGCGAGCTAGGAACGTTGACATATTAATATAGCGCCTCCAAAATAGAACAAAGAGTAACAACTTACGGTGTCATGCTTCAGGGTGATGATTGGCCATGTGACACTAGGGAAAGTCAATACGAGTCGTGATGTATAGAAGCAGTCGGAAACTTACAGTCTGATCATTTCACCTAGGACCGTCTCTACCCAAGCCTGGAGGAGAGAATATTGGCCAGATACGCCGTTGATCGTCACGGTGGCTTGTTTCGCTCTCAGATTGGCTTGATGGAACATGAACGGATCGTGATGGAGGCCGAGCAGATTGCGGGTATTGGTATTCTTCTCCAAAGCAAGGAGCGCGTTAAAATCACCGGATCCAGCCGAAGTGGCAATCCATTCTGCAACTGTGCAACTGGGAGTATCACACTGGGACGGTTAACAAAAGGGTCAGTTATTTTATAGAGTTGACTTGCATTGTAGTAGATATTTGTAGCCCATCGAGGCATGACAGTTATCCCATCATATCCGTTGCCCGAGACTGTAGTAATTAGAGGATAGTATTCATTGTTCTTTACTTCGTTAGCCTTTAGTAGATTAGGAATCGTTGGCGGCATGATCTTACCTGGTTCCTCAATACTGGGCGAGTGTTGTCTCCAACGACATTAACGATACCGTTCGTTTTAAATGCCCTGAGTGCATCGCCATTGTGCAACCCTGTAATTGCAGGAGGGATGAGACCATTCTGGCTGAACCTTGCAGCATTTCCCGACAGGCCGACTTGAGAGAGCCAGGCTTGGTTCCAAGTGATTTCTTGGTTGACGTCGAAATATGTAGCATTGTTGATTGCTTCGTGAGTAAAAGTGTGGGAAATGTGGTAGAAGGTATCTCTGTTAGAAGTACTTGCAAACCACGTTTTAAGGGTATCACCATTAGTGCATGTCGTGGTGTACGGGTATTTCAATGGCGTGCTTGGCCACAGGTTCGTGCCGGTGCCGAGCGGCTTTTGGAACTCAAGAGCAGTATCAATCTGGTCGTTGTACTCAATAGGACCAATGCCACAATTTCTACCGTTGCCATCAGAGGTCTAAGAAATGTTAGTGAAGCCTAGAAAGCCTTTTAAGAAATCGATACCTCAATATTTCCGTTTCCGTTATGCCCAATCTCGGGCGCATAGCTGCTTCCAGCAGGGAGTTTAGCATTGATGGTTGGAACCCAGGACTTGTGCGTATTAAGATCACTCGTGGAAATACGGAAGGTGTTGCCGGCAGGACTGTAGATATCAGAGGTAAGGAACATGTCATCAATCTGGGTGTTGAAATTGATGCGGCGGTACCCAGCATAGAGACCTCGAGTAGCCCAGTGAATCCAGGCATGTTGGTAAAGATTTGATCCCGCGTTCCAATCCGTAGCAAATGGAATGAAAAATACCATTTGCTTCCTTCCATCAATATTGTTAATGACAGCAGCGGTGGATGTTGCCGCGAAGCCACTAGCAGGAGCGAACTGAAGGAATGGCTTGGCGATGGTCGAATTGACGATGCTGGCGGGATAGTGCCACATTCCTATTGTAGAAATAGCTGCTCCAGTCTTAAGGCCAGCAGTAGGAAAGTCTGAAGTGTCTGTCAATGAGACCAATTGTTCAACCCCAGAGCCACAGCATCCGCCAAGAGCAACGGTGCCAGAACCCGCGCCGGGGTAGACATCGATTCGAACCATGCGTACACCAAACGCCAACTGATATCCATACAGGGTGGCCCATTGGGCAGCAGTTAGTGCGCTCTGGAAGCCTGTTGCGCCATAATCGTAGCTGACTTCGCCAAGGACAACGATGGCTCCGAAGTTTCCAACGGTTAAAGATGAGTTGAGGCTCGGAAGAGCAACGCCTGCTTGGGGGACGGTAAGAATTTGGTAAGGGATACCATAGCCTCTGAGTCCAGAATATCCAGAGTATGCCGAAAGCGTGTCTCTTGCAATGACGAGAACGGTGCTGCTCACTGAAGTTCCAACTGCACGGGGAAGGGTTTCAAGGCGGGGGCGGTTTTTGGCTGGAGCAACATCGACAGCACCAGAAGTATTGACATGAATGGTTTGTCCGTTGACTTCCACAGTTGCCAGTGGGAGCACAGGTGGTCTCTTGTGGGCGTTCTGTGATGCAACGTGGGTGTTCTCATTGCTCTGATGGTGGTGATGTTTCTTGGCCGCCCTTATAGGATGAGGCTCAGCAACTGATGCTGCAACAATGGAAATGCTGCAAAGCGCTAGCGTAACGAAACTGAGGAGCTTCATAGTTCCTGCAATGAAAAGTGATTAAATGATGTGAGATAAGATGAAGAATAGAGATTCAGGTAGAGGTATACATATGCAGAAAAGCTCCGAATAACCATCCTTTTAAACCGCAGGACCAAAAGCGAACCTTGGGGTATCAGCACATGGTGCCATAACCCAAGGTGAATTTTCAGTCTAGGGTCTAGGCAATTCCGAAATGTCAGCTGTGACAAGGGCGGGTGGAGTTTCGTCATAACTCAAATATTCATGCGTGGCTGCTTATTGTATGTGTAGTCCCCCCTACCTAAAGCTAGAGTCCTCGTATTGTGAGATATGACGAGCGCGGACAAGAAGCATTTGGGACTAGTCTGAGGTGGCACAGCGTGGGAGCTTGTTAGGAAGAGCATGGTATCTCGTATGAAGCGGGAAAGGTGGAGTCTAGAGGAGGCTTGCCGTAGGTCGTCTGAAAGCGGTTCGAGATAGCGGCTGGGCTTTAGGAGCGGCTGTGGGAATTGATGTGCAGAGGCAACGTGAAGTGTTGATGGTAGTGATGATGTTGGGCTTAACCCGATATACACCATTATCCAATCAATGTATTTAGGCTAAACCCTAGGGGGGTCTAATGCTGTGGTACAAGTGGTACCCCATATTTTAGCGAGTTTCTGGGGTAACAAGCGGGATCGCCCGATCATTTTCACTAGACCAGGATTTCGCCATTTGACGTCTAATTTCTGGGGTAACAAGCGGGATCGCCGATCATTTTCACTAGACCAGGATATCGCCATTTGACGTCTATTTTTAGTATACCCACGGCATAATTCAAAGAAGTTGATAGATGCATATTTGAGCCTTGGTTCTAAAGGACACCAACTAAGAGTGCGCCGAGTGACTTTCATACGTTGTACAGGGATACATGTTCTCTTCCTCTCTAATCCGAGACCTCTTTCTTTGGTCCATCCATAGAATTTCATGTCTAATATCAACTGCCAAGCCTTTGCTGTCTATCTCAGTATTAGCAACCCAGCCGCCAATCTAGTCATGTAGTGATAAACGATGATCATCAGATTGTTTTAGCGTTCAGCTCACGGAGCACTGACGAGATCTTAACTTGTCTCGGCAGTCCATTTTTTTAAGATTGACCAGTAATGTGAGCGGAGTTGAGCTTAAAGGCTATTGACCATGGCGTAGCTAATCCTGACTTTCCACTATCATTCATTTTCTTTCTCTCCCTCCTCTGATAATTATACTCTGATATCTCAATACCAACTCCATCACTTTCTGTTGTCTTTGAGTGATAATTTCTATACCATTTTTGTTGTTCATATCTCGTATCTAATCACATGCGAACGTCCCCCGGCTGGCTTTAAAGATGGTTTACAAGTTTGATATCCATGTTGTTCACCTCTCAGAACTAAAAAAGCACTGGTGGCAACTGGTACATGACCATCCTGTTCGCAAGCGAAGGTTGACACTGACAATCGTAGGCTATCCTGAGTCTTGGTCTCACGGCAGCATTCATTGGTATTCTGTATATTGGGACCAAGTTGATCCTCAAGGTCCGACGTCTTCTGAGATTGAAGGTAAATTTTCTTCTTCGACGTAGTAATCTCAATGCCGAGAGATTGATTTACTGACTTCTACAGAGTTTGAAAGACACTTCGACACAACTTGCATTGAATGTTCGGACCTACTTTCAAACACTCAATACGGTTCCAATTGCTCCATGTGTGTCCGAAAGGAGCAAGGTCCACAATCCAACATCATTTCGAATATATCTTGGAGCGCTCGATGACCTGGCATCTGGCAGTCAATCGAGAATACTTTCGGACTGGGATCTAGTTATACTTGATCCGTTGCAACCTGGTGTCAAAAATGCGATAACTTCGACGCCTCGCAGCAGGCGGATAGCGCTCTTTATTCTTGGCAGGCTCGATATTGAGGCTCTGCTAGGCACAGCGCAGCATGACTCTGATATTGAAGACTTCACGATATATGCGTTGGACTGTATCCTTGGTCTCGTCTCCACATATTTCCCTGTCCCGAACGAGAGAAACCATGGCTTTACTGGCATTGTTCTCGCGGGCTGGGAGAATTTATTTTCAGTCGCCACACTCCACGAACTCAGTAAGGAACTTTCCAAGAGAGCACTAGATGTATATCTAGAGACAAAGCCGCCTCACTTCCTTAATGAAGTCAATGCTGTTGTCCATAACTCAATCGCTGGCTTAGTCATCCGAAATGGTCTTCTTTGGCCCAATGGTGAAAGAAGAGACTGTTTTAATATGGATGAAATGCGCCCAACCATCAAAGCTTTCATGTCTCAGGAAATTGTTCGAGAATTTACAACAATGATGTGGGAAGAGCTTGACAATAATGCGGTTGTATCAATTTCTGTCCTAAAGAGAACCTATTCCTGGTCTAGATTTCACAATACTCTGGCATGGATTGCTCCCAGCTATGCACTTTTAGACGCAGAAGCCATAGTTACACAACTAGAGCCTCTGAGTGCTTTCGATTGGCTGAAGGAGAGTAGCGTCACCGAGCTTCATGACCTCTGGAAAAACAATCAAACTGTAAGAATAGCGATGCAACAACTTTGTCAAGTTTGCTTCATACTGATTTTGCTCTAGGTATCCAGCGCAAGTTCCCATAGACTAGTGTTTGGTCCTATCAACACTCTCCTTCCAACTTTGCGCACTATGTGGAAGGACAACACTTGCAACTTTTGTGAAAGCTCCGAGGCTACCTATGATCCAGAATCGGAATCACATGAGCCGGAATGGACTGGATTAGATTGCTTCAAGAAAACTGATACCCTTTCTGTATCAGAGACTGGGTTCAATTATGATGGCATGGGATGCTTTCCCATTGGCATAAATGTCACACTGGAAGATTTTGTTCAGGTTGTCCATTCTCAAAGACGACTACGAAAGCTTGGGTTACTTGATGAGATTGCCCCTAATATCCTCAAAGAATTCGGTATCCTTCTCGGAGATTTTGTCCGATCAAAACTTGTAGGGCAGTCCATAATTACTTCCCAAATCCGAGATACGATCCTACAACTATCGAGAAATTTGACGGAAACGCTGGACCGCGGAATAAACAATGTCCGTGTTTACCAAGGTCTAGACACAGGTTTCCATTCCGCTGGTGCTAAGCGATTCTGGGGGGTTTACTATATTCGTGAGTCGCATGGTACGGAGATCTATATCTCGTCAAAGTCAGAGGACGTGATTGGTACAATACTTCATACATACCTGTCAAGTCGATACTGTCCTCGTCGTCAGCGCTTCGAAGCTGAGTTTGCTCTTGCAGATTGGTCAGGTACTCTAGCTCCAAGCCGACGAAGCACAAAGCAAGTCCAACAAGACATTCGATCATTAACACCTTCCGAAAGCCTGATTCTGCTACAAAAGCTTGCCCTTTACGACTTATCACTGAATAGTTCTCTGGTGATAGGAGTACAAGACGAAGTGGAAGCGCAGCTCATCAAGCAACCCTCAAAAACCCAGCTAAAGAGCATCGGCACAGTCGACTATCTCAACGGATCTGTTGATGCAAAGGGCCTTATTTTTTCTCGGATAGCTAGTCATTGCCAGCATGGTCTGCGACACCCAAGTCAACCTGCTAGCCTGCAACTATTTTCCGATGTAGAAGAAGCAATTCAGCAGATCCTCAGAGACAGAAGAATATCGGACCTTGAATCCATACTTATGACCCTACGGCAATCAATGAAATACTCGTGCGCTGATACTGTGACGGATATTCTGGCACTAGCCGTATTCTGTGTCATGCGAAAGTTGGCCTTTGAGGAGGTGTACATTGAGGTGACTGACAGAAACCCTCTTTTCAACGATCAATCAGATCAAGGAGCCGCGTTTGCGGAACTATTTGCCCTAGGTTCGCGTTGCGAGGTGTATTTCGATATGTCCCCGAGCGCATTTGGAAAGCTTCTTCTGTTGAAATTTCGAGAGCAATACAACAATCCCCTACGCCAACCACCTCTCTTTAAAGAAACATCTATGGCACTGCAAACAGCATACTCTGAGCCGCAAATGGATATCGCGCCAATCTCTACGTCCATGAAAATGCCGTCCTATCAGCGTTTTACGTTTATGGGTGTCTTTGCTATCCCTGCTCTAATAGATGTGCTCCTTTTGACAACTACGAAACATGGTCTCTTTCTTAGTGGTAAAATGAGTGAAGCCGAGCAAAAATACGCTACCATTGCATTTATGCTGTCGTTACCTCTTTCTGGAGCTATTGGGACTTGGATTGCTTGTGGTGGAACCTATTACCTTGCGTCCATGGCATTTTCAGCAATGAATTATCTTGTGGTCACACGCCTTTTAGGAGGCTTGGTATTCCTGGTCTCCGCCGCCACAATTGGCTTCGTTGCAGTCAGCTGCGTCACTGGCGTCCAACCTGCCTTGATTTTCTTCCTCTACCTTATCGCTTTGACAGCGTATCTATCATTATTAGCTGCTCTTGCTAATTACAATCTTAATGGCTCGTCATTTCAATCCGTAAGTTCAAAAAAGGGTTCCTGCTTCTAACATCACTAACGGCTTGTCAAATTTTAGGGTCGTAAAATTATCCTGTTGTGCATTCCAGTTATGTTCCTCTCTCCTGTTATGACAATATTAATTCCAGGATATGACTCTGAAGTTTACCTAGCTGTGCTTTACGTTTTCATTACAATGTTACTGCTAGGAACTCGACATATTGGATCCCTCTGGACTACGTGGTTTCAAAAAATTGAAATAATCGACGACAAAGCGCTAAAAGACTGGTATCTTGAACGAAAGATAATGAGTGAGGATAGAACTCCTCAGATACTCTCAGAACATGCCCTCTTAAAACAGGCCCAGCAAGATATGCTGCGTGAAGTTATGGAGGCTCTCCCTAGCCTTTTCAACTTTAGAACTACGAAAGATCCCATGGTCCTGAAGCTTGCAGAATGCTATGAGGCAACGTCATTCATGATGGTGGGTCTCTAAATTTCTTCGTGGACATTCGAGATAACAGATGGCAGGACTGGTACTCTCTTTCTACGGGCCTGCCCACGCCAATTCCATTCAGTTCAACATGGAATATTCAATCCAAGGTCGCCCTGAAACAACTCGTGGAATCGCAGCGAGGTATCCGATTTCATAATTGCTTCCTCCACTGGCGTCAGGCAGGAGATGAGGTAATGAAGCACCAGTGACCCAACGCAATCATTAAAATGCTTACACCTCTAGATCGGCTGTACAGTTCTATACTTTATCGTTGCGCTGCTAGATAAATGGATTGCGCTCCTTGGCGGAAAACAGTCCATCAGCGGTCAGAAGGGTGGTATACTCCTTGGCTTGACATCAAATAATCCCGAGTTTGGTCATGCCGTTGGATTTGGCCTCGCCTACTACCTTATCGGAGCCGTCCTCCTAGATTATAATGCTCAAAAGCTCCACGAACTCGCAACCAAATGCAAACAAGAGATTGTCGCAAACGACGATTGCCTTTTGCATGCGACCAGAGAAGTGGCTCGCGAGCGCAGTGCTCTTTATTGGAAGACTTTGCGACTATATTTGCTCCTCGACGTTTGGAGCTTGGCCATCACATCAGCGATGATGTTGTTGTTTAGTTATACCAAGGATGCCATTATTTTGTTTCTTGCTTATGTTTTCAGCTATACCGGTAAGTGGTTTTTGAATACTAGAGAAGCTAAAGCTAATGTTTTTAAAGGACTGTTGTGGTACCAGGTTAGTGAAACAAAAACAAAAAAATGAATGGTACTAACCTCTTATGAAAGTATACGAAAACATTTACAGGCCCTCACGCACTAAAACCTCTCTTAATTAGCGCATCCTTGGGTCTAATAGTAGGCTTCGTCTTAAGATCCATTTTTCCAAATTTCATATACAGCGACGTGGTTGCACTTGGATTTGCAACATGGTTAGTTGCTATTCTATGTCTATGGGCTGTCAGAATTGTTGGAAGGTCCTTGGATGAGCCTATAAGACTGCCTAATACTGGTTACCATGTCCTGTACAACCCAGGCCCAGATGCATCTTGGTCGCAAAGCGAGCTCCGGCTGAATTATGATTTACTCCGGTCTCTTCCCGACGATAAGCATCCTCTTCTTGATCCTAAGTCATATCAAGGACAGCAGATCCAGTTGATACTGTCATCAGCTTCTCGGGAGAAGCTCTCTGATCTTGCTGGACTTGCATTCCCTTCTGCTGGGAAGCTTTTTGAAAACAGTCTTAGGGCCTTCCAAGACCAAAAAGTTGTTGTCGAGCTTGTTTCTATGAAGTACCTTAATGAAGAAGGACACTCCACCAGAGCTATAAGCTATGCCACTGACGACCTTATGCGCGTTCTTGTTGACTGCGACCCTGTGGCTCTCTCCTCAAAGCAACAACTATCACAGCACTGCCTCTACAAGTAAGCTAATATAGCATCCGTTATGCCGCATTCAATGCTAACAGAGTTTGATAGTGTTGCGGAGATAATTTTACACTCTGTCGCTGAGAGCTTCCTCGATTACAGTCACAGCCATGCCTGCCTATCAGAAAACCTCTTGAAGAGCACAGTTGACCCCGAAATGCGGATGCCGCATATTTTTAGGTGTCAAGCAGAGTGTTGTTCCAATGTTAACGATGAGACGTTTGCACTGGGTACTTATTACAAGCAAGAGATGTTACAAAACCTGTGTCTAGGATTCGCCCCCGATCTCACATGGGACAGTCTACCGGAACAGATCAGGAATCATCTCATTCAGCGCTGCATTGGGCAAACAAGCTCCCTAACAGAGGCCAGCAAGAAATGCGTCCAGTCACTTTTAAACGAGGGCGATTTCAACACCCACCTTGCACGCTGTGATTACGGTGCCAATATGTCGGCGCTGTTCTACGGTGACACCAAGATATCCCCAACCAGAGCTATAATGAGTTCAACTTCCTCATTAGCGCATGAGGAAGTGAAGAAATACTTGCCCACTCCGTTGTCTCGGTCAATGATGTCCATGCCACGCCGGACTGCTAGTTATATTTGGCACAAGATTGGAACAATGGCAAAATTCTTTGCCGTCGCATTTGTCGCAGATGCCGAATACCAACGCGAACTCAATTGCAGTTTGGATAAAAATCCCAAGGTTGTAGTCGAAATAGTAAGGGTAATCCTTAATGGGATTTGGGTGGCTGCAAAAGCCACACAGAGCCTCTTGCTTCCTTTTTTTCTTGTAAGCTGAATATCTTCAACTGTCAGATTGCTTGGTGTATAAATCTGACCATTAAACAGTTCCACAACCGGAAGAATGTTGCCACCCTATGGAAGAGCATTCAAGGGAGGAAGATCAGTTTCAAACGGAAGCATATCGACATCTATGTTTCGGATGGTCAATACACTGCATTTATTCATCACAATCGTGACGGCTCGTTTAATCTCTACCAATATCGAGGTGAGCATAGCAGCGAACCCAAGTCTCAAGACAAGTTATCTTACGTCAACACCTATTCCGAGAAAACTTTACTCTTGCGGCGAGAAGAACTCCGCGGCGGGGAGACTGTCAATATTGCAGACTATGACTACTGCAATCTGGGTGAAGGAGGTAGGACGAGACTTTCTCGATCCACAGGCCCATCTGCCCTGCCCATCACTCGGAGGGTTATTGCTGGTCAGGATCAATTCCAGCTCATGCATTATAATCGAAAGGGATTAATCGAGTCCGGTTCATATATCAAGGATGGCAATCTTGTTCGGTTTCAGTACCACTACGGCAAGGTCGCGAAACTTGACGGCGAGTTGTTGAGAGCAGAATTCGTCCTCCCTCATATGAGCTGCACCGTATCTTGGTGCGCCACATCTCCTCACCACTCAGATAAGCTTGATAAATGGGTAATGTCAAAGTTTTATTTATAGGAATTTATTTCTGACTCGTTCTAGATATCGAGTTCGGAAGTGACCGAGTCCACCTTTGTTCTCGGCACAGATGTCTGGGAGAGCAAATACACCTACGACCACAAATGTCACCCAACTATCGCGACCACCTTGAACGGAGAACCTGAGGACACCCCACCGCTGATCAAGTACGACTACTTGGATATCCTCAAGAAGCCCAAAAATATCTCCTTCCTCGACGATAACCCTCTATACTCCTTCACTACTGTCCGCCCCAATCCAGTTGCTCGATGGTTGGGACTTTGTACTCGGCAGTATCCCTTCTGGACATCTCAATCCAGGTATTTGCTTTGGAAAGCATGGAAGAATGATCATGATTATGATGGAGTTGTGGTAAGATGGATGGACGAGCAATTGTTGCGCCGTGATAATGTTCTGAAGCCATACTGGAGAAGGAGGGATTGGGGTAATCTATCGTCGGCAGAAAGATACCTACAGCAGAATGGTGACGCTGTAATGGCAAAAATTGACCTAGACATGACGATATCTAGCTGGACCCCGCTCGCTATTACGATGAACGATCTTCTGACCTTTGGACCTGGAGGCGACGCCTCTGCTCGCACGAGGTCTAAACTTGTCTGCCAGGAAGATGAAGATGATGGTGCTTTACACGTCATTGCTGTTGACACCGGGACATGGCCCAATGAGGTAAGGCTAATATTCTCCTGTAGGGGATTGATACTGATATGAAAAGGGTGGAGGAGTGTCTGCCTGTCGCCGCGACCTCATTAACAACCTTACGAGTATCAAATGGCACATGGTTGCAGAATCTGCTAATGATTTCGGTCTTCCCAAGCACCAAATTGAGAGGAATGTACATTCATTAAAGGTAATAGCGCTATGGGGCCTCGATTTGATGAACCCCACTCACGGTCTGTTCCAAAATCGCTTGGATTCCGAGATCGAGCATATCTCACGCTGCGAAGATCTCGAGGATGTCAAGAACGGCTTCATTCCTATTCTAGCAGCTCTAGTATATGGCGCCAGGTCTCTCAACTTTGAAGAAAGCGGCATCAAGCAGCTAACGCGTGCGCTCTTAAGTCTCAACGCCTACTTTGGAGAGGGCAGGCATCATTGGGGCATTGTCTGGAACAGCAAGTTTGTCAAAAATGCATGGAGGCGACTCTGGCTTTCTAAACACTCTGATAATGCCCGTCCGTGCTCTGCCTGGCTTGCTACCGAGTTACCAACACTGGCACAGTTGGACCAGGGCCTCGAGCTATGGTCCCGGTATCTCTTCATCTTCTCCATTCCAGTTCCGGAGAAGATGCCAGACGTGTTCCAGGCCTCGCACCACAGCGTCAGCGCCTCATATGGCATCGTCTGCAAGGTTAAGCGACAGTGCATCTTACAGATTTGGGACCATGCCATTAGCTGGCGGGAAACCAACCTGTATCTATCTTCAGCTCTGTGTCCACTAGCGCCTTTTGTGAGGAACTCGCTATTGGGCCTTTTGCGTATGACCTCTGTGCTTACTCTACACCATGCGGATACAATCTTGCCGTGCGCGGACATCTTCAATCCTAGCTGGGAAGTTGAAATCGGGACATGCGAAGGAAGAATTGAACATCGCAATGCTTTCAGAAGGAAGGTCGACCCAGTGGTTAATGGCATTACGGATACGCGGCGGTTCATCCCTGTAGAAATCAAGACCAAGACTCCAACAATCACCATGCTGTCTCATGTCTGGTATGCCAAAGATATCAAGACTGCAATACTTGCTGCAGACATCATCGTCAATGAATGGGGTTTCAAGGATTATCAGCTCGATGTATATGGGGCTCTCGATAAGGCACCCGCATATAGCACTAATTGCCTAGAGATGATCTCTACCAAGTCACTACGGCGGAATGTTGCTTTGCGAGGGGAAGCAGATCCGATTGCTGTTCTCGAGCAGACTGTAAGTTTTTCTTGTTTCCCTTTTAAGAATTATCTAACTCCTCCCGAGTGGCTCTTCCTCAACTCGTCTGTTTCCGAAGGTTTGCCCCTCGCCCTTGGCGAAGCGGCACTCACGGGCGCACCCATTGTCTGTACGGATGTCGGCGCTTCCCGTCGTGTCCTAACAGATCCGCAAACCAACGAGTGTTACAGCGCCATCGTAGCACCAAACGATGCACGCGCCTTGGCAATAGCGCAGATCCACTTACTCGCCATGATGGGTGAATGGCATTCCCACTCGGACAAACCAGAGACACAACGTTCATATACAAGTTCTCATTCGTCACTACCGGACAGCAGCTTAGGATTTGACACTTCAAGTTCGAGCAGGCTTAATAATTCCACTACTTCACTTGTCGAAAAAGCCTTGACTTCGCTTCCGGAAAACCCTACGAGGGAAGATGTGGAAATCATAACAAGACGCATGTATGAACAAACACCTGCTCGCAAAAGGCTTGGAATGCGTGGTAGGGACATTGTGCAAAAAAGCTTTTGCGGGGAGCGGTACCTCCGAGAGCATGAACAAATGCTTTGGATCGGCAAAGGAATGAAGGATATGCGCCAGCTAGAGGTTGTTGCAGAGTCACCTATAGAGAGTGCTGACATGGGCTATCGGTTCAGGGCAACAAATACTACGATGGATGCTATTTCGCGCACGAGCCAGACGCAGTCTTCAACTCCACTAAGCTCAAGGCTAACATCGTCTAGAAGCACAGGCATAACACAACTAACTTCGGGTAGCACGGATATAACGAGTGTGTTAACAGATAGTGTACAGACTATAGTAAAGTTGCCTACAAAAACGGTACTAGGATGTTCCCATTTATAATAGTTGTAAATAGTCTAAATATTTTATCTAATTTAAATAATTTAAATAAAGTAAAAATTAACTAAGTTATAGTAGAGAAAGAATAATATAGTATTATTAATTAAGGTAGGAGAGCTATTCTAATATTATATGATATAGTTCTTAATATACTCTATTTAAAAATTAAGCTCCTTTATAGTTTAAGGAGTCTTTAAAGTCTAATTATTACTCTTAACTATAGAAGAAGTTAAAGTTCTTAAGTATAGATTTAAGTAAGAGAGGACATTCTATAGCTTATATAAAACTAGTCTTATAGCTTAGAATCTACTCTTAATATTCTACTTTATAAATATAGCTTTAAATACTTCTTTAAATATAAAGGGAAACTTAAGCTACCCCTAGCATTTATAGTAAGTTAACTATAATAACTACTTCCCCCCTACTAAATATAGGCTTAGTATATATATATATAGGCTAGTTAACTATAATAACTTAACTATAATAACTACCCCTAGCCCCCCCCCTTATAGGATCTATCCTTAATAAGGCCCTCTAGAGCTACTCTAACTAATAGTAGTAGAGATAGCCTTTAGTAGGGGTAGTAAGTAAGGCCTTTACCTACCTCTTAAAGTAGGGTATACTTCTATATATACTCTATAGCTACTACCTATAGCCCTAACTAGAAGTCTAGGTCCTATACTTATAGTAGTACCTATATAGCCTATATAGGGCCTAGCTTAAGTATCTAAGGGAGCTCTTTAATGTAACGCTAGGTCTTAAACTATAAGACTTATAGAGGTTTCGTTGCGTTAGTTTACTTAATAGAGGAGGTAGGGGATTAGACACAAAGGCTTTTATAAAACACATTATAGTATATAACAAATACTATATTAAGTTAAGCATAAAGCTCCTATCTAAGAAATAACTATCTACTTATATAGTAGCGTCGTGCTAAAGGGAATAGTTGGAATAGTAGACTCTCTAACTATTCTTACTATTCCTACTAATCTAATTACGTGTGCGTCCTATAAGAGGTGCTACACTTATTATAGGTACTGATTCCTATAGGTACCCTTCTAAGGAGGCACCTTGCTCTACATAGGTGCCTTTCCTAATAGGCACCTTTCTTTTGCTAGGTACCTTCTAAGAAAGGTACCTTTTTCTAAAGGTGCCCTTATTAACTAAGCTACTTACAATCTCTACGTCCATTTCCTGCTGCTAATTAGCTGCAAGCTATTTTACCTTATTATTCTATCTTATAGCATATAGGTTGCATGTTTTAGCTATAACACTAGGTCCCCTCCCTTAAGGCCTAGTCCTATAGGCCATTGCTAACTAAGAATCCTCTAGCCTACTTAAGTATAGTAGGTCCCCTATATTTGTAGGGTAGGCAAGGCTACGACTATGTCTTCCTCTAAACACTTAAAAATCAAAGAACGTAAACTGCTCGCTAACTGCATAACCTACAAAGGGGTTAAAATGCCTTCCTATTCCTACTATAAGAAACGAGGTCTCTACTGCCTTGCTTCTACATCCTCAAAACGATGTAATAAATGTGTTCGTTTAAATTCTTACAACTGTGACGTCTCTAGCCCTTCTACTAGCAACTAGCAGTTACTATAGAAAGAAGAGGACTGTCTTTAACTTAAAACTTACATAACCTATGAGGCTGTAGTAACTACTATAGCCTGTCTTAACTGCCTTAAGCAGTAGTAGGATCTCCTTAAGACCTAAGGTACTAAGATGCTTTGCTGCAGTCTAAAGACCCTTAACAAACTAGAGGAGGTAGAAGAACGTAAGCGGCAAGAAGCTAAAGCCTACAGTCACCTTGCTAGTCCTTCTATAACTAACCCTAGGAGCGCTATCCCTAAGCACAACTACCTATTAGCCCTTTCCCCTAGGTTCTTTAATCGTTAGGGCGTTAGTAGTAGAACTCTGCTAGTAACTCTAGGCAGCTAAGGTTTCTCCTTAACTCCTATAAGTTGTCTGTAGGTTCATAACCTTTCCATTTTATTAGAAACTCTTCTTAGTGTCTTACTAACCTTCTGTCTAGAATCGCCTTAACCTTATATTTAATGATCTCATTCTTAGGTTAGAGTTTAGTGTCTATTGCAATTAGGGCGTCCCCTCTTGCTAGTTCTAATAATAAGACATAAAACACTAGGTAGAGTCTAGAGTTCTTAGGTAGCTGTAGCTTGTAATTAACTAAGCTAACCTTTTCTAATATCTTAAATAGTCCTAATTTCTTAAAGTCCAACTTCGTACTTAGTCGTTTCGTTTTAATGTGCTTCTAGAGTAGGTATACTTTATCTCCCTCCTTAAAGGCAGGTTCTATACTATACTTCCTATTTACATATATAGTAGATCGTTCATTTAAGAACTAGATGTCTGTTGTAAGTTGTTTCTAGAAGGAAAGTATCTTCAATACTTCTAACGTTCCTTCCTTAGAGTAAAATTTATCTAGTCTTAGCGTCTTATATGCCTCTAGTTACTATCTGTTATTAGTAAAGAAGGGTAAGACTTTCGTTACCTCTAACAGTAATGAATTATATGCAAACTCTACTAAATGTAGGTACTAAACCTAGTTGTCCTGTTTAGTATTAACATAGCTTTGTAAATACGTCTCTAACGTCTAGTTAGTTCGTTCTGTTTGCCTATCTATCTATAGATGAAAAGCTGTAGACAGCTTATAGTTTGTTCTAAGCTACGCCATAACTGTTTGCTAGAATTTAGATGTAAAGAGCTTGTCTCGATCTGAAATTATCTCGTCTAGTAGTCTATGTACTACAACAATGACTTTTAGGAAGATATAAGCTAATGCCTTTATGTCTAATGCTTCTATAAACAGCGTAAAGTAGGCTTCCTTTATAAGTTAGCAGTTAGAGACTATAATAGCGTCTATAACAAATCCTATCATTAGTTCCTTTAATGGCAGCAACTTAACAATGAAGTTAATTGCTATTAAGGACTATGCTTGTCCTAGTGTTAGTAGTGACTTTAAAAGTCTATATAGTGCGTGTCTATTTGCTTTTAACTTCTAATAAATGTTACATCCTAACATAATTGTTTCTACCTACTTCCTTAAACCTAGGAAGTAGTAGTGTTATACAATTCGTTTAAAGGTTTATGTTACTCCCTAATAACTATGTGCTAGTAACGAGTGTTGTTCTTACACTAGTAGGCGTCTCATTTAACTTAGGACATACACTAACCCTTTAAATTAGATCAACCCTTGTTTGTTAATAGAGAAGTTTCCTTCAACCTTATTTAAGGTTTGCTTTGCTATTTTGTCTGTTATATAAGCATTCTTAAGTCTCTGCTTAAGTTCTATGTCTTCTACAATGGCAATTATAGCTAGTAGTTCGTTGTATTACATTCCTATATCTATTTTCTTTAATATTGCTCTAGGTCTTTCTTCCTTTAGGCCAATGTAGTTAGTCCTTCTACTAAGAGCATCTGCTCTTACATTCTTAGAGCCCTTATAATAGGTTATTGTAAAGTTGTAGGCTACGAGGGTTTCTGCCTAGTAGACTTGTCTATAGTTTAAAACCTTAGTTGTAGTGAAGTATATAAGGTTCTTATAATCTGTCTACACTTACACTATGTAAGTAGATCCCTTAAGATATACACGCTACTACTTAAAGGCAACAACAATAGCTAGTAACTCCTTGTTATAGATGTTATAGTTAAGCTCTATAAGTAATAGTTTCCTAGAGTAGTATGCAATTAGTTTAAACTTACTATTCTTGCCTAGCTGATTTAGACATACTCTAATTGCAAAATCAGAAGCGTCTGTCTTAAGGACGATCTTCTTTATAGGGTTAAATGTTATAAGGATAGGTGCCTCTATAAACTTTGTCTTAAGTTCCTAAAAGGCAGCCTCTACTTTGTCTGTCTATTTAAACACGAGATCCTTCCTAGTAAGCTCTATAAGTAGTTAAGCTACCTTAGAATATCCTATAATAAACTAACAGTAGAAGTTAGCAAAGCCTAAGAAGGCTTATACTTCCTTAACTATAGTTAGTGTTAGCTATCCTAACACTACTATAACCTTTACTTAGTCTATCTTAATACTGTGCGTTCTAATAATATAGCCTAAGAATTCAACTTAGTTCTTATAGAACTTACATTTCTCTAGCTTTAATAGTAGGTTGTATTCCTTTAGCTTCTAGAGGACAAGCTTAACATACTAAGCATATTTGTCCTTGTTTGCTAAATATACTAGTATATCGTCTAAGTAAACAATGGTAAATATGTCTAGATATTTATATAAAGCGTTATTCATTAAGCGTTATATAGATATAGGGGCGTTAGTTAGCCTAAAGGGCATAACTTAATATTTAAATAGGCTATAGTAGGTATAGAATGCTGTTTTCCATTCCTTGCTATTAGCTATCTAGATTAGGTTGTATACGCTACGTAGATCTAGCTTAGTAAAGATCTTAGCTCCTTAGAACCTATTGTGTAACTCATTAATTAATAGTAAGGCGTATTAATCCTTTATCGTTATGTTGTTTAATACTTAGTAGTCCACATAGGGTTGTTTGCTCCTATCCTTCTTAGGAACCTATAACATTAGGCTTCCTATAGGAGATTTAGACAGTCTAATAAATCCTTTCTTAAGGTTATTGTTAATATATTCTTTTAGCAGTTTTAACTCATCTACTAACATCTAGTATATTAGTCTAAACGGTGGACTCTTTCCTTCTTCTAAGGGTATTACATAATCCTATAGTTAGTGCTTAGGAAGCGCCTTGTTCTTAGGGCCTTCCTAGAATAGCTACTTGTATTCCTTATACTCTACTAGTATATTCATTAGTAAGGGTGCCTAGGCTAGGTCACTAGGCTCTATAGAGGTTGCACACACCTTACGTTAGCCTTAGGAGGGTTCCTCCTATTATAGTGTGTCCGTTTGTTGTTTATACATATACTAGCTCATTACAACTTTCTTGTTCTACTAGTCAATTTAGGGGTTGTGTTTCTTAAGCTATAGCATAC